GTGTTCCCTGCCGGACCTCAACCACGAGTATCCGCGCCAAGTGTTCCCTGCCGGACCTCATGTAGGAATGTCAGATAGACTGCCAGATAGAATGCCAGATAGAATGTCAGATAGGATGCCAGATAGAATGCCAGATAGAATGCCAGAAAGAATGCCAGAAAGAATGCCAGATAGAATGCCAGATAGAATGTCAGATAGGATGCCAGATAGAATGCCAGATAGAATGCCAGAAAGAATGCCAGAAAGAATGCCAGATAGACTTGCCAGATAGAATGTCAGATAGAATGTCAGATATAATGCCAGATAGAATGCCAACATATATGCCAGAATGTATGTCAGATAGAATGCCAAAATATATGTCAGATATAATGCCAGATAGAATGCCAGAATATATGCCAGAATATATGCCAGAATCAGATAGAATGCCAGAATATATGTCAGATATAATGCCAGATAGAATGCCAACATATATGCCAGAATATATGTCAGATAGAATGCCAAAATATATGTCAGATATAATGCCAGATAGAATGCCAGAATATATGCCAGAATATATGTCAGATAGAATTGCCAGAATATATGTCAGAATAAATGACAGGTAGAATGCCAGAATATATGTCAGATGAAATGTCAGAAAATATGTCAGATAGAATGCCAGATAGACTGCCAGATAGAATGCCAGGTGGAATGTCAGGATATATGCCAGATAGAATGCCAGAATATATGCCAGAATATATGTCAGATAGGATGTCAGAATATACTAAATATATGTCCAAATATACGTCCTGACATGTCATGGTGGGGATCACACGAAGTAGAGTAATTTATACTTTCAAAATCTCGTGTCTCAAATACGGTTTGTTCAATCCTTCCAGTTTGAAGGTTCTGTTTCCAACATCATCGTATTCTATCTTGACGATTTTGTAGGATTGATTGCTCCATTTTGGGTTATACTCCTTCCTCTCGGTGTAGTTGTCTTTTTTCTTCTCAAAGACCTTGACCATATCATTCACTTTGACCTCTGGATATTTGCGAGTGTTCTTTTCCCTCCTTGTCAAATTCACCCTGACGTCCATATGGTTCTTGTCGTCGTGGGCATCCTTGGGTTTCATTTTCGTGGATGAATGGACGGTGTCATTGTATTTATCCAATGCTTTGGACAACAAAACAGTCCAACTACCACGATTAAACCTGACCCTGTCGTGCATCAGATTTTTCATTGTCCTTATGAAACGCTCCACAACATTAGCGTGAGTTAGGGTGACGACGTGAGTGATGCCTTCTTTCTCAAAAAAAGTCTTTTACCCCTGCTTGGAAGGCACGGTCATTATCACTATAAACGGACATCGGAAAACCCATTTTGTTGAAACTCTCTTTCAGTGCCGACAGGGCATTTGTTCCTGACTTTTCTTTCATAGGGACAACATTAGCCAACTTGCTGAAGATGTCAATAACAACCATCGCATATCTTGGTTCATCATTCTTGATTGGAATTTTTGTCTCTGGTTCTTTGGTAAGGGGTTTCATATCCGTTATGTCAATCTGGAAATCAAACCTTGCGAAGGGTGCGGTGTAGGAGTTTGAACCCCTGTATTTTCTAATCTGTTTGTTGGGTTGTTTCCTCATAAAGTTTTCCACATCCACCCTGTTGATGGACTGGTCTTGTTCCTTGGCTTTCTTGAGGGTCTCATTGATTGAACCGAAGCCCGTTTCAAGATTGTAATAGACATTGCTTATTATGTCATCTCTTGATAGTCTCCTTGCCATATATTATAATATTAGATTTTAAAAATTATCAGCAATGAAAAATATACTTAAAGAAAAAATACCTATATATAGTAAGAATAGGTAAGATGACTAAATTTGACTGTGGATGTCGTATTATGAGCGAGTGTATCACCTTAAACAATGGTGATTACAAAAACCTAATTGGAATTATTTGTTAAAAACCTTCGTGAATGTTTGTGGAAAGTGTGGCAAGAAACAAATGAAATTCCAACAAATGGAAAACAAACTTTTGGAAATGGAAAAGCAACGAATGGAAATGTTTTTGGAAAATGAGGATGAAGAACACGACACATACTTTGACCTGACAGAGTTGAAGGAACATCTCAAAACCCTCCCGCCCAATGAAAGACACAAAGTGAAGGATTTTGAGAGGTTAAGAAACCTCCGCAATGGACAAGACCCCAACGAAGGAATGAGTGAAATAGATACGGTTATAAAGGAACTGGAAGAGGAGGAAAGGGAAAATAAAAACCAACCCGAACCCGAAAACTGAACGAGCCCCCAAAAACTACTTAAAGAAAAATTACCTATATATAGTAAGAGGATGCTATTTACTTATAAAAACCGTGGATGTTGTAAAAAAGAAATGACTAACCTAAAGGTTTTACTAAACAATATTTTCCCCGCTGGAATTTGTGATGAGATATGTGATTACAACCTTCACTGTTCAAAATGTAAAGACTTAAACGATAGGGAGCGTAGATACATAGATTTCAATTATCATTTTGACTATTTTAATGATAAACAAACTGACGAGAGTAGAAAAGACAATCTATTTTTTTAAAACAAGGATGGAAAAAATCACATTTATTTATCCAACACGCACCGAACAAACACTCGGCAAATGAAAAGAGAAATTGATGTTTTAATGGATACATTCAAACTCAAGCAAGAATTCAAACACGACAAACTGTTCTTAATGGCGATTAAGTCTTTTGTGAAAAGGGAGTGGGAAACTACCTATCACCTCCTTAAAGACTTTCACGACCTTACATATATGAAGTATTGTAAAAACAAGCGTGAGTGGTGGTTTCCTCAAAACGATTGGACTCATACATTCAGAAATAGGGAGTTTCAGGTAAATGACATTTTGAAAATATTTTTGTGTGAATACACCGAAGAACTGTTCAACGGTTATGAGAAATATTTGAACATAGAAGAAATAAAAGAACGCCTACAAAAAGTGGTAAATACTTAAAGAAAAAATAACTATATATAGTAAGAGAAAATGAGTAAAGCAAAAAATCAGGTTATAGATAGAAATAATATCGGTATATATGCTGACTTCGGTAGTGAAAGCGAGGACGATGACTGGGAAAGAAAAGCAATAGAAAAAAAAATGAAGAGATTAGAGACTTTGTAAAATGTCATCCCTTACCACCACGTGAAGACTTTGATTTTTGGAAATTTGTGCTTGATAGAGTTGTTAGTGAAAGTAATGTTGAACGGTTTAACATATTTATACACAAACTAACAACTTGACATCATCAAACGAATGTATGAAAACCTCACCAATAAAGATATAATCATACAATGCGGAAAAGAATTGAATAGAAGAGGTGGGTGTTTTTGTATGAGTGTTAATTTGACCCTTTTATCAATAGCGATGGATGAACTAAACGATACAAACAATCCCTGCTTATCACAAATGAGAGTAATTGAACACTGGTGGGATGGAATAGGTGAATGGAAAGCATAAAATATTAATTCATAATATCTTAACAAAATATATTATGAAGTAATCCACCCTAAAAACCCCTTAAAGACATAACCCCTTAAACTTGTAGAGGTATAATGACTGACAAAAAACAGTGTTCTAAATGTAAAGTCTTTCAACCGTTAAACTATTACAGAGATGAATGTAAGCAGTGTAAAAACTGTTTAGAAGCAAAGCAACGATACAGAGAGAAAAACAGGGACAAATTAAGACAGTATGCCATACAGTATCATCAAAGAAGAAAGGAACAAACAACAGAGGAAAAGAAAGACACTAATGAATTGAAGACTGAATGTCCCGTGTGCGGAAGTATCATAAACAAATATCAGGTCAAAAGGCACGAAGAAAGCATCAAGCATCAAACCAAACTGAAGGGAAAGGAAAAACCGAAAGTTGTGAGAAATGGAGATGATGAAACTGGAATGTTAGGCATATGAAATCTCAATCCAAACATAAAACCCCAACAGCCTAAACAAATCCTACCCCCATTCAATCCAAACATCAACAGTGAAAGTTAAGACCCTATACCACCCCTAACAATGTCCCAGTAAATCATCAAAACCAAGGAACACACATTGAACAACAACATAAAAACCACAACAACCAAAACACCCTCAACAAAACCTACCCTCATCCAAACTAAACATTATTACATCAACCTCAACAAACATTTAGCAAGATAATCAAAAAGAAACAGTCAAACATTTAGATTTACAATATTGAACAAAAACATAACAACCTCCCAGCCAACCTCCAACCTCTCTTGTCCTAGTTTCCCCCTTTCACCGTTTTTTTGTGGGAGATGGATTGCCAAATCCACGGCTATTGTATCTATTACCAAACATGAAAGGGATATGGCCAACAAAAAATGCATTCAGACCACCTTTGTGACCCCTAATGTTGGTCACTTCTCATAAAACGTCTATCTATCTATATGCAGGGATTGAAATTCACTGGGTTGATTTATGGGAAAATCTACGGTTGACACTTGAAACAATCATTTTTGACCTCAAAATTGTTAGCCTTCCTGCAGATAGGTTAAAAGCCATGGAACCCGATAAACCCAAGTTGCTAAAATATATGACTGACTGGACTGGCACATGAACCCACAAATCTGGGGACTCAACCAATGAGATTCACCAACATTTGGTGGTTGGCTGTTGGGGTCTTCCTTGCATTTTGAAAATTTATTTCGCATTTGCAGTGGAATTAATTACATGATCACCATGCAGGAGATGTCGCTGCGCTCATGTTGAGATGTGTCTGAAACCTTTGCTAAGAATCATCGCAGCCGTTTTGGGGTGAAAACCAGAGGGCCAAGGGGGCCAGAGGGTTAACGTTTCGATCCAGTGTCACATTGAATGAATGCCATTGACTGCCATTGAATGCCATTGTAGTTGTGTTGCGACTTCCATCTTTGTGTTTGACTTCTTTGGATCCCCTTTGTACCCTCCTCTTCTTGGCATTTTCAGTGGGAAACGGCCCTGGGTCTGAGGTGATGCCAGCAAGGAAAAGATTGCGCGCAAGGGGTGGCTTCAGCTGCGATTGGAGGCTCCCAATGGTGAAATTTGTATCCCAGGTGGGTGGGTTTTTTCACATACAGAACTGTTTCATAGTGTTTCCCAAAATGGGGTATCCCAGTCATCCCCTATCCCTAATCATCATGAATCATCCATTTTTAATCATGTTCATCGGATTTTCCATTCTGAACCATCCAGCATTTGAATTAGCCCTGTGTCTGTCGGGTGCACCTGGGGGATGAACCATGGGGAAGTGACAAACGAAGGTCCACGTGTGTTTGTGAACTCCATCTTGGAGGTCAAATATGGTGCTCATATTCCTGACCTTTTGGGGTTCCATGTGGGTTTTCATTCCTTTCACATATGTTTGGACATGTTTGGACGCAGTTATTTTGGGTTGTGTTTAAAATTTAAACATGGTTGATACCTGCAAATAGCACATTTAAATCTAAATGGATAACATCCTGTTCCACGCACATTTTTGGATACAGTACACCCAAAAATCATATCAGTTAGATCTATCATGTTGTAGATGAGGAAATATCATTAATTATATACCGATATAGTTGGGTATATGATATCCCCATTGTGTCCCATGCATAATTATAGACAATAATTGTTTCCCATGAAATATCCGATAATATACACGAATTCAATCATTAATTCCCAACAGAAGCATCCTAATCCCAACGTTGATGGATGTTTCATGGTTAAATCTGCATTTTCATGGGTTAATTCCTATTCTTGATGGTCCATGAGTAAATTCCAGATATAGCCATCCAAAATGGAACTTCATATTAGGGGATTACCCCATGTGTTATGGTTCAATACACCTTACCTCTGAACATAGCTATGACAATCATCGTGTAATAGGGTAATAGGTAAATCATCTATAGATGAGTCATTTTTCATAGCTATGTTAGTTTGCTGGAGGGTATATATTCAATAGTCAATAGATTTCAGGTACCTAATATAAATTGGAGGTACCTTCCATATATAAGGCCTATGTAAGGGGATATTCCCTCAACATATTGCTTTATAATGTACGGTATACCTCCTTTTTAGGACCCTGGAATTTTCGTTGATATATCCCCATTGTTTTTATATAATCCCTTGCCACAACATCCCCGGCCCACAGGTCAGCAAGGCCCGCATCCGCGCTCTCATCGACGGGGAGACGGTGAGCAACATCATTGACACAAGCCTCCCCATGGGACAGGCGTTGGGTATGTCCAGGTTGGGGTAAGTAGGTGGCGAACTGGTTTGAAACTTTATTTTAGTTAAAATTTTGCTGCTCAATAATCATATGAGGAGGGGAGAGACAGAGAGACCGAGAGAAAATAGTTATATGATATGGTCCCATTTAGTTAAAGGTTTTTGGACTACTGGATCACTCATCAATGGTCCATAGAGAGTAGCCCATGATCCCCAGAGTTTGTCAAGAATGGGTTCGTTGGGGTTGAAGGTGGCCTTGAACTGCGGCTACCACAAGTGCCAGTTTGACAATATCAAGGCCTGCGTTGGCAGTGGCGCCAGGAATCGTAAGTCGTAAGTGGTGATCAAAACCCATAGAATCCATGCATTACTTTGGCATCTCCATGTATATCCTATATAACGAAGTTTCTCATATTGTGTTTATTACTCACTGATTAGCTGAAGAGGCGTGATTTTGTGACTTGCGTGGCTCGAAGTGCCCATGACCAGGGCAGAATCACAGCGGGAAAGTCGTGTGCAGGTTGCCAAAGAATCATGGCACAAAGAAGTTTTGAAACCTCCCACATCTACAATCGAAGCACCCCAGAATCTGAAAACCCAAGCCGAGAGAGACCTTGCCCCAAAAGCTTTGTTACAGCTTTGTTTCAAGGTGTTTAGGAAGCGACAGATCGAACTTTACTATGGTTTTCACACGTTTTCGCTAGGGTTTTGTATTGAAGGCTAACAAGACAACTTGCTTTGGTGCTTGGTTTCAGGTCGCTTTGACCGCATTGCAAAACGTCCATCCTTGGTGAGCTGCACCGTCTTGGGAAGTATTGGTATCGCCATGCCCAGTATGTTTGATATATGTTGATACTAGATAGAAAGATAGATGGATAGATAGATGGATAGATGGATAGATGGATAGATGGATAGACGGATCGACGGATCGATGGATCGATGGATCGAAGGATAGATGGATAGTGGGATAGATAGGATAGATAGGATAGATAGGATAGATAGGATAGATAGGATAGATAGGATGGATAGGATAGATAGGATAGATAGGATAGGATAGGATAGGATAGGATGGATAGGATGGATAGGATGGGTAGGATGGATAGGATGGATAGGATGGATAGGATAGATAGGATAGATAGGATAGGATAGGATCGGATAGGATAGGATAGGATAGGATAAGGATAGGATAAGGATAAGGATAAGGATAAGGATAAGATAGGATAGATAGATAGATAGATAGACAGGCAGATAGATAGACAGACAGACAGATAGATAGATAGATAGATAGACACACCACACCATAGATACAGTATACTATAGAGATACCATAGATATGCCATAGATATAGTAAAGATATACCATACGTATGCCACAAATGTCATGACATTTGTGGATAGGTCCTGCCCTCGAGCAAAAACGTCACCTCATTCCTGGCGACGACGTCTCGCGAGCTGCTGAAGATGTACAGTCCTGCGACTCGGCCGTGAGTATTCCACGGTAGTCATTCCTACATTGGATGAGGCAATGGGTCTAGGAAGAAATTGTTGTAGGGATCACATATCTAGATTTTTTCATGCATATCTATATATATCTATCTAACATACGGTAACGACATTAAATATGTGGAGGGCGGGCCAGACCGCGAGGACCCGGAGGTAGTATGAAATACCAGTTCGTATATTTAAATGTAGTTGCAGTACAGTATGTTGAAATGAATTGGATTCCGTATGTTTAAATGGCTGGGCGGGCCAAGGAAAACCTTCCCGGAGGTAGTCTAAAATACCTGTTCGTATATTTAAAAATCCGTATATTTAAATGTAGTTACCGTATATGTGTGCGTGTAGAAGGAGGGAGAGAGGGCCAGGATATGCCAGGATATGCCAGGATATATCAAAAAACATCCGGCGTATCAATGAGCAGATCCAGTTGCTGAGTTGCTTCAGCAGTTTCTCCTTGCCGAATTGGAAGGTGACCTTCCACTACGACGCCCGCAGCCCCTGGCATGCTTGGAGTGGCCACGAGCGCCCAATGGAAATGTGTTTCTTTTGTTGGGGGAGTGACACACCCGAAATGTAGCAAGTGGTATTTAAACAAGAAAAACACATGTTGGGGGAATTACACCCAGAATCTAGTGAATACTTTAAAGCATCAGTGGCATGTTGGTGAGTATGGCTGCTACTGGCTGCTCAAAGATATGCCTCCCAAAGATATCAACATATACCAACGTCTGATTACCAGATGTGATCAAGCACTTCTGTTGGATTCTTGGGTGGCTCTTAGCTTTTCACTAGCCAAGCTGAAAAGTGGAAAACAGAGCCTCCTACAGCACAGTGCAGTATCTCTTATATTTACCAAGTTTCGCCGGACATATTCCGGTCCATCTCCCTACATTGCCCTACATGATATTTGAATAGTTAATGTTATATTGTTCTATTAATTGATTAATTGATTAATTAATCAGTTTCATATAACTAATGATTGTCCATCCCCTAATTTAATGTTTTTCTGTTCCACCCATTTTGCATTTCTTTGTTGGCTGCAATCATCTACAACTGGACATGGAAGCACTCCAGCACCCCAGGGCACCAGGGTCATATCAAAATAGATAGATAGATAGATAGATAGATAGATAGATATATAGGATTAGATTAGATTAGACAGATAGATAGATAGAGTCACACATATATATATATATATACATACCTAGTATACAGTTTTTTTTTTTCCGGCACAGCCATTGAATTGCTCCATTGGTTGAAGGTGGTATCCCGCTATGGCGTGTTGCCAGGCACCTGCGACCCTTCCCCAGCGCAGACGCCCAAGAGGGACGACTTTACCGGCTTCGTGGGCTTGGCCTTTGTGCCGCTGCGGAAGATTGGAGATTTGAAATCCATTATAATTATAGTTTTGTATAATATGTTTTGTTTCATATGATTATGATTACACTATAATATGATTGGAGATTATACACTATACCCATTATGATTTTGCTTCATATGATTATAGTGTATAATCCGGTCCTTCTAGTTATGGGGTAAGGGCAAACCTTTGATGGTAATACTTGAGTCGTTAGTCACATGTGTTTTTTGCCAATATATAGGGGAAAAATATAAACCAAAACTTAGCCAAAAGCTCCATACGTGGAGCTTTTCTGGCAATGGGATTGCGCCAGCAGATAGGATGGAATGGTCTGATAAGATCTAATAAGCTGGCTTGGGTAGTTCGTGAGCTGTCAAACATTGGAATCCACCAGCGATACAGCAGTAAACGGAATTTCTTAATGTTTCGCCGTCAACTTCTATAAATATGTCAATGATCACCCCTTACATCCCCATTGAATTGGATGATATTTTATGGGCATTATATCCCACATTAAATTTCCAGGGCGAGGGTATATTTTTTTGCATGAACAACACCGGCGCTGGCCGGGCAGGTACCCCAAGTTCCAGTGAGGCTAGCGGCCTTGGGCCGTATGGTGCTTCGTGGAGGCAGGCGAACGTTCGCCGTTCCCTCCCCCGGGGAGGTCATGTTTTTTTTTCCCGTCCTGTCAATGGTAGGAAAATATCGAGTTATTGTCATTACATGGTAGTATATGGTAGTACGGGAATTATAATTACTATAGTTCTTACTAGTTAGTAAGTGCCACGTGTTTTTTTAATGGATTTAGTTAAAAGCTAGTGAAAATAAGTTTGGATGATTTTGGATGGTATTGTGGTTTAAAGTGTGATTGGTGTTATTTCTTCATCAAATAATAGCAATGATACTAACTAGACATCCCCAAACTTCCAGGCACGCCTGTCAGAAATCACCCCGGTGACCTACCTCAATGGTAACTGGAAGGTTAGGGTATGGTAAGTGGCTAAAAAAAACACAACTCATAGATATGTTGTGTTGTTTTAAATTAAAAACAATCCACAGTGGACCCAAATGATGTTAAACGATACAGCTCACTTGCACAATCACATCCAAACTTCAAAAGCTATATGGGCTAACTCCATCTTTCCATGATGGCACTCCCGTGCCTGATGCGAGGTGCATTTTGTATTTGCTAAACCAATCCTCTGGAGTTCATTGGAAGTACGGGTGTCCTCCTAACTTTTCAGGAAAACCCCCGTTAAACATACCGTTCTGTGCCGTTCGACATTGGGCCCCGAATCCAAGTATCTGGCCCAACAGAAATTTGCTGGAAATTCCCGTCCCACGCCTGCTTGGGGCGGTAGAAGATCCGTGTTCAACCACATAATATATATATATACATACCACATATATATCACGGATATACCACGGCTTGGGCATCACAGAAAACCCCATGGGTAATTGCTGGCGCTTTTGATAACAAAACTATAGTCATAGTAATCGGTATAGTCGAGTTGAACATGTCACCAGCACCATCATCCTCTGCATTACCTGTACATATGCCAGCAACTTTGCTTTGCCAACCTGAGAATCTCAGAATCGGCTAAAGAGAAGCGAATGCAGGAAAGACCTTACCTTTGACGGAACAAGAGCTGATTTCCTGCTTATTGTTTCCCCTTAATCCAATCCATTGATACAACCAATGCAAACAATTAATGTGGGTATGGGTCAATACCTATAGATACATTTTAGTGGGATGAACATCCATTTACCAGCTATTTTGGGGTTCACTAGGTACCAGGGTTTTGACCCATCCCCATGTGGTCTACAATATGAGTCTGAACATGTTGCATACCTTCAAACATGGCCATAGAAATATGGAAAACGATGAACCAATGGATTTCGCCAGGCCCCCCGGTGGCTGCAGTGCACAATGTGGAACTGCTGGAAGTGGTTGGGGGGCCTTGCCTTGGGGCCTTGTATGACCGAGGAACTGCAGATGGGGACTTCACCAACAAAGAAAACGGGGAAGACCCCTTTGAAAACGGGGACTTAACATGATTTAACCGTCAGATTATGTAACATGGTTAGGAGTTATATATATATACATATAATAAATATATACTGTGAAGATCATCCAAAGATGTGTAAATCATAATGGCCTCAATGCGACGTCACCATAGATTGTGCTAAGGGGAGTCATATCTACACATTGGCCTCATTTCAGCTTGGTATCCTTGGATCATTCAGCCAGATAGGATGGTGAACATCATTTTACAGATTCTTCCATGCAGTCATGCTGAAGAGATGAGCGCAAGATGGACTCACTTACATTCGGTTTCCCAATCCAATATGATAGAAGCATATAGAAGCTGCCTAACCAGGGTTATTGAGCAAGCTGTATTTCCAAACTTTTTGATCTTTAAAGATGTTTAATTTAATGTGGTAAACCCAGCAATGGTATGGTTACCGTTTGCCCGGAATGAATTAGATCATGTCTCGACGAAAGGCTGAAACCAAGGTATTTCCTGTACAAGATCACTTTCCCCTCACGTTTTGACATGCTATGGTGCTTCATCGACGAGGGCTTTGCGAAATGACAGTCGTGTAAGGGTCCACGAAAGCTTGTTTTCCAAAATCCTGTTTTTTTCCTCCCACCTCTTCATAGCTTGAAGATCTTCAATCAGTGATAATCAGTGTAATAGTTTACCGGGGGTCGGGGATTTGGTCCCGCATTGAACATCAACACGAAAATCCAACATCTCAAGTTCAAGTTGGAGTCTGGGCGAACGGCGCCACGACTGGTCGGCCGACTTCATCCTTCAGATGTGGAACATGATTTTCCAACCATGGAACTCACCAATGTTTCTAGGAAAGATCTGCACGAAAGCATGGATTTTGCCGAAAAGATGTTGGGGTTTTGCTGCAGATTTTCCCTTCAAGCCACAGGACCTCCCCAGTCGCTAGTTGGTTTATAACCCCCATCAACTATAGTTATATATAGTTATCATAGACCATAAGTTATTGGAGTTATGTTCACCAACTTAGCTAAAGTTTGGGGGCCCCACATTGTGAGGATGGGGCTGTTGCCACCCTCAGGACGGCAAGCAGTTGAGATACTTGGCTTCTGCTGCAGTTCCGACCACCCCATCTCAGCAGGCTTTTGCGATGGCGCCAGCGGCGTTGTTTCAATGGGGAAATCATAGGGATTTCATGGGGATCAAAGAGATGTTATTTGCCAGAGGCTATGAATCAAACATTCCCATTGGTATAAGTGGTAAAGAACTATGACCCTAGAATCAAACTACAACTCAACATGATGCAACATGTACAACTATCTCTTTACATCTCTTTACTGTAGCACATGTACACACACACATATAGATATATACACACCGCGTATAGAAGAATATACATTAAATATGATTATATAATATATACAGGTAGCAGTGTTTCTTTTGTGTGTGCGTGTGCGCGTTGTCTCTCGTTTCTTCCCTGGCTTATGTTTTCTCTTGCATTAGTGTCTCGTGTCGCCTTATGTCGCCTCCGTTCAACCAACCATGCATCAATTTATCCATTGGTAGAAAGCAATGAAAGAGTATTACTGTAAGGATGTACTGGGTGACACGGTTACAAGAAATATTGACCTGATTCACTTCTAAATATTCGGCTTCTGCTATGTGTTTTCTCTCAGGGCTGTGTATTATACCTCTCATGCCCCACTCAAGAAACTGCAGGGCCAGGAAGGGATCATGGTTTCTTATCCTAGCATCCTAGTTTTCTTCGTCACAGACCGGCATTCGTGGTGCACTCGTTCAGTTTCACGCAGAAATCTCGCACCTTCCCAGTCCGTCAGGTGGGAATCATCTCCACGGATGAAGGCTTTCAGTATGCGGAGCTGCGAGAAAGTGTGCTCTTGGAGCCTGGTCACAAGTACGTGTGGCCCTCACTCCATCTTAGTCCAAGGTGGTGAGTCTCGTGAGTAGCAGGGGCACATGTCCAGCTTGGGGATGGGGTTCGAATGCCATCACCCTTGGTGATTGACGTTGCTGCGGGAAGATGCTGCATGTTGGGATTGATGGGAACTTTGAATACAGGTCTTATCAGATGGATATGGCCCACAGCATAAAACATCAATGGGCAACTGCCATTTTCCATCATTTTTCCAGTCTAAAAAGCTTAGGTCCTGGCGTCTTCTGAGATCAGTGGTGGGGACTTCTTTTATGACAAGGCGCATGGCGTGGAGGGTGGAAGACCCTCCTCTAAACCAATCGATTGATCAATGGGATGTTCCCTTACCTTAAACCAATGCTGGGACATGCTGAGACCTAAATGGACCTAATCCATCCTAATCCCTATATTGTTGTTTGTGTTACAGGAATTGTACCCCCATTTTGGTAACTGTGCATCCTTTTTTTTTATGTTTTTTTGGTCACTCAAATTCATTGTGTCTTTGGACTTTGGTGTTTATCATTGTATATGTTCAATATCGTTTGTTTACATGTATTAAGCACCATTTGTTTCTCGGGTATGGCCCCCATGTTGGTCTAGTTTGTTGGTTTATGATTGTTTATACTATAGTTTCTTCATATCCCACTTCCTCTATAGTTTATCCAGATGTCAAGCATGACAAGCAAACATTTAGTTGTACATGTTCTATCCAGATTGTGGGATTGGTTTTGTTCACCCAGATTGTTGCAATTGACATTGTTGAATGTAAGCCACGTAAACCAAAGCTACCAACCATTGGTTGATGATATCACGCCAACATTAGCGAACATAAAAACCATTGAGAGCCATCACCACATAAGATCAGATGACGGAGGGATTTAGACGAAACAAAAGCTTGTCACTATCCATATATATATATATACATATATAATGTTATTATGTTATACATTATATAATTGATACACATGTTTGTATATTTATCCATATCACATCTTAACCAGTTGTAAAGCAAGGCTGTGGTGGCCGAAGCCACCGAAGGAGTTGAGATCTTGGGCCCTGCGTGGCTTGGCGAGACTTGAGGCGTCCAAAGAGAATGTATTGCAATGGTACAATTGTTGCTAAAATCACAATATGTTATCTATAGTATAGTATAGCAACTAGTAAAATCACCATATTAATCTGTTGTAATTGCCAGATGGTATAGCAGATAGTAGTTTGATTTCGATTGTTTGAACACTGCTTGAACACTATTTCACCAATTTAATCTATTTTATGGTAGTAGTTTCAACGCTAATTTTATCCATATTCGCTGATGAACAGGAATTGGAAATCAATTTCATGATGTATAGGTGTTTTGGCGTGGTTCTAATATGTTCTAATAGCCACCAAGCATGGCGGGTGCAGACGGGTGAAAGACACGTTGGACAAATTTTGCCGCTGATGCACAAGGTATTCCAACCAGAGCGGTTGGATCTTTGACTCCGAACCAAATTTGTTGTTTGGGCCTTTGACACTTGGTGGCATGGTGGCTGGTCAGGCGCTTGTGTGGCTGAGGAGTTGGGAGGCAGTGCCAGAAGTAGTCAGCCAAGAGAACCCTGCAATTGGATGAACATTTCAACTTCCTTATATGCCATATGCTTCATATGTATTCATGTGTACATTTCGCATCATTTACCCTACGTTTGGGTCTTTTGGGGTGGAACATGTGGTACATATTCCATCCACAGAGCATATTGGTTGGACCATTCTGAGAACATCATTCAAACCAAAGCACAAGAAAGTATTGCCCCATAACTAAATTGGTTGATAACTGACGGTCAACTATTGAGTTTCTGCTAATGATGAGGTAATCAGGTAACATTAATCAATCTATTTACCATTGGCATATCTATTTACCAAAATTATTTTACAATTAATCGAATCGATATAATATCAATGGGAATTTCAGGATCCTAAAATGGAGGCACTGTGCCATATGTTTGGCCATATTTTGTGGGGACATTCCCTTACATAGGCCTGAAAAATAGGCCTTATATATGGTAGGTACCTCCGATTTAGGTACACCACCTTGCAGGATCTTGATGCTCTGAGGAATGCCCTGCTGATCCCTGAGGCTTGGAAGGTTTTGGAAGCCCAAATGGCATGATACCAACTATAGGATAGCTATTTTCTGCACCCATTTTCTCCGGTTCCATGGTAGATGTGAATTTTGTTGCTCCCAAGGGTCTTGACCCACCATGGCGAAATGTAGAGCCATCTTGGGCGTTGATGTATCATGGTGTATCGCAATACTGGCTTCAGAACGATGGTTAGTTGCTTCAAAGGAGCAGCCAAGATTCGATGCCAAATTCCACTGCATAGTGCATATGCCAAGTCACTGGAGCGACGCTAAAACCAGCATTTTCAGCTGCTCTATGCTGATCAAGAACCAACAAATGCAGAAACACATGCGGACAATGAAAGCAAGCTGTTTCAGATAAGATCTTCAAGTCTCAGATCGCCAGATCGCAGTTTCAGAGTTTCAGCTGCATGCTATTTGCTAAAGATTGGATCTGTCAGCCACTTGTCATATCTCTGGATATCTCTGGCATGCATGCAGCGGTTGCGCCGGAGATGCGGCCGCCGACACAATGACATGCCCGATGCAAAGTCTGGTGATGCAGCCCCAGCCGTGTCAGGCGCTGCTTCGGACATGTTGGTGACGAAATGTGACGAAACATGATGAAACCAGTCTGACCCCTGCACAATGTATATGCATTTCATATCGCATTATATGTATAAATATATATACATTATACATGTGTGTGTGAGTCACCGTCACAATGGTTGAAGGCCACTTTAGTATTGCAGGAGTTTTTAAACGCTGTAAAGCGATAGGGCCCCACCCAAAAGCGATAATCTGGGACCATACACGACAGTCCATTAAACTTGGCGTAAACCAAGAAAATACTGTTGTGCACATTCACAGAACGGGCAAAACCGATGAGGGAAATTTAACCTGTGGTGCCCTCTTTCCTGCAGTTACCATATCATTTGGCATCCAACTGGCTCGCTCTCTTTCTCTCTCTCTCTCTCTCTCTCTCCCGCTCTCTGTCGTTTTTGTGGCAAATTTCCTTCAAACAATGTCATATGTTGGAGGGGTTATTTAGCGATAACTTAGCGATAACCATTTGTTGCACTTGGTCCCCTGGCCAAGCCATAGAGCCATTTCCATAACCTTGGAAATGAAAGGACATGAATGCAAAATGAAAGGAACATGCATGCAAATGAAAGGAAGATGAAAGGACATGAATGCACATTGGACTTACACTGAAAGGAATATAAAAGGAACATGAATACACATTGGACTTAAAATGAAGGAATATGAAAAGAAAATGAATGGATATGAACACAAATGAAAGGAAAATAAGGAGAATGAAAGGCAAATTAAAGGTTAATGCAAAATGAAAGGAAGATGCATGCAAATGAAAAGAAAATGACGGAACATGCATACAAATGAATGCAAAATGAAAGGAACATGGTTCGGAGCCTCTTTAGGAATGGATTTTGGCTTCATGTTGGGTCTCGAATATGCTGATTTCCACAAAACCCTGGAAAGTGATAGGGGGCCCCCCAACAGCGACAACCATAACAATAGCAACTACTAAGATGTACTGTAAAGGATTTTGACGGGAACTCATATATATATATATATATTTGATGTTCTACAAATTCATTATTATATCATTATTATGTGTGGAGTTATATAGTTATACCATTATTAATTGTTGGAGTTGCTGATAATATATTTATATATTTCTAGCACGCCATTATATCATCATGCACCACGTGTGGAGTTCTTGAAAGACCTTCGCCGGCGCCAGGGCATCCCTCAGAAAGACCCAACGGAGAGGGCACCCTTCGGAGGTGCTGCCGGGTGCATTATGCGATGGTTGTGGCACGGATCAACATTTTGAGATTCAGAAGCCAAAGAAAAGGTGGTGGCCCATGTTTTGGTGGAATGTGACATGAGTATTACATGAGTTGAATTTCTGGAATTTTTTTGGGTGGTAAACCTAATGGTGTCCTGATATTGATCACATGTCTGCATCATTGAATGTTTTGTGAATGTTTTTTGATTCATGTTCATCTCTAATTGGGCATCACTTTTATGATCGACAGGCCTACTCAAGCTGGCTGGAATGTGGCCAAGCTGTCGGAACCTTGCCAGCATCCTAACGTTTTTTGTGTTCCAAAGCCCCCCACTGGACGATCTTGCAACACACATAATAATCATCTGTATAATCCGCGAAATATGGTTCCCACAAATCTTTCACCCTCGCATTCCATGTCTTTCCAGCCAGCCCTTTTTCATCCTTTTACCATCAAGAGGCCAGTGTGAGCAAAGCGCGATGGCCTTTGCTCCTGGCTTTCGCTTCTATTTGGGTGCTGCTGATCGTTTCTAGTCGATGGTTTCATCCATAATTATGTTTCACCCATAAGCTTTAAAAGATAATACAGTGTTTTTTCATATTCATAACTCTCATGATCCCTACCCTCTTAAAAATGAAATTTGAGGGGGGGAGTCGTACTGAAATTTCATTTTAAAATTCCATTCTTGCATTTATTGTTCTCAATGATCAACATTCCTCGTCATTCCATATCATTGGCAAACAGATGAAAATTAAATCCGGAGCTAAGCGCATGTCAGACTGAAGCAGCACGTGTGTAGGGGTGGCATCCCTCCAAAAATTGCGTTGCTATCATCATACTTGCGCTTAGCTCCGGAGGAGCTAAACGCAAGTATTTTCTTACCAGTGCCCAAGGCTTGTCAAGAAATGTTACTTTAATATTCCATTTGAGCAATTGGATCACTACCCCAGGGTTTCCAAGCAAAAAAAAAGTGGAATTCGACAGGTTGGTTTTGTCCCCCCCCCCCCGCCCTCCCCTCTATAGGGGTCGGGTAGGGATCTCTCATGCAAGTCATTGCAAGTCTTATCTATAAGTTTATGTGTCGAGAATCAATCATGGAGATGGGAGAATCATCCCCACTGGATACTGATGTCGTAATTCATGGAGACAATTGTCCCCACTATGTTCAACCAAATATATGGTCAGACTGTTATTTCAAATATGCCATATGTGGTATGTATATGTATATTGTAATATATAAATAAATATATATATATATATATATGTATGTAGTTGTGTGTGTGTGCGTGTACATTTATGTACACCACTTTTGCCCCATGACTGTTCACTATGTTCTTTTCAAGAGCTGACTCTCCAGTACATCCTGGAACAAAAAAAAATCCATCGCCAGAGCCAGGTTTGGAGCCAGAGCTCCTCAACGAGCTTCATGACTTTCGAGGCTTCACAGCTCTTCGTGAGTAACGTCTTCACCGGGAAGACCGGCGCGGACCCGTGCAGTGCCCTGAACGCTTGTTGGATGAAGCCGGCGGGGAATCGTTGACCAGATGGCGAATCCACTCCAAATCTATGATACTTGTATATAATATAGCAGAATATACATATGCATAAATAGATAAATAAACAAAAACATGTACACACACAGACATATTATATATACATAATTACTACAAGTGCTCACACTTTTGTATGAGATACAGTATAAACAATTATTTGGATATGTGGAAATGTTGCAGGTTTTGTTTCTTCATGGGTCGCCTTTTTCTTTCGTAACTTCCAGGTGGTCAGGCTGTAGATGAAGCCTTGGGAAGCCCTGAGCACGTGGTGAACGACACGGTCTTGGTGACCGGTGGCAGTGGCTTCATCGGCAGCCACCTGGTGGAGATGCTTCTGGAGCTGGGATACAGGGTCAAGGTCTATGACAATCTGGAGACTGGTGGCCCTGGCCTGGGTTGGCTGGAGATTTTTGAGGATTTTTGGCTTGTTTCCGAAAAATGGGAAATCCGCAAATGGGAATCGATGAAGGGAATTTGGCATGATTTTTTTTGGGGGGTCCTGAAGGAAATCCAAGATGGAAGGCTCAACCTTGCGATAGGATTTCTTTGATGTTCCGTGGTTCATCGCTAAAACTTGGATGATGATCCCCGAAAAGCAGTATGTTTCAAGATGACTTGGACCGAACTTGGAGGATTTGACGACTCAACAAGTGGATAAAACATGAGTGAAACGTCATAAAATCAATGAACCCGTGATTGACCCCGAGCAACAATGCATGCTTTGATCGTGTTTGATATCACAAAAATGGACCACTTTTTGGGGTAGCCTATAGTGACTTCAATTGACTTCAATAATAATGGCAATCTGATGCCATAATTCATAATGGGTAATGTCAGTCACTAATAGGTAATAATAGAAGTAGCCTTCCATTCTGCCAAGCCAAAACATGGCCAGGCAACCTGCTGTTTCTGAACTTACGCCATCCTCGCTTGGAGTTTATTTATGGCGATATCATGGACATCGACTCGTTAAGGCCGGGATGAACAGAACTCCAACAACTGTGGGTTTTTTTGATGGGTTTATGCATATTATATATATATATACATATATGGTGTGATGGTGTGTATATGGTTAAGAATTAATAACTCATAAAAATATTCTAAAACTATAGTTGCTAGGGGATGTTAGGGGTTTGAAACAAAGTGATTGGGGTTTATAACTCCAAAAACTATGGTTAACTTATAACTATAGCATTCATGGGGTTTAGAAACCAGCTTTATAACCAGTCTCCCATGCTGGAGGAAGGCGATGGTGGATGTGAGAGGAGTGTTTCATCTTGGTGCAGCCAGCAAAGTGCTACCCTCCTTGAAGTTGCCTGGCCTTTGCAGACGACTCCCTGGATTTCGCTGGGCCAAGGGTAGGGATTGAACTGATTTAACATGTTTTTTTTTAGTGTAAAAATCCTGGCATATGATGATGAGACAGTTTATCTCCCAAATGGATCCAAATGGTCAATTCATTATTTGGTGGATCCACTGTTTTTTTTTGGGTGGGGCACATCTTAAGCCAATCCCAGTTGGCTTGAAACACTATGGCCGCTCATGTGTATGTGTCCCTCTTACAACAATCCCCAAATCGGAAGTTGGATCCATTAGGGTACCAGGAGCGCAGAATGTACCGTCAAAGGTCACTGTGAACAGCCTGATTGCTGGGTGATTTCATAGATGTTCCCCACACAAAAATTGCGACAATGATTGAAGGCACCTTACAATTGGACAGGACAGTAATCAGAGTTGAAACGACATGTGAACTACTGACTACTGAGCGTTTTCTTTGAATGCATCAAAATCATCTCAAATCAAGCCAGGTTGGAATCCGTTTGCGGATGTTGCTGTTTGGTTCTGATGTGTCCAGCCCTTTTTGGCCAAGGAACCCACAAATGGGCACCTTCAACGTGGAAAGAAATTCCGTTGGAACAAGTCGTGTGTTGGAGGCCACTTGGTGCTGGTATTGCTTCCGAAATTATGGCAGCATGAAAATATATATATATATATATTTAATTTAAATATGCACAAAACATATATGCATTACATATTAGACACACCTTGATATTCTTGTCAGGTGATATGCTACACTGATACACGCATCAAAAGATCAAACATCAATCTTGAAGAATGATTCAACAATGTTTGAGAGATCATGAGCCAGCACGTACATAGTGCATGATGCCAATCCAACTGGGTACTTGAAATAAATTCCTTTCCTCCCCTATGACATAATTTTATCCACGTACCCAGGTTGGCCCCCTGGTTCACCACCAGGCCCCAGTGGTTTCTCCAAGCGTCAGGCCGCCAATGAGACCAAGCTGGTGCGGAAGGTGGTTTATGCGGCCTCCTCGACCTACTATGGGAATCAAGCGGTGCCCTTCGCGGAAACGGATCCCTTCATGCCTACTTCGCCCTATGCAGCGTCCAAGTACATGGGTGAACTGGTCATGTTGACCAATGACAACTTGTACAAATTGCCCACCTTGAAGCCTGAAATTGCTGAAAGATCTGAAGGTGATTTTTTGGTGATTTTCACATTGATTTATCAGGTTTATCAACCCTGGGGAATCTCTAGTGACTATTTCTTATTTGTTCAGGGCCCCTTCAGCAACCAAGGAACTTGCGCTTCTTTATGGTCTACGGCCCTCGCAACCCCGCGCAGGGCGCCTATGCCATCATCACGGGGAAGTTCATCCATCGCCTGAAGAACGGTGAGCCGCTGATCATCGAAGGAGATGGATCAAACTTCCGGGACTTTGTTCACGTGGAGGATGTGGCCAGAGCGCTCATTCTGGGCTACCAAGGTGGGAAGATTGGGAAGGTCGAAACTATATATCTTTGTTGTTTCTGAAGGATTGACTCTACTGGCTGGTCGACGTTTGACGTTTAGCCGTTCCAACAAAAACAGGACAACCAATGGTCTTGGCCAACCGATGTCCCAGACTACATCGGATATAGAACATGATAGAACTATGTTTCCCAACAAAACACTGTGGTGATGTAGTGTTCCAATTTCTTGGGAGCATTGAGACTCCATCATTCCGAACCGTAAGACCTCACCTTCATGGAACCTCATTTTTTTCACAGATCCACGCCAGGAGACGTCCACGGTACATCCATCAACATTGGCTCAGGGGAGAAGCACTCCGTCAAGGCACCGTTTGTATATTTGAACAGTATTGTTTTGATTTTTTTTATAGTTGTGGTATAATTTGTAGTGATAACAAAAAGACATTATATGGCGCGTGTTTTGTAGTCACTGGCTTGACTTAGGGAGCATACAAGGAAATAATCAGTGTGTTCTATCTTATTTTGGATAATCACTTTGGTTTTCCAGCAACATTTCCAGAACCGTCCTGGAAGGAGGTTGCGGATTTGATCTCCCCGCATCAACAGCACGTCGCTGCCCGGAAGAATGATCTGCTTGGAACCTTGGCAGATACCTGTCGTGCACGACGTATGCTGAACTTCCAAACGCGCCATGACTTCATTGCCACAATGAAGGCGGGTTGTGTGCCCAAATGATTGGTGATTATTACTGTAGAGTTTAGCTTTAGGGTGAGTATATGGGGGAGTAAGAGTGAGTATATATACATTGTACATACCCTCCGGCAACGAAACATAGCCGCTGTGCCATTCCGATAATTTTCCCATAAGATCAATGGCCATTTCAGGAACCTACAGTAAATTGGAGGTACCTACCATATATAAGGCCTATAGGCTATTGTAAGGGAATATCCCAACAACATATGGCCTTAGATGGTAGAGTACCTCCATTTTAGGATCCTGAAATTCCCATTCATAAAAACCTCCATTTAGTTTGGTGATTTCCCAGCTAACTCAGCCCATGATTAGCGGAGCGCAGGGGCTCTTCATATTTAGATTCTCGGACCGAGATGAGGCTGGGATTTAGTGCGATTCTTCTAGATTTACAGCGACCCCTAAAAAGATAGAACAGTGTTTCCAGGATAGATGATATATGATGATATATTTACTTCATATTCCCAGGTTTCCCACTTTTCTACTTGTATCATCTTGTATCTATTTTGAGGTTGCTATAAGGCATACCCTGGGATGGCATGATGCAACATATTCTGCGACGTTCCTTGCTGAGAGGTGATGATTGCAGATGCTTTGGCTGGAAAATCAGACTACTTCGCACCCATGTGGGGGGAAGCTGTAGTGGAGGCTATGCAGAAAAGCATGTTGAGCCGCTTTTTTTTGAGGTGAATGAGGATGGTAGAATCTACGGTAGATCTGTTTATGTGAATACGCACACCATGTACAGGTTGCATATGCAAATAAATGCAAACAATGGTAGTCCATGTACTTTGCTTAATCATGAACATCCCACACATGGGTCACTGCTGGTTAGCCCAATTCGAAGACATTGGACAGGACACGCTGGAGACACTTCTGCCTGGCTGGAAGGGTTTGACTGGGCCAGAACGAGTCTTTGCTCAAGATTAGTGCTGTTTGCAGGCATATGGGGATGGTCAAAACCTATGGATTAACATGGATTAACCATATTTCGGGGGGAATAAATGGAATAACCATTCATCATTAACCAATATTATTAAGCAGCTATTTTTGGGTACCATCCGGGTACCAGGGTTTTGACCCACAACCATATCAGCGACCATTCTTGCTTCCAATTCTGCCGCAGCCTCAGGAAATGCCAGGCTAAAATCAGCCCTGGCGGCCAACCAATCCTTCCAAGAGAGCTTGCAGAAGTTGTGAGATGTTGGTGTGTGTGTGTCTGAAAATGGAATATATACTAGTATACCACCATATACGACCCATAAAATTGCAAGCTTAATAGAGGAATTGATGATGAACAATTGGATTTTGGGGGTATCTCATTTTCAGACAAACTCGTGTTGTGAGGGTTGAGGATTTGCCGTAACTAAAATGCAGTTGCGGTCACGGCGGCGGAAAAAACAAGAGCGCTGCGTCACGCCATAATGCTCATGATATGTCCAGCCAACCAAGTGGTGCATTTGGGTAAATGAGTTGTGGTTTACTAATCCCATTCCCCAAAACAATAGAATCCCCTAAGTATGGTCCCAAGTATGTGTAAACCCTGCATTAAACCATTGTTTTCTTTTTTTTTGGGGGGAGTGTTTAATACTAGGGTGAAGTCAGATGGCCGACCGGTTCAGGCGCAAACTCAGCAGTTGTTCACCCCTGACCCTTGGAAGCATATGGCGTGCGTCAACCCTGAAGTGTTTGATACAGCGGAATTTTAAAAGGAGAAATCACCCAAATTGTGAAATGTGCATAACTGTGTGACTGTGTCTATGTGTACATATGAATATGATATAATATGATATAATTATACGTGTATATTTATATATAATTATACATATATATATATATGTATATACATTATGCAGTAGATATCGTGGTGGTACCACCATTTTTTCCATGAATCTGCACTCTGATCCAATATGTCAGCAGTATCGAGGTTGCTGACCCTGAGAAGGCTGAGAAGAATGCTGCTTCAGCGCTCCTCGACCTGGGGGAAGTACTAAAGGACCTCACTGGGCAAAGTCACTTTAGAGATCAGAATGGTTTAAGATTAGGGGGAAATTATAGTATCCCAAAATTAAATGTTTGATTTTGTTCTTAAGTTGGTGAATGTAGTTGAATTCATCCAGAGCACATTAGTTGAACTGGTGACAACATAGTTTTTGGGCCGTGTTGGACACCCTGAAAAAGTAATATTGGAGTAGAAATCGTAGCTGAAAGCCTATGAGAAACGATGAGAAACAGGCAAATACAGTCAAGTTTCCGGTTCTTAACCAATCAGATGCAGCCAGCAACTTGGATATAAGAATCTCACGTTGGATTCTCCAGCTGAAACTGGGATCGTTGTAAGTTATAAATAGTTATAACTTATAACACTTTACAACAGTAGAGAGTCTATACAATGGCTGCTTGACTGACTGGCCAAAAAAGCTAGTCTGGGTGTATTATATATATATGTGTGATATGGTTGTGTGCTGGAGCCATGCTGTATACAACTTTTATGGGCTTCGTGTCGGTGATGGTGCTTGTGGGACTGCCATTGCTTGTTGGCCGGTGCTGACCACATCAATTGCTCCGACATATCATCAGAATTGGAGGGGTCAGTTAAATCATCAGAATGAAAGGGTCAGTCAGGGTCAGTTACAGCTTACGTCTTTGTATCGCCTCTGTTGTTTGTCATCCCTTCTTTGTGAAGATGACCGAGTTACATACTCATGCGGGTGTTGATGCCAACACATATCATCCGAATATCTCCAAACCATTGGACACGTGTTGTTTTCTTTTGTTTTGACTCAGTGCCCCTGATAATTCATGTGTGATAATCTTAGTGAACATTGCCCCAAGCTTGAAAAATACAAGAATATTAATCACATACGCACACATATATACATATATATACATATATACATATGTACATGGCATATATATATATGTATGAATAATGATGTATATATAGAATATAAGTTCAATCATCACTTGCCCATTAAGACGTGTAATGTTCAAGACATTTGCTCACAGCAAGGCCAGCCTTAGTCATGAAGTCACAAGAGTCGAAGGTGCGTTTCGCCATGGGGCTGGACTGGGCTGGAAGATGTTGCCAACATTTACCCCAAATTCCATGGGTTTTTACCAACATTTGCTGTAAAAACCATAAAAAGCCATGGAATTTTGGGGTAAATGTTCCGAATCTGTACTCCCAAAGCCATACAACACGACCTGTACGGGCCGCATAACAGTGACGTCTCCTGGAGGCCACCTCTCGGACAGCTGAAGCTTCAGACGCGTTTCCTGTTCCAAACGAAGAACGGATTCTCAGGGTCAAGTGTTGGGAAGCTAAGTCTATATTCACAGACACACGCACGCATATGTATATATATATATATACACTGTATACATACATTATATATATATACTGTGTATATATATATATGCGTGCGTGTGTGTGGGCGCGTTTTATTTATAACCTAATGATAATTTCAGAACTGCTGAGCATCACTATAAGTTTCTATTTCAAACGGTGAATCCATGACGCGGGGGTGTGCCTGGAGGACGAGGCTTCGACTCAGTGGCAGGTGGAGGTCGTGGAGGTCGAGTGACAGATGGAGGGTCAATGGGCACCTCAAAATTCTACTGGTAATTTAACATAGCTATTGAAAATGGTGATTTATAGTGGATTTTCCCATTGAAAATGGTGATTTTCCATAGCTATGTTAGTTTACCAGAGGGTACTGTTGATCACTCCAACTGTTGGAAAATGATAGCGGGTAGCCACAAGGGCGAAGGGACATGTTGCCAATTTGCCATTTTGTTCTCCTATTTGGAGTGTTCAGGCGCAACCCCGCGTTAGGGGATTGAAGTGAACGCGATGAGAATTGATATCAAGATTGCACCCCTAAGAGCCATGGCTGGAGTACAACTACCATCCTTAAGCCTAGTTAAGGTGGTTGTATCCCCAGTGATCTTAGGATAGAAATGGGTGCAACCGCTAGGTGCTGCTATATTTAACTGTATAGATTGCATAGATGGATGTTTTTGGGTTTCCTGTATGCTATCCATGTATGAGACAGTTGTATATGTATATCTACCTGCATTTTCGCACGGTATTGTTTGGGTAAATAAGGCAAATATGATAAATATGCAATACCTTAGGCCGTGGTGATTTGGGTACCCTCTGGTAAACTAACATAGCTATTGAAAATGGTGATTTATAGTGGATTTTCCCATTAAAAATGGTGATTTCCTATGGTTATGTTTCAAACTCTATAAGACAAAGGGACCCTGTTGTTCCATCGTAGCAACCTGGTCCCATGTCAACTTCGGCCGGTAAGACGACCATGCAAGTGTTGATGTAGCCGGCTGTGCGAAACATGGCCGCTCTTCTGTGACGCTTACCAGTATCCTATGGGGATCTGTGGGGTGCTGCCAGGTTGCTACCAGGCTCAGTTAGGATTGCAGAAAGAACATCATCAAAAGTAAAAGTACTAAAAGGTCCAAGAGTCCAATCATATATAGGAAGCAGAATTAGAATAGACTAGAGATATTTGTCACTCTTCATCCATATGCCTGGCAGCCAAGATAGCCAAGCTTTCAGGTGTCACAGATCCCTCTTGTAGTGCAATGTAGTACTTAAGTAGATAGATGGTTGTCGATGCGGTGGCATTTGGGTTTGTCTCAGAATTCAGTGCACCCCAAAATCCCATGGTGATCATGGTGTCTCCCCATTAACATAGTATTCTTGGGTCATCCCGCATCCATTTTCAAACGTTTCAAACGGCCAGGACCAGACACTGAGCGCGCTGGATCTCCTATCGCCTTGACGGCCGAAGATCAGCAAACAGCTCGTTTTTTCGATGTTTTTGTTGACTTGAAAGAAAGCTGTCTCTGGAAAGCTGTGACTACTGAGCTTTTCTGATTTGTTGGCATCCTTGGATGAACTTTCCTGAGGCATTTGGCTCAACGGGCTCAACGGACTCAACATGACATCTAAGCTCAGAAGCAAAATACATCATTTACATACTTTACAGAGAATAAACAAATGTACGCGCAAACAGAGAGTCACAGATGTATACATACATAATTACATAAGTATATATATATATATACAATGCATATATGTACACAATTGTACACATATGTATATACATGTATATACTCTATATTATATATAAATTACAATTAGATCACAAGCATGGCACGCACATCTCAAACACGTCCAGGTTCAGCGCTCTGTTGGTCAAGGTATCCAGCAATGTCCAGCATGGTGAACGAGGAAGTCTCCACATGCCATGCCTGATTTCAGTTGCAAGCACTGGGCCTTGTTCTGGGGATAAGTTCTGGTATGGTTCCAAATTCCAAGTGAAATCAAGTGAAATCCGTACCTCAAACATTGGGGCCGGCATACTTGATACGTGTTGACAATACATAATATAGATAGATATTATGTACACACAATAAGTATGCATATATGTATTTCTACGCGAAATACACACACACACATTACCGGGATAGTATCGTGCCGTCCGTTCCACAGCAGTTGAACACAAACGTTTTTAGGGGGCTTGTGCAACGATGACGACTTCTGTGAAGCCTGGACAACTTCCTGGAAACGTGGACAACTTCCATGAATCCAATGACACGTTCTGAAACACTGCATTTAATCTCTTGACCGGACTGCAATACCCACATACCTATATCCTATGACATGTTTGCACACAAAGAAGAAACATATAGAAACATTTGTGATAACACAGAATGAGTGTACAGATAGATAGTGATATAATCTGATATAATAAAACTATGGAGGTTTCCTAAAGTCATGGCTGTACCCCAACTCCATGGCCAGGAAGTCGAGGCAGTGACTGCAGCGAAGGACATGGCCAAGGCGGCCAGGAAAGCAGAAGAGGTGCTGCAAGCCCTGAAGATGTGGGAGGGCTGGGGTGTGGCCCTCAGTTGCTGGGACTTCTGGTGATTTTTGTAAGGAGTTTTCTGGAATTTTGAGATGGAAACCCCAGAAAAAAAAAAAACAAGGATTTGATGAGCAACGAATAAACTTCTGTAAGTTTCCCTTGGGATGTGGGATGATATTATTAAATATCATTAAATGTGTTTTTTTGTTTTTATTAAATATATTATATTTGATATGTTTGGCTCGGCTTGAGACATGTGCCTCTGGGGTCCACCATGTTCCGTGTTCGTAGCTATTACATTCCTTGGCCCTCCAGATGCTGTTGTAACCAAAACAATGCAATATCTACTGTGAAACCAACTCCATTGACCAACTTTGTAACACACAATAATAACAATGACCAAATAATTGCATCAGAACAATAACATCAAACATACTGTTATAACTACTCAAAACTACATGTGACCAACTTAGGTCATAATGAGTTAATTTATGTTCTGACCAACTTTGCAGTCACAGCTTTTGAGCTTTAGGATCCCCTGCTGTTGTTTTTCGGAGGTTTTCTAGGGTTCCCCAATGTTGCTCGTGGATTTGAAGCATCATGTTTTCCAACATTTCACTTGGAAAACCCCATGTATTGTTCACTCAAGTTTATCATCAGAAAATCACACAGAGTCGAAACCCAATGATTTTCACATCAATATCAGAAATATATAGACATATCCAAAGGAGTGTTAACCCTTACAATGTCCCCCACTATTCCCCATTCAAATGACATGGCTAAGGCAGATACCACAGTGCTATCGCCTTGGGACCTGATCAGGAGCTCTGATTAACAACAATGGATTTCTGGTGTAAACCATGTATCTATCATCATTTTCCCCATGGATTTCTAGTGTTTGTATGTCTTTATCATCATGGAAACTTCATCAAACTGGTGATTTTCTAAATGATTATTCTGAGTTATGCATCAATACACGCACATACGGAGGGAGGGAGGTACGGAGGGAGGGAGGGAGGGAGGAGGGAGGGAGGGAGAGGAGAGAGAGAGAGAGAGAGAGGAGAGGGGAGAGGGAGAGAGGAGGGAGAGGGAGAGGGAGAGGGAGAGAGAGAGGGCGAGAGAAGGAGAGAGAGAGTGAGAGAGAAAAACCATTGTAGACAGACACAGATTGTTTCTCCGCATTGATGATGAGTAGTTGAATCGAACAATCCTCGAAAAATGGGCTGATCTCGGCTTTGATCAATCGATCCTTGAGATGCAAAGGAGATTGTTCTTCCAGTGCAAGAGGAGCCCGACCCGGATACCGCCACTGGGATTCATTGTTTTTCTTCTGTATTTGCGGCTGGCAGCATCAGATGAATGATAGATCTTATGAAGTGTACTTTCAAAGTCTTGCACATGTATTTAAAGGCAACACTTTTTTCAAATCCTTGAGCCATCACTATTATTTCGAGGTAATTCTCGTTCAGCTCAGGTCGGTTTTGCATATCCTTTGCCACCTCTGGAGCTGCCTGTCTTGGTCTTGCTTTGCCTCCGTGGTCTGTGATGCGGTAAAACTTGGCCAATGTTTCCGAATGCTTCCAAGGTCTATCAAAAAACAAATGGATCCAAATGCTGACATTCACCTCACTATTTGGGTGAGTCTAAGTGTTATTTAGCCTCCAGAAAACAATGCTTAATCTGTAAAAACGATCTGGAAATACCTGTATCCTCAAAAAAAACAGAGATAAATGCTCGTTTGAGAGATATCTGTTTTTTGAGCGGTTTTTATCCAAATGAGCATAACTGCACCACTTTTGGCATTTTTGCACTTCATGGATTTTGAAGCCAAAATTATGAGCATATTTTCCCGGGAAATAAACGTAAATATCAAAGAAAAAATGTAAATACCCGTCCGTCAAGACACGAATGAACATTTTTTGTTAAAGCGAACATAAAAAGTCAGAACGAGCGTATATCCAAGAAAAACTGCGAGCAGAAAAAAGTGCTAATCGAAGATCCAGGTGTGGAAAGCATAACGGTTATCCCACGAGATATTCCCAAAAAAAGAAAGACATCCACGGAATATCCACAGAATTAAAAACTGAATGATACAAACTAAATGATACTGTATTAATTGATCCCAAACATATTGTACATGTTCGTGCCTCATAACCCCCTTTCGTATCCTTTCGTTACAAATTCTGTAGTTCGCCCTGCCATCTTTGGTCATCTCCCGTGCTTCAGGTTTAGCCTGCGAAACAGCCGAAAGTTTCCACCCCCGACTGAAGAGGTCATTGGCCAGGGTTTGCGGCTGTGGTGAAAGGCTGCGAACGTATCATTCCCAATGGCAGGCAGCCCTACGTGAGATGTTCAAACTCTTGCACTACGCCTGCATCCCAGTGGTTTTTTTTTATGCGCCTTGAGTCTTGGCGGAAGGCTCGGTGAATTGAGGTCTGCAAAGAGGGGCTATGTACCAAAAACTATGTCTTGAGCGTGACGCCCTCAGAAACTGTCAGATTCATGTCAGATCTCATGATGGTGTCCTCTGCTTGATCCCTAGAAAGATGCAATAGTATCAAGCTAGACTAGCTATATCTAGCTTTGGTCCCTTTAAGAAGCTCCAAGTGTGTATGAATCCGTATCAAGACACTTCGCGGGGTCAAGTTTCAACTCTTTGCGCTCTATATATACCCCGCAAAGCACTTAGATGGTGACTGTTGGTCCTTCTCATATTTGGAGGGTTGGATTCGATGTGTGGATTTATGTCCTCTTCTTCCTGACTTCTTTTGACACCTTTTTTGGCTGCTTTTCAGTGAGATGGATTTCTTGCTGCTGGTGAATACAAAAAATGTTGTCCATTTCCGGTCCCTACTTTTACTATTTTTTCTTCCAGTTGCCTAGATTCGGCGATGGTTTAAAACCGTCACTAGCTCACTAATTTAATGTAGGAAACCCAGTAATAAACCCACCACTTGGGGATGGTTTATACTACCCATGTATGGTGATTTTGGGGATGCGTTTCTTATCTTATCTTTTAATTTCTATAGATCCCATGGGTATCATTCTACCGGTGCTCCCGTCCTGAGGTGATTTACAACTGGATCAACAGCAATCGTCGAGACAGTCCCATTTGGCAGCGCGGCTTTTTGACCGCCGGCGGAGCCGACAAGCTCAAAGAGTTCTGGGACGAAGAAGGTTCAGATCAGGAGCCAAAGGGGGGGGTCTCAGAAGTTCTGGAATCCCGGATGGCCCGAAATACTGGTACCATGGTTTAGCAGAGTAGCAGTTTAGATATCAGTTTATATTAATTAGTTTGCATCAGTTTAGATCAGTTTACCATATATATGTTTCACTTTCAAAAATGGGCCATGTTGTATCCATGGTGATGGTGAAGACACTTTGCGGCATATCCCCAGCAAACATCGGCAAACTATATGCAGCTTCGGTTTTGGGAGACTCCTCCAGCTTCGTCCTGGTAATCCAACCTGGCAACGGAATCCGCAACAGAAATTCGGCTTGGTGATTCCGGATAGGAGTTGGACGAGGAATATTCGGTGAGATACTGGGCCTGGACCTCGGGTTGGCACGGTTGATCGAAACGGGAAGCTGGAAGTTCAGAGGGAAAAATAGGGAAAACTCTTGGACACATGATAGGAACACGAGTCAAATCTTGAGATGTTTTTTTTGGCAAAGACATGCAAAGACAGAAAACATTAGAAAAAAAAATGCTAAGACCATTCAAGACCAACTGATGTGTATAAAACCCTCCCATTGCTTGCAGGTTCTGGCCATCATCGGCAGGATGATGGGCACATCACAAGAGCTCGCAGCTGAGACGACCCTAGGATTGGGCAGTGAAGGCTGGTAGGATACCACCATATTTTGCGATCAAAATGGCAGTTTCTAAAGGGATATATATATATTATATGATATATAATGTTGGTAAAACAATAATACACATCGCATTCGGGAATGGTTTATACGACCTATTTATGGTGATGTGGTGGATGGTTTATTATTGTTTTACCCACATTAATGATGATGAACTGATGGATTTAGGGCACCCTAGTTTAAAATGAGAAACTTCTTCGATCAGATTGAATTTAGATGAACTTGCATAGTTTTAATTTCGTATGACGTCATAGAAATTCTTGTTTGTTTGGGGTGGTTCAAAAGTTAAGTTCATATGAAACTTGTCAGTGAAGCCTTCATTTAGTATGGCAAATCAGGGCACATCCTGAAAATTCATGAAAATTCCTCATCACTGCGACTGAGGTCGCGTGCGCATTTGGTGAAGGAGGGCTTGGTGAGTTTGATTCTGGAGGCTACCGAAATGTCCCGCGATGTGAGTTCCATAAGTTTGCCATGTTTGGTCAAGGGATGATAGGATGATGACAATACTCCCATGATTGTTATACAATTAGATACAATTAGCTTGTTTTGCTGCTTATTGCATAATGCTATTTAATGCTCATTCATATTATCCACCTATTTCCATTTGTTCTTGAGTGATCCCTTCTGGACCAATTGACATATGTAATAATAATAGACATATGATTACCACAACCTCACCTTCCGACAGATCGGGGACAGTGGAATTATCCCAAGACTGTCCAACCTGTGATTTCGGAACATTCGAGTTTGCCATGTTCTAAGTGCATATGTGTAGAATATGATGAAAGTGTATATGAAAACTAAAATAAACTAAACCCTTCCTCCATTGGTATTAAGATGTAAGTATTAAGCACATCTTAAACCCCAAAAAAATCCATGGTGGATGGGGCATGAAATCAGGAATCACCTCATGGGGCTCCTTAAAGGACACCCGCGGAGCCAGGGCACGAAATCCGACCAGACGGAGATCCGCGAGTGCGCGGTCTGTGCCTTGAAGGGCTTGATTCAACATCCAGAGGCTGCCGGGATCCCTTCGGGATCCAAGGGATGGTGTACAAGACTACCGCATTTGGTATACCCTCTGGTAATTTAACATAGCTATGGAAAATCACCATGATTAATGGGAAAATCCACTATAAATGGTCATTTTCAATAGCTATGTTAAATTACCAGAGGGTAGCTGGTGCTAGAGTTGGAACATGGAACCAATCTCCTTCGAAGAGTTTTGGTTGAAACGCGAAGGAAAGGAATGGACGGTGGACAATAGAATCGACAGCTGGAACCAAGGTTCCATGTGTGCCCCAAAGAACATGGTAGGACATGTATCAAAATAATACAATACGTTGGTGCGTACAACTAGTTTCTCTTTTTCTTAAGGCCGTTCGAACAGCTTAAGAAACAAATATAACATAACCGGACGAGACCCCTGCCTATCTTTAACTGATGGTAAAAGTTTGTTATTCTTGGACATATTCCCAATATGAATAACCATGAATAACCCATTATAACCCCCTAAAAAAGGAAATGATTAATAGATCCTGGTCGTACTAGATTCGTGATACATGACTTCTCTACAGCGGAGGGGCCTTTTATTGAATCTGACGGTCGCGCCAGGGCCGTGAAGTGGTGACCTACAAGACGCTGATCGAATGCTTAGCGCGCTAAGTTCAGCCAGATGTTTTGCTGGGAAAGTCACAGGTCTTAATGGGAGAAACATCCACATTTGTTGTTAGGTGGTGAATGTATTGTGTATACATGTAGTACTGTTATACACATGTTTATTTACAATAGATGTATGACGATGTATATATGCATTTATATATATATAATTATATGTTACATACACACACATATATATATAATGCATCCATGCCTATATATATATAATATGCATCCATGCCTATATATATATATATATGTATGTACGTGTGCGTGCTTTTTACACATATATTTACATTACATTTGTATGAACCGTTTTACATTTAAATGAAAATATACATACATATTGAGTTTTCCCATGTGTCCGTTGTTGAGTTGAGTCATTTTTTTTGTGATATTTGGAGCGTGTGGTAGCCAGTGCAGCTTGCTTTGATTAACTCCAGTTTCTTCACCAGTTCAGCTGGGCAAAAGAAGTTGCCGAAGTCACTTTCCCCTGAGGCAATGGTAGAACTCTTTAGCTAAAGTTTAGCCCGCTCTGGCTATCTTTAGCTGTCTTCCTGTTGCACTTGTGACAGTTCAAGGCAGTTTTGCTGACCTTGCAGCTTCATGTGATCGTTTTAGGATGATAGCTCGTGGCAAAGCATAGCACAGCAGCAATCAGTTCTGCTTCTTAGCAGGTCGCCAAACATACATAAGGTGACCATGGAATCTGGCACAAGCTTGCGTTACCAAGAGAAGGTTGTTCTCAGCCGCATCCATTTGGTAGAACACAGAAAGCAAAAGGGCTGCTGCTGTTGGGTCCCGGGTCAGACATTTGGATGCGGACAAACCGCCATAAAAGGCCCGCAAGCACCGCACAACTCACTTGCAACTCAGTTCTTTTCTACGTTGTGCTACCTTAAGATACCTAAAGCCCAAGATGAACTTTGACAAGTAAACATCAAATAACCTTTGTAGCCCAAAATCGAAAAAGTCACAGTTCCAAGGACTTCCACACCTTTGGACCTTGGAGCCCCGTGGTATGCCGTGGTTTTGGTTCAGCCTGGGTCACCAGCCATTTCCCCTGGCAGTGCTGAAGAACAGCATGGGCACCGGAGTACTGGTCTCAGGCGCAGGCGCCATGGTACCCTAAGATCCCTTGGCGTCATTGGTGGTGGATGTCTCACCAAGGCTACTGAAAAAACAGAGGTTTCGACATATGCCCATATCACATCATAGATGTCATAGATCATCATGTTTATCATCTCTCAATTTGTCAATGAGCCATCTATATATAGCTGTTAGAAATCACCGGAGGGTATTTTTTTGTGTATCCAAAGGGAATTTTCAGGGTGAAATCATGGGATATTTTGATTGGGTAATCGTAACCCTGGATTTTCCTAAACCCGTAGTGAAGCCACAAGTGTATCCCAGGGGGATCTTGAAACAAGATGCTTCTACTGTTGCACTTGAGTCACTTGAGTCTTGTGTTTCTTGGATGTCGCTGATATGGTGCTCACGGATCCTGGCAGGCCACCCAACAGATGAAAGGAGTGGCCTTTGTAAAGTGGCACCCTGCAGTCTCTGTCTCAGGGGTCAACCCACGGCGACTTGATGTACATTCCATCAGAGACACAACTGGTTGATATTGATTGATGCTTTCGATACTTTTCCCCATGTTTCCTCCTCTCCTGGTATCATGATCCCAATTGACTCTAGGGGAAGAACATGGAAAAACATCCAATGCTTTCAATATCTTTCAGGGGGCTGAAGCCAAGCAGTACTGCAGTCGATAGTCAAAGTGGCAGCCAGAAATTGCCTCCTTAGCTAATTTGTCACCTCTATCTGAGTCGTACAGAGAATTTGGTTGTTGGTGTCATTTCTTTATTTTCAACCATATTTAAGGACTCAAAGAACTTTCAAATCACAGAAACACTGTTCATCATTTGTTTGAAGAGGTCACCAACCTCAACACTGGATTCCTTCCAAAGGTGGATCCAATCATCCATACCCGTGAAGAAATTGGAGTTGTGATCATCTGAGCCTCTAAGCTTTTGTTGGTGTTCGGTGAAATTGTGGGCAGCAAGAACTCAACTGTTGAGAAGACCGCCCAAAAAACCACCCACGCTTGAGGTAGCATCTCAAGCGCTCGGCAAAGCTTTGTGGGGGCTATCTCGCAGGACAGCTTTGTGGGGGCTATCTCGCAGGACAGTGTTGACACATGATTTCTCACCTAAAATGGGATCGTTGATCCCGGTCGGTGGTGTGGAATACTGAATATAGTGATCGTACGCGGTTGTTGAAGTGCCAAACCCTAAACCACCAGTGAAGCATTCCCATAGGCCCCAGATATGACACATTCACCAACATGTACCCCAAACAATGACCCAGTCCTGTACTGTAGGTAAATTCATCTAATCCTGTGGTGCTTCCGGTTTTCCCTTCAACCAACGTCCCTAGATTTCCCAATCATGGTGAATTTGATGCGACATTTTGCCGGAAACACACATATCAATTGAATGTAAAAGGCAGCCAGTTTCCGGGTTTCATCGGTTTTCACATGTCCCTTGAATCAATCCATTGAGTAGTTCATTATTGCTGCTTAATGCTGCTTAAGATATGCCACATGTTTGTTTTGCTTATCAATAAATGTCCTATTCAAAATCCGTCAATCCGTCAAAAAATCGACCACAAAGAAATTTGCACGTCTATCACCGTCTATCTACATGTATATATATATATATATATCTGTGTATATATATATATGAATTCCACATGGATATGTGTATAGGATATGTTCCATGAAAGTTCCATATTCCATATCAAAATGTTCCATCCAACAACCCAACACCCCAGGATGTTGGCGCCATGCTGGTGCTCGAACTCCTTGGAGGTGGGCCATTTTTCTTCGCCATCTGAAAAATATCCAGAGGGTATTCGATGGTATCCACTATGGTTATCTATGGTTGGTATGAGTTATATGGTGCCATTAGTGGTACCTTAGATCGTCTTACTATTAGATGGTATGAGATGCTATGAATGTTATTAGTTGATATTGTTCCATCATACTGATAGGGGTGCTGTATGGTGACGATACTTGTAATAGGGGCGATGTATGTTGATGTTATGTGATACAAGTTTATAACCCAAGTGCGCCCCAAGTGTTATAATCCCATGGTGACCATCTCCCCAGACCATGGTTAACCCTTTATTCTTCCATGGAAATCCCATTAAAGTCTGATTGATTCCTCAAGTTGAGGAACTAATTATTGTTTTTTAATTAGTTAATTATTCTCCATTGTGTCAATTATCATCCTATTATTTGTTAAAGCCCCCATGAATGTGGCAAACCCATTGCCATAAACCTCCAAAGTTTGATGGTTAATGCCAACCCATTTCTAGTACAATTGAGGATCCAGTATTGTGAAAAGCTCTATTGTTCCATTGATGGTTATTAACTACGGGTTAACCACATTATTTTTCCATTGGTTTACCAGATTCGTTCTTCTTTAGATTTACCTTAAACTCCATGAAACCCTCAATAGATCCCATTAAACCCTATTTAATGTTCGACATTAATCCCGGGTTAGTACATCATTCCATTAAATTCCATTGTAATTTTTCCAGTGTACTGCAATTATCATTCATGGTTCTTTCCAAGTATCATCCCATTAAAGTCCCAACAATTCCATTGAAGTTTCATGGGTTTACCACACTAAACATCCCATGAACTCAAAATAAACCTCAATAAACCCTATGAAAACACCACTAAAATCCCACTAATTTGTCACATTGCCATTGAAATTTCAATGGCAAAATGTCAACAACTGCCTGCAGGTCCACAGCCCGTTGCAGCTCTCGCATGCACCTGCCGGGAGCTCTTGCAACAGCTGCGCGATCCAAGGTGACGACAGACCGACTGGAATCTTTCAAGGGATTTGGACGGATTTGGGATAGAAAATCCTGAAAGATCACCTGGAAATCATGGAATATCATATTCAAACCATGGTTTAGTACGGGAATGTATTTATTTTCCGGGGATGTAGGGGAAACAAAATGGTGAAAGGGGGAAACTAGGACAAGAGAGGTTGGAGGTTGGTTGGGAGGTTGTTATGTTTTTGTTCAATATTGTAAATCTAAATGTTTGACTGTTTCTTTTTGATTATCTTGCTAAATGTTTTGTTGAGGTTGTTGTGATAATGTTTGGGTTGGATGAGGGTAGGTTTTGCTGAGGGTGTTTTGGCTGTTATGGTTTTTAGGTTTATGTTCAATGTTTGTTCCTTGGTTTTGATGTTTTTCTGGGGCTGTTTTTGGACATTTTAGGTCAAAGTGTTCATGCTTACCTTGTTGATATTTTTTTGCTTGATTTATGTTTTGGTTAGGTTGTTGGGGCTATATTCTGAAGCAGTCCTTCTTATGCTCTCAGGTTTCCTTGTCTTGGTTTCCCCAATCACCAACACCTGTGTCAACGCCAAACACATGCATCGTGACTGCTTCTTTTCTTTTAGGAGGTTGCCAAGTGTCCCATCTGCCTTTGTCGTTTTTTCCGTTGTCCTTCCTATGCTTCCTGTTCTTCGCTGACGCCCTCATTTTCAATACGTCGGGACGCCCAAAGCTTGGAGAAAGGACTTGTGCGAACTTGTCCTGTGTCATCTTGTGTCATCTTGCGTCATTGTGCAGACTTGCTCTCATGTTGTTTTTCTGGTGATGTTATGTGATGGTGTTGATTTTGGACATTCGTGTCTGCCATCTTTGTTTTCTCCAGCAACCATGGGGGCTCAAGACCCCACAACAGTCAGAGGATGTTGGGTTCGTGGGCGAAATGGATTGGGGAGAGAAGTGTGCCCCTCATCTTTGGTAGTGGGGTCAGCGGCTCTCTCATGGCCGTTGTGTGGAATGCCACCGAGCAAGACCGGATGGCTCGTGCCATCCAAAAGGGGCGCTTCCGCCCAAAAAAGTTTGAGGAGTTCCAATTGGAGTTCCTGAACTTTGACCTCCCAGCCATCCACCGAGGTCTTGGCAAGAATGGCATGGTGGCTCTCATTGGCATGCAAGCCACTGGGAAGACCACCACACTCCAGCATGTTCTGTGGGAGGCCGAGAACCCTTTTTTCCTGAAGGTCTCCCACGACGATGTGCATCGAGCCATCCACAATCAAACTCATAGGGGATGAGCCTTTCAGTGTGAGGGGGTGTTGCGCCCATTCCGAGGTCAAAAAATCATCACTGACGAGACCTTCGTTGAGGGTTGGCTGGGTTTCAAACAAACATTGTGGAAAAATGTTCAACGCTTTTTATGGAACAAATCCGTTCAAGTGAAGATCACAAGAACAATTGCGGGTAGCCTTCAAAAGCCCAACTTTCAGTGAGGAGTTCAACCAACGCGTGTAGGGAGTGTCGATTTCGGACAATTCCTAAACTGTATATTCATTGGTTTTACACCCGTTCTTTGAAGATGCGATATATGATACATCTATAGTCTAAAATCCTAAGCAAAAACAATCTTTAGAGCAATACGCGGAGTATGGAGAGATAAACCACGACCTTATGAAAGAAATTTATGAAAACATATTTGATAAATATTTAATCAAAAAACACGGTGAGAGGATACACCATAGAGGAGGAATGACAGCATTACGACAAAACTATTATACACTATTGTCAGTGTTGGGATACTTGATTGACCAACGAGGACTTGATAGAGACACAATCATTTTGGTGTTCTACAACATCAAAACAATTGTTTCTCAATGTTGGGATGGAATAGGTAGTGGTGATGAAAAGTGGAGACACTAAACCTAACGATTAGGTCATAGTATCTTAATAAAATATATTATGATGTAATCCACGCTAAAAACCCCTTAAAGACATAACCCCTTAAAATTGTAGAGGTATAATGACTGACAAAAAGCAGTGTTCTAAATGTAAAGTCTATCAACCGTTAGACAACTACAAAAATGAATGTAAGCAGTGTAATAAATGTTTAGAAAACAAACGCAGATACAGGGAACAGCACAAAGAAACTTTAAAACAATATGCTCAACAATACTACGAAAGGAAAAAGGACGAATTAAGTGATAAAAAGAAAGAAACGTTGGAATGTCCAATTTGTAAATGTGAAGTAAGGAAATATACAATGAAACGACACGAAGAAAGCATCAAACATCAAATGAACATTAATGGACACTATCTCATACAGTAAAACCACAACAACCTCAACATACCCTACCCTCATCCAAACCAAACATTAATCAAACAGCTCCGACGAAACATTTAGCAAGATTAACAGAAAGAAACAGTCAAACATTTAGATTTACAACATTGAACAGAAACATAACAGCCTCCCACCTGACCTCCAACCTGTCTTGTCCCAATTCCCCTGTTTTACCATTATTTTAGGGGGAATGAGAGTTGTTACTGTAGCAGGAAGGATTTTGGGATGCAATGCCCAGGATTCGGAGTATAATAGCCCTGAGGCTCTGAGATCATAAACATGGCCTGTTTAAAGATGCCGAGGAGATACGGTAAATATATAGATACAGATATATGTATACTGTCTTTCTCTCTATATATATATATACACATCAACTATATATATATGTATGAAGATATCCAAAGTTTCAGACCCAAGCTAACCATTTGGGTGGCTGCGCCAGGACTGGCCAGCTTCGCGTGTCGACCGCTAGCTTGAGTGGCTTGCTTTGGAAACCGGTGGTTTCCATATGTTTCCATGGGGGTATCCCAATAGCTGGATGTTTTACCCTCTGGTAAACTAACATAGCTATGGAAAGATCCACCACTTTTAATGTGTAAATCAGCTATTTCTATGGCCATTTTCAATAGCTATGTTAAATTACCAAAGGGTATACTGGAAAATCCTATTCATAGATGGAAGATTTGGGGGTTACACCCATTTTAGGAAAACCCCAAATATTGATTCTGCTGATTTCAGGCATGTTTTCAGATTTTCTCTCATATCCACCTGGGCAACATTGGCTGTAGGGCCATGAGATGGAAGAGATGAATGTTTAATCACAGGGTCCCAACCCCGAGACGTCTCTCGTATGGCTGGTTCATTGGAGAAAGCATCCACCTGGCTTTTCAACATACTTCAACCAATTCAGCTACATGGAAAGCGCATGAACATGCAGGACAACTGCATTTGTCGTGATCAAATGCCGATTTTTCTGGCCATAGTGTCATGTAATGAATGACACATGAAGTGTGGACTGCCTTTGATTTTTCAAAAATGGTTGTAAGACTTGGTTGTGCCACCAACATAAGAATTCCATTCTCTACAGGAGGAAAAACAAAAACACGCTCCCATTTGCCATTTAGGGTTTGATATATGTCTATTTTGTTGGGAGGGGATGGCCTATATCACTGTGGAAAACCGATCACTTCCCTCCTGGAACACATTCGCATTCCGAGGGGCGTCCAGCCCTGCGCTGCTGGCGTTCGCCCAGCGGCTATGTTTGGGCCAATTGCGGAGCCTCAGACTCGACGTCTTCAAAGAGAGCGGACATCTGCCGGAGAGGCCACAAGGGCAGAGATTCTGACATGGAAACATGTGGAAAGCTAACATGGAACCCAAATGAACCCGCTAATTAAGAGAAGAACCACGGATGGAAGATGATTCTATGCCAATATGGTTTTTGCTTGCCTTTCAATGATGCACTCTGGACGAGTTTTAATTGGAATGATCACTCTTTTGGTGACGGCCTTATCAATCAACCTGTGGCACCCGCGGCCTGAATACTGTTCAGTACTGTTCATTTTTAGGATATCATAGGATATCATCATCCAACTTGTGCAGGTGCTTAGGAGCCATATGCATGTTGCCAACTACCAGTCAGAATGGCTTTCACTGTCCCAATGTTTTAGGTGTGAAATCTACTTTTGATCTCCTGGATGATAGCCTTTCAGGTTTGCAAATCAACAACCTCTCTTGCATTTGGCCGTGGTTTTTGTAGTGTTCCATTCTCATTGGGGCTATGTTTTGCCATGGGTTTTTCAGGGCCGCAGTGGTTTTTCCATGTTTTTCCATCGTGAGCATGGGGGCCATTTTCAGGTTTGATGATCCTTTTTGGATGGATATTAATGGGACTTATATGGGGAAAATAATATAATATTGTTTAAGGTCAGCCCTGAGTCCCAAGTGTCCTTCGCGTTGTGTGCCTTGTACACTTCTCGATTTGTGCGGGTCTTCCCACACCAACGCCCAATCCACGGACGCGCCTTCTTGTTTTCGATCTCGAAACGGCTAAGGTAATGTTGGATTGAATGAAATGCAGAATGGGATATGCAGGCATATGAACAAGAGCACAAACACTCCTCCTAATCTGCGATGCCCATCTGCAGATTACACATTTGACGCATTTGGAAAATTCAATTGGCATGGGAATTTCCATCCATGGCCACAAGCATTCGGTGCCAGTGGAAGGTAACAAAAACCTAAAAACGGTGACCTTCCAAGATTGACTCAAGCCGTCTCTCACTCGCTAAGTCGCATTCACGCAGCGCTGACATTTCTGATACTTTCTTCCAGATTCAGTCATCGCAACGCAGTCGGAATCGTAGTGCGCCTTTGAACCCGGTCCACACGTGTACACCGGTTGGTCTCCAGTCTTTCCGAGTGGGGCGCAAACATCGCACCACTGACACGGCACAAATCTCTTCGTGTTGGCCAAAGTAGGACAACTTGTGTATTCATGATAGCGGGCACCCCATGGAGTCACAAAAATGGGTGATCGGATGCTTCCTCTCACCGCCCTCTGGCCTCTTTCTTCTCCCGGGGTCCATGTGTTCCCGCTCATCGTTGGCACTGTTCTCTGGTGTTGGGTGCTGGCTGGTGCTGGTAGCGGAGCTTGTTTGGTAATTGGTGGCGGAGCCTTCACGGAGATCTGGGATGGGGGGACTGCTTGAGAACTAGATGCTGGCTCCTCTGGTGTGTGAACTCCAGATGTTGAGCTGGCTGCCGTCTGCTGCTGTCTTCCTCCTTCATCCTCATGGCCCTGCTCCTTCCTCGTCGGAGCCGTCCTTCTATGGCTTGACTCCTGTGTCCGACTCGCGCCCCTCTGGCTTGAGTCTGTCGAGAGTGCTTCTTTGACTCTCTTCGTCAGTTCTTCCTCCTCCAAGCTCCTCTTCGCTGGGGTCATCAACCTCACCATCCAGCTTATGCATGTCGTGACGCCGATCATGGCGAAGACCGTCAGAGCTACAAGTTGAGCTAGAGAGCTCCAACCCTCCTCCTCCCCTTGTTCTTGAGCTTTGGCCTGTTGGACACTGCAGAGGAGGATGACCATCCTCAAAATCCTCTCAACCTCTGCTCCTGCCTCCTGCAGCCCTGTCTCCTCTGCTTCTTTCTTCATGTGCTGGCTTGATCCTGAATCCTTCTGCTCCTGCCTCTCCTCTTCCTGATCATCTCCTCTCTGCTTCATGCCCATCATCTGCTTCAACTCCTCTAACCTCGGAGCTGTGAGGGCCTTGGTCCCAATGTCTGCAATCTGCACCTGACCTGAGATCGCCTCCACCACCCAATCCAGTCGTCCAATCCTCCACCGCAGATGGGACGCCCTCAATCGCAAGTGGCGTGTCCGCCAACTTCCAGCAGCTTCTGTCATCAAGCTCACCGCTGCTGTGTTGTCTATCTTAATCACCTTGGCATATGTATCCTGGCTGAGCTCCAGAATGAGAACATCCACACTATCCCCCATGATCATTCCATCAATTCCCTCTGTCAGCTCACTCTCAGCTGTTGAGAGGGCAGGCGCTCCTTGTCGGCCCGATTTCCACATGATGGGGCTTTTCCCCATAACACCAATACAGTTCCTTGGGAGTCGAGACCACCTGGTCCGTAGGAGGAATCTGTATAAACCTCAAGGTCCTTACCGCCAGCCTTCAGCTCCAGACCTTCTGCCTTGGTCTTCCTCAAGTATTTCCACACCTGCTTGGCGACCAAGAGGACTTCTTTGGGATTCTTCAGTGTGGCTTGAGACATCTTACTCAATGCAAACATCAAATCTGGACGGCTGCGTGTGACAAGCCACATCAGCTCGCCAGTGGCACGCTGTGCGGCCTTGACGTCTTCTGGGCTTTTCGTGTGGTCTTCTTCTTCCAACCTCAACACCTGATCCTTTGAGATCGGAATTCCAGACTTATGGCCTTCCTCTTCGCCATTTCGTCTGAGGAGGTCCTGTACGTAGCTCTCTTGTGTGATGAAAGCACTCTTTGTGCCCATCAAGACCTCCATCCCCAGGAATTTGACTGGCTTGACCTCGTTTAGCCATTCCGGGGTGCTTATTTCCCACTCTCGGGATATCCTCTCAAGGCACTCCTTGACGATGTGCTCTTGGGATAAGACCATCAGGTCATCAACATACACCACACATAGCCCCTCCATTTCCTCATCTAGCCCACCGGACCTCTTCACGATCTTCCAGACGTTTGGGTCCGTGGTGGATTGAACCAGGGCTCTGATTCCACCCTGACATCCCCATTCCATCATGCTCATCTTGGAGTCTCTGTGGTCACCCCACGCCTTGGGGCTTTGTCTCAGCCCGTAGACCGCCTTGACTGCGACCCACCAGTCTTCGGGGCTGATATAGCCGAGCTTGATCAGCAGGGCTGGTGGCTTAACCAGAACTACCACCACTTCTTGGCCTAGCTCCTCAAGCTCTTCTTTCTTCCATAGGCCCTCCAAAGCTTCTGCCGACCTACCGAGAGGTGCATTCAAGAACGCCGTCCTGATGTCGGCTATGGCTCCTGACCATCCTTCATCCAAGCTCTTCTTCAGTGCTATGCGGAAGCTAATGGAATCTGATCCACTAGCAAAGACATCTTCTTTCTCTGTCTTCTCGACGTAGTTTCCACAAGCCACAATCCGCACCTTTCGGCGACCACCTGCCTTTCTCGTGATGACCAACTTCGAGGGCACCACGAGCAGGTCGGGATGCCTCTCCTCTAGCCTGGCCTTTTCTTCTGAAGTGATCTTCCTCAAAGCTTCCTTGGCATTAAGGAGAGCATCTAGCTCGGCCTTAATGGCTTCATCCCAGAGGTGGACATCCTTCACCAGCTCTTGCGGAGAGACTATCTTTGTCTGTAGAATCTCCTGCTCTGCTCCTTCCGCCCTTTTCATCACCTTCTTCCAAGGGTCCATCTTCTGAAAGGTGAGCAGTGCGTTATCCAGCTGGTCCATCTCCACACTCTGTGCTTCTTCTTGGATCATTCTTCTGATCCCCAAAAGGCCTTCCAGTCCTCCATCCCTGATTGGCCTCTTCTCTCTGATCCTTCTCCTCTCCTGGATTTCGTCCCTTTCCACCTCCTCTGCAATCGCCAGCCACATCTCATCTTTGGGCGGCGGTGGTTCCTGTATGCTTCGAACCACATAAGGGGCAACACCCGAACGTCCATCTTCTCTCAGCACGCAATGCCCATGTGCCTCTATGGCTGGTGCCAAGTATCGTGCTGCTTCATGTGTGGGTTGAAATGCCTTTGTGCGCCAGTTCCTTGTCTTCACCAGTAACTTCTCCCCAAACTGGGGAATTTTGATGCCCTCCTTCTTTCTCCTCAGTCTGGCCGACTCCATCAGGAACCTGAGTGCCATAGGCCACCAACACACATCCATCTCCGAGCCGTGGAGAATCCTTCTTATTCTTCTCTTCACTTCACCAACAGCCCTTTCGGCTCTTCCGTTGGCCATAGGATCTTCTCCTCCGTTGGTTGAATGCACAACTCCTCTGCATCTTAACCAACTTCTGAATCGTCGATTGACGAATTCACGTCCTCGATCCGTGTGCACTGTATGCACCGGAAAACCATCTACCTTCAACTGAAGGTACAACTCAATGAAGCCACTCAAGACTGCTTCTTGTGTTTTCCCTTTGATGGGAATGCCGATTCTCATAACTTCAATCTTCGGGGGTTCGGGGTTCGGGGGGCTCCTCAAATGCTCGTGGGGGTTCTGCTTGTTGCTCTTCCTGGGGGTCTTCTGCTGCATCTGCCTGCTCTTCTTCTTCTTCTTCTTGTGCGGCTTCTTGATCTTCAATCTCTGGCCACTGATCCTCATCTTCTTGGGCTTCGAGCTCTGGTTCTTCATCAACTTCTGTTGCCTCTTCCTCATCGGGGGGTCTGAGCCAGGTGTAGGTGCCAATCAACATGAACTTGGCTTCACCATCGATGTCCTTCCCTTTCTTGTAGGGACCGGTGACATCAAGGCTCATCACACCTGCTCTGGGGTGCTTCACCTTAGAATGCATCCGACCTCTGGCTGATGCTTCTTGACACACTCTACAGTCACGTCGAAACGGTGTGTGCCCCCTTTCCAGATGCTCTGCCCATGACATCTTGGCCGCCTTCAGCTTCGCTTGAAGGACATCTTGTTGGATCCTCGTGGCAACTTCTTTCATCATTCCCGGCGGCCATCTTGACAGCTCCGCTGAGTTCATCACCTGAGCTTTCGCTGCCGACTCCTCAAAGCTCTCTGCTTGGTCTTCCTCCGGCAGCCTCAGGGTGATGTTGCCGGCGAACGTCGTGGGCTTCACTGCTCGACCTCCCCAGGCTGACTGCTTAAAGCTCTGGGCTTTAAGGTCGTACATACGTCGAAGCAGTTCCCATTCCTCAGTCTTCCAGAGCGTGACCACCTCAGGAATGTAGTGGGTTGGATCTGCTGGCTGCTCCAATCCCAACCTAGTGACGGGGATTTTGTCACTGTGGAGTGCCTTCCTGACCTCCTCCCTGATAATGAACAACATCAGTCCTCTCCAAAGCAACACATCATCATCCTCTACCTTTCGCTGCTCTTCTGGGGTATTACCTGATTTCCCCCATGGCTGATCCCAACTCCTCAACGGCCGAGGACCTCCTCCTGGGATTGCCAACGGGTAGTGACGAAGAACTGACCTCGTCCTACAATTTGGGCCCATGACAATGCCCAGCAGCGATCCATCCAAGGCACTCCTCAGTAGGGACGCAAAAGGTCCATTCTCATCATCGAGCATGTCGTGTGCTCCTTTCTTGTGCTTCTCGTGGTTTTCCCTCTTTACATCTATTTCCACCAGCCTTCGTCCATCTCCTCCTGCTTCTTTGAACGCTCGGCTGAGGCTGTACCCGGCACCCTCACCGGCATAGAGGTGAACCACGAACCCCTGTTCTGCCATCACTCTTCTTCTTCGGCGGTTTGCATCAGGGATACCTCTGAGATCCTCTGCTGGCTTCACCACCAATCTTCTTTTGATGGCTTCCGGCAACATCCTCAGTACCGGGTGGGCTTCCATCAACCCCCACAGCCACATCTCTTCTTGGCTAAGCTTCAGGGCCTGCATTCTTGGCGTCTCCACCTCTTCCAGCTTCTGAATCATCCTCAAGGCATCAAGCCGGGATACCTGAGGACATCCACTTCTCATGCAGACCTCCACCTTTCCATCAATGGGGTGGCTTAGAGTCATGCGCCCTTTCTTCCACGACGCCACATATCCTAACTTGCTAGTCAGGAGGCCAAGTGGGACAATGGGTTCGGCCCACTCATCTTCCACCACCATGACTCCTGATGCCGTCATCTTCATCCCTACCTGACTGCCGTCGGCCAGCGTCACCTGGACCTCTTCCAGTTGTGACAGATCTTCTCCTCTTCTTTTGCCACGCATGGGGTTGGTTGCTCCACTGTCGAGCAGGCCATAGGCTTCTTGTTCCTTCCCTATGCGTGACAGCCTCAAAACCTTCAGCTTCCGGAGTTCATCCAACTGGCCTTGCATGGCAGTCAGTCTTTCATCCTTTGTCCTGCTTTCGGCTTCTCCTGTCCTTGCCGACAGGCCCTTCAAGATCCTGTTGGCTTCTTCCAACAGACCTTTCATCGTCTCTGCTGATGTTGCTGACTCCTCACTTGTAGCCTCTCCTCCAGGCCCTTCTTCTTTCTGTTGGCTCTCGCCCTTCTTGAAAGCCTTGCCACTGGGCTTGTGGAAACCCTTGCCTTCTCCTCCCTTCTGACCTCTCTCGCCTTGGTCTCTGAGAGGCTCCTTGGGGCGATCACACGCTGGAGCCAAATGGCCTGTCGAGCCACACGTCCAGCAACGCCTTCGGTCTCCTTCCAGGACATGGCTCCAAGTGCATTGTTTGCCCTTCTTACAGCCCTCCTCTGACTGAAAAAACTTACATGGAGTCGAAGACTGCCCACCTTCTCCCTTCCATGCCTTGCCTTCACCTTTTGCACCTCCAGAAAACTCCTCCAGCCTTTTTACCTTTGGTTCTGTGCTGCTCTTCGCATCTTCTTTTCTCCTCTTGTCTTGATGTGCTGTCTGTTCCACTTCCGCAAGTAGATGGTTGGCAAACGTCATCACAGACGCTTCAGTCGGAGCTGTATCCACTTGCAAACTGCTTCTCGATAGTTGCACTCTAAACGCCAAATCGGCGTTATCCTTCAAAACTCGCTTCATCAAACGCCCAAGACCTTTGATTTGCAAAGTCGCATCTGGGCGGGTGACACCAACTTCTCCAGCCCTTCGATGCCATCGCAGCCAACGTCGAAGACCAGTCACCGCTCCAGCCAAGCTTGATGCCTCCTCCGGAGAATCTAAGGCCGTGAGAATGGCCCCTTTTTCTGAGAGCCCTCCAGGTTGATAGCATAGCATGAGCCGGGACAAGATCCCGACGGTGTTCACCTCCTTGGAAGCCACCACCTCCTCTTGTTGCGTAGGAGGAATGGCCGACATCAAAAGAGCAGTTGCACGCTTTTCCAACCTCTGGAAGCGTGGATCTTGAAGTGGAAGAGGGACCTGTGGCTTGTGATTGACTCGCTCTAACGGTGTCTTTTCTTGGTGTTCTGCATACCATTGACGAACAGAAGCCAACATAGCCTCCCACCACTGCTGACTATTGTCGGTCAGGTCGGAAAGGACCGGTTCTACGACCAACAGCCAGTCTGCCAAATCCAAAGGGGCTGTATCAGCCTTCCACTCTTGCAACTTCGGCAACTCCACTGCCGCATTCTTGACAACTTCAACGTCTTTCTGACGCCGAACGTCCAAAATCTGCGCTTGCATAGTCTGCATGCCCTCCATGAGCTTCACCATGCTCTGCATCATTGTTGCTTGCAGCTTACGCTCCTCATTCATCGGCAGCTGAGCTCCAGCTGACCCTCTGTTCTCTTCCTTTTGATCCTCTGCCTCACCTGATCCTCCCTTGGGGGTCTGGGCCTCCTCTTTGGTGGTCTCAGCCTCCTTGGGAAAAACTTCAGCATCTTTATCTTCTGGGGTGCCATAGCTAGAACCCTTCGGCTGAGCTATGCTCTGCTGCAAATTCTCTCGTTCCATCTTCAAACGCAAGTTCTCCTCTTCAAGAGACTGAAGCCTCCTTCTCATCTCATTCACTTCGGCCTCTCTCTGAAGCCGACGCGCTCTTTCTTCTTCCTCAGCTCTTTCCTCCTGCAACAGGCGGGATCTTCGCTCCTCTTCTTCCAGCCAAACAGGCCTCTGAACGCCTGGAGTGAGCCTGTAAAGCCATGGTGCTCTGCTATGCAACTCTTCCCATTCTCTAAGCTGCTGTGCTGAAAACAGAGGTGTGGTCATGTGAGATCTATCAGGACCTGACTCAAAACCTGCGGTGTACATCTGAGACTCCACAGGTGGCCTAACAGGAGTGTCACATGCCATGTCCTGTCCTTTCTCTTCTTCTCTTTTCGTTCCCTTTCCTTTGCCTGAAACGCTGTCTCCTCCAGGCTTCTGAGCAGCGCTAGCTGCGGGCTCTGCACTCTGCGCGGCAAGGGCGGAAACTGAGATCCGTTTTGGGGTTTTTGGGGGCTGCTTCGAACCCTGGCTATCCTCTAACCTCTTTGCGGAACTCCTTTCTGCCTTCTGCCCTTCTTGCTGGGATGGTGCAACATCCCTTGACGTCTCAATTCCTTCTGAACCAACATCCAAAAACTCTTTTGCATCTTCTAGCCTAGGTTCTTTCCCTTGAGCTACATCACTGTGAGACCCAGGGATATCTTCTATGGGTTCCTCAGTTGCTTCTTTAGACAACCTTTCCTGGGCAGCCATCATCTGCTCCATGCCTTGTTTCAGCTCCTCAGGGGTTGCCTTTCGCCTCTGCATCACCTCCATAGAGCGTCACCTTGGGCTCATAACCTGTTTAAGGTCAGCCCTGAGTCCCAAGTGTCCTTCGCGTTGTGTGCCTTGTACACTTCTCGATTTGTGCGGGTCTTCCCACACCAACGCCCAATCCACGGACGTGCCTTCTTGTTTTCGATCTCGAAACGGCTAAGGTAATGTTGGATTGAATGAAATGCAGAATGGGATATGCAGGCATATGAACAAGAGCACAAACAAATATATATATATATACATTTATACTGTATATATATATAACCCATAGAGGAGTTATATGGGGAGATCCCAGCCGGAGTTCCAAAGATTCCAAAGGTTGGTGAACCAACTTTTGAGCAGCCTCGGAGATGCCTTGGCAGCTGCTAAGCGCGGTATGATTTCTCTTCCATTGGAGGACCCCGGATCAATCCCTGGGCGGTACCGGAATTCGGAAAACATGTCGCCATTTGCTGGGGAAAAAAATATTCAGATAGGTTATGGATTTATGGTAGGTTATGTTAAGCCAGTTGTAAACATGGATGAACTCTACTTTTCCACGAATAGAACCACTGAATACCACTGATATATCAGCTACTAAGTGGGATGAAGCACCAAGTATCAATGGGGCTGTTAACCCTAACCATGCTGAAGTTAGTCGATGGTGGCCGGGTCGTAGCCCACAAACTATCCCAGTTATGTCTTGTTTCGGGTTGGAATCTAATGAAATTATTAATCCAATCTTCAGTTTTATGATCCCAGTAGCTGCAAACACAACTACAGAAAATCATACATGTGCAGATGTCTATGACACTTACTGCTGAAATAAAATGCCGTGGCCATGTAGATTGGATGTTTTACTTTTTATTGGGACTTCCGAATTTGGACCTGTCCACCGCCATGTTCCATTACCAGCAGAGGAACCGTTGAAATCATTGATCAATAATGAGATAAACCGTAAAGGGTTATATAACCCAATAATAAACCATCTACAATTGGGGTTACTGACATTTCGTGCGCACCTACTTCGCAGGATTTATAAATGACCCCGCCTTTCTGGTTGGCTAATGGGATGTTTTTTTTGGTTTTGTCCGTCCTCAAATAAACACAGCAAGTGCCAAGGAGGAGGTTGGAAGATTACTTCTACTAAAATAAACATGCTATTTTCTGTGACAAACTGTATGTTGGTGCGATCGCATTTATATCCCGTCTACATCCAACTAAACCGATTATACATAGAAATTGATATAATGAACTTATAATATAACTATGGCAGGACACCACATTAACCATGATTCACACATGATTACGCGCTAAAAAAAAACATACAAACGTGATCTAAACATTGTATAAACATCAAATAAACACTGAAAAACCAGTGAATACCCATTCAATAACAATTAAATAATCATTAAATAGCCATTAGATAACAGTGACCTTTGAATGTCCACTAAATAGCCATGACATGACAAAAGTCCTGCACCCCAGGACTTGTCCATCCGCCTAGCCTTTTTCTCCGACAACATCCAGCCGTTGAGGCCGTTTCCATCCGTTTCCCCATCTTGGATGGTCATAAATCATGTTAATGACATTAATGGATATTAATGGGTTTTTCTATTAGTTCATATGGCACTCCAAAAAATAGGAGCGTTAAGAAATACCAGCTAGAAGGATTCCCATGATTTTAGATGGATGACCATCGTCCCAACATCCCTGTGTTGATCATCGCGCATATCAACTATTTTTTGGTTGGCGCAACACAATCCAAATTACTTTACTTCGAGTTACCCCCACCATGACATTTATACGTTTTGTTACTGGCAAATCTTCTGGCATTCTATCTGACATATCTTCTGGCATTTTATCTGGCATATCTTCTGGCATTCTATCTGGCATATCTTCTGGCATATCTTCTGGCATTCTACCTGGCATATCTTCTGCAATATGTTCTGGCATATCTTCTGGCACTCTATCTGGCGTATCTTCTGGCATATCTTCTGACATTCTATCTGGCATTCTATCTGGCAAATCTTCTGGCATTCTATCAGGCAAACATTCTGGCACTTTATCTGGCATATCTTCTGGCATTCTATCTGGCATATCTTGTGGCATTCTATCTGGCATACCTTCTGGCATTTTATCTGGCATATCTTCTGGCATTCTATCTGACATTTTATCTGGCGTTCTATCTGACATATCTTCTGGCATTCTATCTGGCATATCTTCTGGCATTCTATCAGGCAAACATTCTGGCACTTTATCTAGTATACCTTCTGGCATTCTATCTGGCATATCTTCTGACATTCTATCTGGCAAACATTCTGGCACTTTATCTGGCATATCTTCTGGCATTCTATCTGACATTTTATCTGGCATTCTATCTGGCATATCTTCTAGCATTTTATCTGGCATATCTTGTGGCATTCTATCTGGCATATCTCATGGCATTTTATCTGGCATATCTTGTGGCATTCTATCTGACATTCTATCTGGCATATCTTCTGGCATTCTATCTGGCCGTTGAGGTCCAGCGGTGCACACTGAGCTGGGCAGGTCCCAGGTTGAGGTCCAGCAGTGCACACTGAGCTGGGAAGGTCCCAGGTTGAGGTCCAGCGGTGCACACTGAGCTCGGACGTTGGCGAAGAGCTTGGCGAAGAGTTGGCAAGGCAACAGTGGACGTGGAAGTAGAGGCAGAGGTGGTGGAGGAGATGCTGGCGGAGGAGGAGCAGGAGGAGCAGGAGGATAGCTAGCCGAGGAGGAGGAGAACAACTGTGATAAAATCTAACAACCCTCACCTGGCAGGTGGGGAAAAACACATCTGTCAGTGTCATAGCAGAATCCGCTGTACTTCATGGAAGAAGGTCTTCAACTTCGGGTTTGCCATTGCGGGTTGAACTCACTCGATAGCCCATAGCTTCCCAGAAGAATACGATTCGAAGATGACCGTCCTATACTGGATGTGGCAATAGATTTTGAATTTCTCTGTGGCAAGCCCGCAGGTAGCTGGCATGCCACCCACAAACATGGCGAAATAACCAATGAACCTAGAACATATCAAATTGTCAAGAAGGGAACATGATTGGTAGTCAGGGCGATTTTTTACTTTGACCAGCCGACATTTGTTCGACATTGTTGTGACTGGTGAGGGAAGGGTGATGAATGATAGCGAGAAATTTGAGACATGAACCAATCCTTCAATCCTTCGAGGTGCAGTTCCAGTGCAGTTCCAGTGGCGATGTATTTCACCGTAGCCATCCGTAGGGTCCCAGATCCCAACTTATGGAGGTGAAGTCATCCCAACAAGACCCGATTTCACCATGAAGATCCATGAATGTCTTTCACAATGATCGGATCCATTCAGCAAACATATCCAGAAAGTTAGTTTTTGAACTAACAGCTCAAAATCAATTAACTATGGATATGATGGTGATATGATGTATGGATTAGTTAACTATGGATGTGATGTTCATAGTTGGCAATTTTATTTAATTAGCACTGGTTACAGTAACATGACCTCACATTCATCAAGATACCAAGTATTTTCTGTGATAAGATAAGCACTACTAACCCCCTTTGAACCCAATGTCAAGCCATTGTAACAAACCCGTGTTCCCACCGATGATTCCCACTAAAATGATCATCCTTCCTGATTTTGTTCATCTCATTTTTTGCACCTACAAACCCAATGCCATGTGGGATTTACCCTGGCTGCCAGAAACCTACCATGACTGGGGATGATTATTGGGATTACACCATTGTATAAACCCAATTAAAGCGCCAATAAATCCCATGAATATCCTATACAATCCCATCAACTCCCATTAAAACCAATTTAAACAGCAATAGACTCTAAAAAACACCAACAAAACAACAACAAACACCAATAACACACCAATAACACACCAATAAACACCAATAAATCTCCATAAATCTCCATAAATCCAATTCAAAACCCGCTTTTTAACCATACCCAGAGTTCTCCGACAGGCCCAGCAGCAACGCCCATGCAGCGCTGCTGCGGGGCTTGGCACAACTTCGGCTGCGGCGGCTGGAGCTTAGTGGGGGGCCCTGGGTTTGAATCCAACCCAGTTGGTTGATGGGATTTATTGGGATTTATTGGGGTTTATTGGGGTTTATTGGGATTTATTGGGATTTATTGGGGTTTATTGGGGTTTTAATTGGGATGTTTTTTCATGATTGCAATCCTAGTTAAAAAATGACTGTTTTGATGATAATAATGAATAAACATGAGTGAACATGGGTATATTTAACCATCAAAACTAGGGTTTAATGGGATGGGATTTATTTGGCGTTTCAATTGGGTTGATGATAAATGTTATTCAGCTATCAAAAACAGGAAGTGGATTAACGTGATTGTCCCTTAAGGACCATAGTATCTTGGTATTTAAGCATCATTTAAATCCATGGCCAAATGGATCCGGATAGTACAATGACCTCAATGTGATGTCATTGGAATGATGATTAGTAAGTCTAGTAGGGGAAATCATCCCCAAACGGCATTATTTCAATCATTTTCAGGTTCGTTAATTGCTATAATTCAGCCAGAATTGTTGAAAATTGGTATTGAACAACCGAGAGAGAGGGATTTATGAACAATGAAACTGGAGATCAATTGGTTTGTCGACAAAATGATATGCAATATGCAATGTACATGGCAATCTTCCATTGCTAGTCCAAGTTTGCATGTAGAAAAGAGATGTAAATACATATCGCATCATATCGCTATGGAAACAATTTTGTGTGAATGAACATATGTGGAGTTCCATTCATAATTATATATGTACTGGTTGGTGGTTTCAAACATTTGTTATTTTCCATTCCTTACATGGGATGTCATCCTTCCCATTGACGAGCTCATATTTTTCCAGATGGGCACATTGCACCACCAACCAGTCATTGTACATTGCCATAAACCATCATTAAAAAACAACTGATTCCCACCTATATATTGTATACCCCCTGGTAAACTAACATAACTCTGGAAAATTACAATTTTTAATGGGAAAACCCACTATAAATAGCCATGTTCAATAGCTATGTTAAATTACCAGAGGGTATATAAAGATCTCCACTGGAAGCACCTTTGGGGATAGCTGGGCCTCGGTGAAGCCCGGACGAGGTTTTCTTCCGCTCAGCCGCAAGGTGATCGAACAAGAGGCACTTGGGGATCGAACGCTCGTCCTATTTTGAGCTGATTCCCACAATGTGAGGCCCCCCAGTTGTAAGTTGATTTATAAGCCCCAGTAACTATAGTTATAAGTACCATAAACCATAGTTATTGGAGTTATAAACCAACTTAGCTACTTTGGGGGCCTCACATTGCAGCAATCATCTACCAGTCACAACCAGGATCAAGGATCATCATAAGCCCCGCTGAACAAAATATTTTTCGCCATCAACCGACTGAGTCTTGCATTGGCCTATTTTTTTGTATATTTTTCACCATCAACCCTTAGTCGATGCAAAAATGATCTGAGAGATACCCTCTGGTAAACTAACATAACTATGGAAAATTAAAATCACCATTGTTAATGCGTAAATCTATAAATTGCAATTTTCAATAGATTTTTGTTTGTTTACCAGAGAGATACCCATTTTGGAGTATCACTGGGGCACTCCCAGCGATGGACATCGTGCCGCTAAGGACACCCCAGAAGGTCACCCCAGAAGCACACTGGGAAATCTCACACCGAAGGTTTAGTTCGCTTTCCAACAAGCCATGCTTGATTACCAGAGGGTAAATGGAATTTGAATCCCTATTGTTGATTGTTAAATCCCATTAAATCCCATTAAATCATTAATAAAAATGGGCAAACATTAAGCCCCTTTTTCTGTGGGATTTTTTCATTGGAGCAAGGTCACAGAGACAAAGCAGACCTTCCTCTCGGTTCTACGCGGCCTCGATCGTCTTCAAGAACTGCTGCTGACTCACAATGGCAGCTGAGAAGAATGCTTTGGGATCTAAACATTTTTAGTTATAATTATTTATGTATATATATATATATATGTATGTGTGTGTATTCTGCATATTCTGCATATGCTGCACATGCTCCATGGTCCATGGTCCATATGCCTATAGTATTTTACACAATTACTTATCTACTTCTTTATTCATTTAAGTGTTTGACTTCTGCGTTTATTTACATATTGCTTTAGTCCCTGAATATGGTTTCCCCCCATTCGAAGGATGATCATGAATATCATGGTTATTTCCCATTGATTTGAATTGTGTGCTTCCGAGCATATATATACACCTTTTTGGACAAACGCATGTGCTAGGGGTTGTATTTTTTTGGGGCCAACATGCTGAGGTTGTATGTTTGATACTCTACTTATCTATACATGTGCGTAGACCCACGCACACACGCACACACACACACACTCATATATATATATATATATTATATTCATAACACACACACACATATATATATATATATGTACACACACGCATGCCCAGGTGATGAATAGTGAATAGTTTGTCCATCAGTCTCAAATACACCAGGCATGCATGGAGAAGTCGCATTGCAACTGGTAGAGGCTGGGTGTAGTCTGAGAATTTTTGGGTTTTGATCGAAATTTGGTAGAATGAAAATTGCACAAGCCACGGATTTGGCTTAGTAGTTGGCTCATTTTCAGTATGCTAGACATCCCATTGTTGATTTTTCATGATTTCAAACATGTGTCTTTAAAACCCGCTGGGATCATGATCCCTAGCCAAGATGCTTCCAGGCGCTGCGTCATCTTCCACATCTACAGAGCTTTGATGTTTCCAGGAATCGAATCGCTTACCAGGCCGGTACTGTACGGCACCACAGGCGATTTTCGTTTGGGGCTGTCAGATTTGGTAAGATTATGTAAGATTAAGGTTCTACTGTTAACCATTCTAACTACATATACATACACACACACATATATATATACTACCTGCAAGTGAGATAGGAGTTGTCGGAGGGTCCAGTTTTTTTTATTTCCTCTCTCTCTCTCTCTATATATATACATATATATACATATATATATACATATATATATATATCCATATAGGTGGTTGGTGCTCTGATTGCCGTGACTCGGGTAGTGAAAACTGTGACCAGACGTGCGACAGGATTTCAATGACATGGCCAGAATTCTTGGAGGTGACAGCCTCAAGAAGACCCACCTGTCGATGGGATTTTAACCACCAAATGTGTGTTTTTTCTCAGAGTAACAACTGAATATAGTTATGTGAAACATGGCATATGTTTTTTTTGTTTTAATTGGCACTTGAATATACATGATTATATATATATATAATATATTATAATTAATTCATTATATAGCTGATTAATTATGAATGTATATATATACATGTATACATACTTAACAGATGAAGGTTGGCTGATGGGTGTTGGTTGTTTCTCATAGTAGGCCTTAGCATGTTGTTCAGCTTGGATGCTTGGGAACATATCAGTGTGGTACTTGTCATTTCTCAAATGGATGGTCCCTGAGCCTCAGGAATTGAACCAATGATCATCAATAGACTTGACCCACTAGGAATGGGGCCAAAGTACCAGGCCTATCTTCTAGGCGCAAAAAGACAACTGGGACCTCCCCAGTCCCAATCTATTTCGCTGTGATGGCTATGTTTGGATGATGAGTTTAAAACTCAGTGTTTGGCCAGCTCGTAAAGCCAACTCAATCCCCTACATTAAAAAAGAAAAAAACATAAAACTGATGGAACCTGTCGTGCCAGGTCCGAAAGTCTTAGTTTTGAGCTGTAGCCACCATCAGTTGAGCACTTCTTGTTAAGCATCCCTTAGAGCAAGACAGACGTGTTTCCATTTTGCATCCCAAATTGGATGAAGAAGCCAAGGGATGCACCACAGAAATGTATGTATATATATATATATACATCTAGAAACATAGTGTATGAGATGAAACCGATTCAAGTCGGTGGCTGAACCGTTTCCTGGCATGTGTTCCCGGACCGTTCTGAGGTTCTGTGAAGCTCACAGGGCTTGACTCGCAGACATACCTCGTATGAGTTCGTTCGCCTCGTTTTTTGAGTGACCGGTCGCTGGAGCAAACTAAACATGTCAGCGATTGTCAGCGTGTGGCGCAGAAAAGTTCCAGTTGCCTGCTGGTGCAAGTAATGGTTTTCCATCATTGGTTTCCTGCTTGTTCCGCCGTTTGTTGTTGAAACTTGGTTTGGTGTTTCGATGCCGGCCCCGAGTGCCCAGAGGCAACCAACAATCGAAAGTTGGAGGTTGCGCTGAGGTGGGCCACTGGAGAATGGCTCGGTCAAAATGGCCCAGAGACAAAGACAGGATGGGTCAGGGCAAGTCCTGATTTCATGGGTGTTGGGAAATCATCAGTTGTCATACTATTCTGTTATGTTTCTTGCCAGTGCCACCGTGGCCGAGTTTCTGCCTCAGTGCAACTGAGTTTTTTAGAGAAGCAAATGAACCACGCTCAGCTGAGCAGTTCCCTACGCAGATTTGAAGTGCATTCCTTGCCCTCAGATTCTGGGAGCAGCGTCGTTCAGCAAACTTGACCATGTAAAATCAGCTGGAATCGGCCTTGGAAGTTGAATCATCAGGTGAAGGATTATGCATGGCTGTGTTGTAATGTTGTAAGTTCCCAAGAGTCAAGAGGGCCTCTAATTTCCAATTACAGGTAGTGTGAACGTTTTTCTAGCCATTGATCTTGACAGGCTAGGTTCAATCTTCAGGAATCTTGATGTATCTCAATGGTATCTCCATGTTCAGTTTCCCAGGGGCAGGGCGTGACCAAAATTCGCCTAGACGGCAGTTGATGCGGAACTGACTTTAGTCGCTCATAGTCGCTCAGGAACCAACCCACTAGGCGTTTTCTGATCAGGAAAAAAAGTCAGGAAATGTGGATGAATTTGTCTCCAAACTCTCACGGTCGATCCTCATTTTCCCTTTCAAACATGCCTTAAATTTCTTGGAGAAATCCAGATGGAACTGCAGCAGAACGGTCCCTCATCATCGATGTTCATGGATGTTTTCACATTGTTTCAACGCATACGGCGGTAATATACTCTAGAATCGTCAGCACCGTTCTCATTGTTCAGCCATTGTGCTGATTTTTGCCGCAAATCTTTGCTCAAGACTAAGAAAACAAATCCGATCAAGGTAGACGAGGCCCAGTTTTCTGGAAAGCATTTGGCTGAGAAGATGTTAGCTCTACAATGGAGGACGGTGATATACTCCAAATGTCTTGGGAAGTTGCAACAGGAATTCCGAGACTGTTTTATATTTTAGATGTTTAATTCAGGAATGTGATTTTAACGATAACCATCTCAAAAGCAAACCTTTTTTTGTAGGGTAGCTGGCAATCGCCACCCCTCGCAGCGTGGACAGGTGCCTCGAAGCACATGAAACGTACCATTTTCGCCCTGCTTTGTTCCACTTGTTGCTTGGTGGCCGCGATGGTTGGGTGAACTTGGGGAAAATAGGAAGGTAACGCACCAGAATTTCATTCCTTTAGCTGGAAAATATTGGAAATGGGAGGAACGGGGAACACACACATATATATATATACATACGAATGGTGAGGATACCCAAAAGACTTAGACTTAAAACTTGGCAGCTAGAACAGAAACAGGCATCTCCACAGGAGATTTTCCAAGCCCTGTAAGTTTTCGAGAGATTTTCATGGGTGCGGATGTTCTCGAGATTTGGTTGGCTTAAGATGACTTGATAGAGGGCATGCAAGTACACGTGCCCTCCGCATGGTCGTGTGGAACTGTCCCACGTGTGCAAGGCTTGGCAAGTCAACTGCAAGTGGCTTTTCAGGGTCGCTTGGCAATGCTTGGTAGCTAGAACTAAAGAGGAGGACTCGGACCCTCCCCAGTATGTAAACCTGGTCTCCTCGAAAATCCTATGCCACACAGATTTTGAAGCTGTTTTGCCATGTTTTGCTAATATCCGCATCTTGCAGCACGCCGGATTCATTTCCTGGACCAAAAGTGTCAATCAGTGGTCTCAGATTCCTCTACCATCAACATCCATCAGCCCCCGCGCATCACTTTGTGAGGCCTCGTGGATGGATTGGCCAAAAGATATGGCTATGCAATGCAGATTGCGTGGAAGTCCAATATTGAGGATGGGCCGGTGCCGTGAGGTGGCTCTGAAAATGGAGAAATTACGCCCAAGAACGGGTATGTTGATGTGAACATGATATAAAATGATGATTGATCAGTGGATGTAGGGTACCTATGGGATCCTATGGGTACCTATTTTCAGACAAAGACTAAGCATCTGCCTGGTTCTTTGATGTGAAAAGGGTGACCCGTGGTGACCCTAAACCCATGGGATCGCAAGGTTGCGGCTGCAGGTTATCCCGATTCTGGCTGAACATCTCAATGGAAGCCTTGGTCTTTACCATAGACATCCCTATGGTCCACCTGGTGTCATTTGTGATGGTTTTTCAGATGCTTAAAAAGCGACCGTTTTTATAGATGTTTAATTCCTGATAATTGAATCATCCAAATCTCGACAGTTAAATCACCAGTTAATCCCACCATCATATCTCATATATCATATCTCAGTTAATCACCAGTTAATCATCCAAATCACCATAAAACATGTTTGATGGTTCACCAGTTCTCCAACACATCCCAAAATTGCCGTTGCCGATCCAGGAGTTCACCGTCGCCGCCGGACAGCACGCCATTACTGGCAGAGTTGCTTGGCTCAGGGGAGGTCACTATGGGATTTACGATCAGGGACAATGATAGATTGCTGAGGAAAATCATGTGATTTTATGTATTTTTATGTATGGTTGTGCCATAAAATCACATATCACTTCGATCAATAGTATCTACTGTACATGTATACATATATAATTATATACCTATAATTATACCTATATCAGTCATTATCAGGTAGATGTTGTTCCTTCTTTTCCCTCAACAATGGACCGCTAGGGCCAAAATCACCCGCGCGCTCCGCGATCAGAGCGATCAGGCCGTGACGGCGGAAGATACCTTTGCCTTTGGCTCGGGCACCAAGCCCTACACAGCGCCTTGTCTGAAAATGTTGGCTACCCATGGGTACTGGGTACCCCCAAAACCAATGGTTTGGAACTGAAGATTTGGATAGATTTGGCAGATTTTTTCAACATATGTTTCAAGACAATTTTTTGGGGCCCATGATCAGACACCCATATGGCGAGTGATTGTCATTCTGAGTAAATCCCCAAATGTCCTTGGTCATCCCATTTTGACACTTGGTTGAAACGATATTCAGTCTTGAGTTGCAGTCAAATTCAGCCGATGGACCCCAATGCTCCCTAAGTCATCACTTCTCAGATTTGTACACTCCCGAAATTTAACATGGAAGCCCAGGAGGGCCATTTCCAGTGCTGGAATCACTTCAAGACCATTTTTTTTTACATTCCATGCCAAATTAGAGGCCCCCCTAAATCATCCCTGATATTCGCCTTGTTCATGCCTCTTTGAAGGGTACAACGCACGTGATCTTCCGTGGGAGGCGGTCCTCCTGCTGAAACTTGCTGCAGAGGGGAAACTCGAGTTGCTGAGTTGAAATGAAGGTCCCTGAGGCCCTGAAGTGATGTTTGAACAGCTGGTGATCATTTGAAGAATATGAACCATCCTGAACCAACCTGTCAATGATAAATAAACAAAGAACAACGGGAACAAAGTATTGTATGGATTTATATGGCTCAAACCAGATTGAAGGTCATTTGGTGATGATTTTCCCTGCTAACCATCATCTATGGTGAGAAGGATTGTTTTCATGTTTTCCCCATTGCCATGTTCACCAAAGGGTGGTTTTCGTGAGCCTTAAGATCACCCCCAGGTTAGATAGACCAGCTGCATACTATGTCGACCCCATTCTGAAGCGCACGCAACTTGGATCCAAGTTGGACTTGCAGTTGACCTGGACAAACTGTGGAGAAAAGGATGCCAAAGCTTCCTATGAGTCCTGGAGTCCTATTCGAAACACGATCCGTCAAACCAAACAACGCTCTGCCCCAGCATGGCCGCTAGCATTGATCCTTGAATGAGCTAAAGATTGATCTCATGTACGTTCCAGGGACGCCGGACGGTGGTAATTTTCTCAGGAAGTCATGCCAAGATTGGAAATTTTACAGTTTTTATGCTCGATACTATGGCGGCCTATAGAGTATGTTTCTCAAGCCTCATATAGTATAAGCAAATCCCATATTGAATAAGCTAAACTTACAAACCAATATTTTGCTGCTTCAGGCCTAATTTGTGTCTTTTAACCATCATAATGACCCATACCTCGAGAGATGAAGAACAGGTATTTTGCTCCATATCATATATCCAAGCATATCTTAGCCTCAAATTCCTATAGCTTAAACCTGCACATTTGAGTTGCTCCATTGGCTCCCCCTTTTTTTGTTTCATGTTGGTTCAACCCGATCCGATTTGTCAAGCCCCAGACGTGGGTCAGGTCCCCAACATGAAATGACTGGTTAACGGGATGATGGTTGGGAGGTGGAGGTGTTAGACACTTTGTTCTTTGGGTTGGTCAGCTATGGCAGCCTAAGGCCAGCGGTGGGATTGTTTTTTCCTATAGCTCCTTGTTACCAGTGATTTCGAGGTATTGTTGGAGGGTCATTACTGTTAGATGCGTCCAACCAGTGATTCCACTGCTGATGTGCTGATGGCAGAACTTGGGCATATCCAAGGGTGAGACCAACGTAGTTACTGTCATGGATCGGGTGAGGGCACCAATGGGACCATGATTCTCACTAATCATTGTTTTTCACCAAGAAAAATATGTAATCGGTTGTTATCCAGCTATGCAGCTATGCACTTGATACTATTAGCTGGTTGGTGGTTTGGAACATTTTTTTTAGTTTTCCATCATATATGGGATAATCCTTCCAACTGACTCATATTTTTCAAGATGGTTAAAACATGTTAAAACCACCAACCAGTTAGCCACCACTCTTCATCAACCAGCCTCCACTTTGGAAGCCACGGCCAGAGGAATAGCACCTCTATGGTGCAACTCTTCGGTTCCACCGCGTCGAAAGTCACGGTGCGGCACCTCCTGCGTTCCGCGGCACCAAGGGTGGCGGAACGACGAGAATTGAAACGTAACAACATTGGTGACTTAACCAGTGATATAATGGGTATATCATGGGTATATAGTGGGTAATAACGGTATAAGCAACAGAAAATGTGGATATCATGAAAGTCTAATGGGAGATAATGGTAGTATAATTGAAAAATAGCGAACTATGACTGTACCAGTAATGGAATTTTGGTTAATACAATCCTGTGATCAAATGTGGCCAACTGCTAGCTTGTAAATCACCGAAATCAATGGTCATTCAAATAAGAAAATCATCGATAAATGGAGTATTTTACAGCAAACCATGTTTGATTACCCGAGGATATATTCCTTCTGATGGTTGACTACAAATCCCATGAATTGTTGCTGAAACAAGGTTTGAAGCCACCGACCATCAAGTTACTGGAAATCTCTCCACTTCTATTTATAGCACAACCAGAAACTTAGGACGTTGAAACAGTTGATATTATGTTATATGACCACCTTCTTGTCGCAATTGGACAGAATTGGAATTTACTTTTCTCTTTTTTTCTGCATCTGAACTTTGGGATGCTATATAATTATTTAGATTTATACAGCCATGGGAGGTATGAACTACTGTAATGTTAACCAACCAAAACTGATGGTAAAACGGTAAAACCAACAAACAATGGAAATACATTACCAACCACAATGGGGACTAAACAACTCATGCTCATAAGAAGTGGGGTTGGACCAGCAAAAACATAGGAGTGTAACAAGAAAGAGAAGGGTGTGGCCAACAACTGAACGGGTACATAACTGCCTGCGCAGCTAAATTTTCTAAGAACCAACAAAGATGAGCATCAAGGATGAATAACAATAACGCGCGCGAATACCAAATCAATCATAAACAGGCATACACCCCAAAGACACGAAGGTGAACACTGCAAAGCAGGGCGACAACTTTGTCACCCTACAAGCTGATTCTTGTAGTAGATGTTTTTGTTAAGGCTGACAAGCTGGAAGTATATGCAGGTATTGCTTGTTTGTTGTCACAGTTGTCACAGTTGTCACATTCTTACAGCGCTGTTTGGTTGTTTCTGACTAGTCCTGTTTCCGCTAAGTCCATTCTCCAAGGTATGCAGAGTGGCCTGGCAGACTTTGACGTCAAAGGTTTCGATGATGCCTTGCTGAAGCAGGGTGGTTCTGTCCACAGCCCGGTGGAATTCTTGCCGCTTGGCACCAAACTCGGGCAACAACGATAGGTTTGTGGGACACCAACAATACCCATGTTACTCCAGTTGTCACATGTTGTCACCAACTAAAATCATAAAGTTAGATATTATACAATATTTCTATGTGTTTATATGCATACATTAAACGGTAAGTGAGCAGATACAAGCATGGCTTGCAAGTAAACTCTTTGGGAACGCATGTTTTCTAGGGTCTACCAGGACCCCTGCTGAGGCATGCAGCTGCCCAACAGAGCCCAGTGTTTCTTTGCAGCCCGGGAAACTGCACCAGTTACACCAGTCACTTGGCGCCGTATCTTCGTTGGTTTTATACCCCCATGACCCTAGTTTTGCTGGTTAAAACATGTTAAAACATGTCAACACCCATGTTTTCCCAATGTAAGTTGACACCATGTTTGATGCTTCAACCGCCCTTTTTGATGGTTAAATTCATCATGTTTGATGGGTTAAACATGGTTAAACGGTTAAACCATTGCAGCCATATGCAACACTGCCAGGCACGAACTACGTGCTGGCAGGCTATGTGGCTTTGGGTGCCACCAACCCCACAGCGGACTGGCAAAGCTTGGATCAGACCCAGATCTTTCCAGATCCGGTCGCCTGGGCTGTGGAAGCTCAGGGGGATGGATAATCTCTGATAGGCAGAAATATTGGAAGTCGGACAATATTCGGATAATATTTGATCATATTTGGATATATTTGATTGTATTGTGAAATATTTGGATATATTTGGATTATTTGGTATCATTTGGCAATTTTTCGTTGCTAACCAGTACGGTAAGATACGTGCTTGGATATAGAAAGTTCGCTGGGGGGGTCTTTCATGGCCATGGGGATGAAGTCCAGCACGTGCTAGGTTGGAATAGGGGCTCGGTTGTATAGTAGGCCCGGGCTGCATTATGAAACATTCATTGGGAACTATGAAGTAGTAAAATTGCACAATATTGCCATCTTAGGGAAACATTGTGGCTGATTGCAAGTACCCCAAGCTGGATCATTATGATATACTGCATCTGACATGCTGTAGACAAAACTATGTCGATCAAGGAGATTGAACTCTGAACCCAAAGCCACACATGTTACGAATGCATAATGAAGCGTTTGGTCATTTTGCAGACGTTTTTGTTTGACGTTGGCCACCCGTGTTTCTCAAAAATGGACTTGATCGATCTGATTGGTCATTGTATGTCGTTGTTCTGCTTGGTCTTGCGGAAGATCATGTGCTTTTAAAGATCATTTCCACATTCACCATGGTCCAGTGTTCCATTCTCTTCCCAGTGAGGGTTACTGGCCTTGGGTCCCTTGGGTCCCTTGGGTCCCAAGGGCCCCAAGGGGGTCGCTGGTTTTCTGCCCCAAGGCAAGCCCAAAGTATAAAAAATGCACCTTTGCTGACTCTGGGCGCTTAAATACGACCCTGGACATCCCAGGCCTGCGCTCCAGGTCATTGGATGTGCACGGAAAAAATGTGGGTTACTCTCCTTATGATAGTCAAAATCCAAAAACACAACTGTGGATCCAAAGATCTATCCTTTGAACTCAGCAGTGTTTTTGTTGCTTAATCAAGTTTGTGTGCTTTTTCTAACCATCCCTCTTCTTATACTCTACATCCTTTAGCAAACAGTGACAATTCTCCCCAATTTAATTCGTATCTTGATGCCATGACCCAAACAGTTTTCTCTGCAGGAACTGCTGGCAGTTTCCTGAAACGCGTGCAGATCTACTCCCAAGACGCCTCCATCCTGGGTTGGACCTGTGGAAATCTCATTGCCCCTGCGGGCTCTGCTGCCGAGCCTAAGCAGTGGATGGAATGGGACCTGATTCCGGATGGATTTTTGGGGCATCCCAGTTTTATGATGTTTTATTGATTTGTTAGGGATTCCAAGATATTCCAAGTTTCAGGCAATTGGATAATTTGGATATCGGGGTCCAGGTGCTGATCCTTAGTAGACATTGGGAAAACCTGTTTGAATGACAGCCAAGGTGTTTTTGTTCCCCTGCAAGGGGCGCATGAGTTTTTCTGCTACAGCTGCAAGACGGGCGAGCGAAATCCTTCGCTGAAATCTCCTTGTTCCGAGGAGTTTTTCTACGATCTCCTGATCGCCAAGAGCATCATTCCGGCTGAGATGGTGGACAAAATGCAGGTTCCATGGTGGCAATCTTGATTCACGCTATGATCCACATCAAAAATATACCAGATGCATGGTGAAAGAACGAATCATGATGGATCCTTGATGAAAGTAGAGAGGAATTTATTCACTCATTAACAATTATGAATGTTCCTTGATGTCATTAACAATTGTGTAGAGGCTTTCAAGGTGCTCAGCATTTGACGGCACTTGACTTCGTCAGGATTTCGCTCCGCTGAATGTTGGTTGGGCGAAGGGCATGATCCAGTACGGCACTGGTCTTATGATTCAGCCGCTTGCTACAAGTTATGAAGCCACTGGCGCATGAAGGGTGGAACATGGTTTTGGATAGACATATCATGAAATATCTAAATATTCAGTTGCCATTGTCACCCACCTGGTTCCATTTTTGAAAAACTGCAATATTCTGTCAAATCTGTCCCAAAATGACTAGACGAATAGCGACAGAGGTTTGAATCCTATACGTGTGGCATAGTTTTTTTGGAGCCCTTGATTTGTTTCTTTAACATGTTGTTAAACCATGTTAAACCCATATTCCTGTTGTGGTTGTGGTGTTGGAGTGTTGGTGCTGGTGGTTGTTGTGGTTGTTGTGGTTGTTGTGGTTGTTGTGATTGTTGTGATTGTTGTGGTGGTTGCTGTTGCTGTTGCTGTTGCTGCTGCTGCTGGTGGTGGTGGTGGTGTTGATGTTGATGTTGTTCTTGCCGCTATTGATGATGGTGATGATGATGATTGATGATCATGATCATGATGATGATGACAGTGACGATGATAATGATGATGATGACAGTGACGATGACGATGATGATGATGATGATGACGATGACGACGATGACGATGATGATGGATGATGATGTTGGATGGATGATGGTGATGGATGAAGATGATGAAGATTATGATGACAATGACGATGACGACGATGATGATGATGATGATGACGATGATGTTTGATGATGATGATGATGATGATGATGATGATGATGATGATGATGATGGCGATGGCGATGATGATGATGATGATGATGATGATGATGATGATGATGATGATGATGATGAATATGATGCTGTTGATGATGATGATGTTGTTGATGATGATGATGCTGATGATGATGATGGTGGTGGTGGTGGTGCTGGGATGATGATGATGATGATGATGATGATGATGATGATGATGATGATGATGATGATGATGTTTGATGATGATGATGATGATGACGATGATGATGTTGATGATGATGATGACGATGATAGCTGATAAGTGATAGAAGGTAGATGATGGATGATAGAAGGTAGATGTTGTATTTAGATGAAAATGGATGTTTCATGCTTGATGTTTGGTACATGATTTTGATGATGACGATGATGACGATGATGATGATGATGATGATGTTGGATGGATATGATGGTGATGGATGAAGATGAAGATTATGATGACAATGACGATGACGACGATGACGATGATGATGATGATGATGTTGGATGGATATGATGGTGATGGATGAAGATGATGAAGATTATGATGACAATGACGATGACGACGATGATGATGATGATGATGACGATGATGTTTGATGATGATGATGATGATGATGATGATGACGATGATGATGTTGATGATGATGATGGTGATGATGATGGTGATTATCATCATGATTTATGTTAATGCTGCTGCTGCTGCTGATGATGATGATGACGACGACGATCATGATGATGATGACGATGATGAAGATGATGAAGATGATGATGGTGATTGCGATTACACCTTCATGTTTCACTCGCAAAACCACACTTTGCTTGTAAAACCGGGAGTATGCTAGTAATCCCTCTTTCTTTGCTGGTGACTATGCTGAAACCACCATTTTTTGGTTCGGAAATGGCTGGGACCCTCCAGCTTCGTTAAGGCAGTCCAGTTGGAACGCCACGGAGCCCCCAGTGCTTGGCAGCTGGGGTTCCTACGTGGGCCACGGGGGCGACACCTATGGCTTCCTCTCGGAGAGCGGCGTGCTGAGCGAGTTCAACGCCTCTTTTTCGGCCACGGCGAATGAGGTGCAGGGCGGTTGGTGGCGTTGTTCTTTTGCTAGCTGGGTTGGTCTGAAAATAAGGCATAATAATAATTTTAAGGGATAATTATGTTTTAAATCCATTGGAATAGACAGACAAACCCAGGTATAGGACAGTAAAACCCAGGTATAGGAATTGCCAGTAAAAATTGATGGGTTCATCGGATTTCATTGGAATGTTCATTGGGTTCATGGGATTTGTTGAGTTCTTGTTGCATTGTTGATGAATAAAAGTTTAGAAAAGGAAAATTCTATACATGGTTACATGGTGGATTTTCCATTGCCATGTTTGATTACCGGAGGGTAGGCTTAATTGCCATTCGCTTTATCCTACTTCGTCATAGGTTTGCCGAAAACGGTTTACCACATGAAAAAATGGTGTAAACCCGGATAAACACCAGTTACGTATGGTTTGTTGAACATGTGAAGCTTGGGATGAACATGCTAGTGCCTGGGAGGAACGAGCTGAAGGGTTTGCACAATGGATTGAACGCCAAGAATCAACCATACAGTGTGAGTCCAAGTGTTACCATCTGGAGAGGTTGAATGAAAGCCTCCAAATTTGGGATCTATTTTTTTGGTTTGCAGCTTTGAATGGTGCGACTTCGAAACTCGAAAAAATAAACAAAGTATGGTTCGGAAACAGGTTGGCCTCTGTTATGAGTGGTTTCCTTTGGCATTAGCAGTAGGGATCGTCCCAATTTGGATCAATTAGGTTACCTTTTGGTCATTGATTTACCTACTGAATCTAAAGGTTTCCCGTTGCCAGGTTGAATTTGATACGATGCCTTCAAATTCCATTGGCCCACAGGATTGAGTGTAGTGTTGATGAATTGATCGGGGTCGTGTTTATTTTGCACCAGTGGTACTGGCATAGGTTGGTACTTCCACTTCTTACTGTAGCCCCACGCCCAACCGGACCTTGAAACCACCAGAGGGTAGTGCACTTGGCAGGAACACCTGGGCCCGTTTGTCAAGAATGTCATGGTTTGCAACATGATCAAACTGGCCGCAAAAGTGCTGTTGGACAAAGACGTGTTCTTGAAGCAGCTTGGCGCTGGGCCGTGCCCAAAGGTGGTTGAGTAATTGCCCAAGACCCAAGGCATGAACGGGAACCACGCAAACAATCCATGTGTATATAGAGCATTCACATTCGTTATCCGAAAGGCCATGCAAGAAACCATGTTGGAAAATGGTGGGACCTTTGCAGGGTCAGCATTTTATGACATTCCATTGGAAACCACCACATTTTCCGCAATTTAGTTTTTGACCCTCTGAAGTGCCGGTTCTCCTTAGCTTTCTCTTCCCGAGCAGCCCTATTGGCAAACAGTTATGAACTTTTGGTTTAGGCTGATGGAAAGTTTGGAATCCCAAGAAAATCATGTTCCCTTTAAATCGCAACTATGACAATACATAGAAAGTGAACACACATGTCAATGAATTCTGAAGAATGTTGAATGATATCAACTTAGCTCGTTTGGGTTGATAGCATTGGACGATTCATTACAGACCCTAAGCATCCAATTTGAGTTGGTTTCACATGGTTTCACTATGGTGGGTTCAAAAGTTCCAACCTCACCGTGGCGCCTCAAACTGAAACTGCCACCCGAAACCGGATCTCCAGGGATGAAAGACTAATCCCTTCCCCCTAATGTTAAACACCCCACAGAAACCATAGTGGATGTAAGGGATTTATGCATATTTGGCACCATAGAATGGGGGTGTTTAATATTAGGGGGATGGGATTATTGGATGCCTGGATGCCGGCAATGTCCACCGCTGCCGTGTGAGGTGTGGCATCCGTCCCTTTCCAGAGGAGATTGCAGTGTAGCGAGCTGCAGCCAGAAGGTTGCGGGACTCCCTGGACCCCGGGAAAGGGCCCCAGAGGATCCCAGAAATTGGAGCAAACATTTGGTGGAAATCCGCCTGCTTGGATGGCAAAAATTGGTTTGCTGAGGAATGTTCATCAAATTCATTTGGTGAATGTTGCCTCCGGCAATCTAACCTGGCAATGAAAAACATCCTAGTTTGTGGATGATGTGGCCTACAGAAAATATCAGGATTTTCAGGCAAACCATGTTCTACACTGCAGGGTAACCCCCCGCCTCAAAAGATGTCGCATGATAGGCGTGTGGGAAGACATGAGGTGTGAGCGAGGGTAGCTAGACAAACCTCGATTCGGTATATAAACATAGCATATATGACATATGGTATATAAATTTATTATTTGAAAACCCTCAAATTATTCACAAAGAAAACAGGCAAAACTGTTTTTACATGAAGAATGTGTTTCTATACTTTGCACCTGGGGGAGGAAAGCATCCTGGGTCCGGGGATGATGTTTCACACCCATTTGCAGCACACTGGTGGTCTCGAGAGCAGGGACTGGGGACTAGATTTCAATGAACTTTTGAGCGCTGCCAGCAGAAGTGGTGTTTGGCCCTTTTGCGCAGCTGGAACCTGATGCCGTTCCACGCAGTGGCTGAAAAAGGAGCTTGACACGGCGTGGGGACCAAACTGCCAGCCCCATTGACTCAAAGATCTTAAAGATTCTTAAAGTATTCATCAGGCTTCAGCCAAGGCATCCTATGATATTGTTTTTTTTTGAAGAATTTGACCCATCACCACTTGCCCATATGATACTATACAAGTATGTCAGATCTTGATGAGCTGCATCGATTTTTTCTGCTCAAAGCTGCAAGGATCCAATGGCAAGCACCCAGCCAGTGGAAAGACACAGCAACAGGGACAAAACGGAAGAATAACATCAGGCAACATCTTCTCTCTACCTTGTCAAGAAGGAATTTGCTCATCATTCAGATTTTGTTCCAATGGAGCCTAGGGTGACACTGGTTGCAGATAGATACTGTAAATAGATACAGTAGATAAATAGATGATAAATGATAATAATAGATTATTAATATCATATATTACTGTATGTATATATTATATGTGGCTTAAACAATATATTATATTACTTTATGTATGTCGCATGTTCCCTCACCAAGATGAACCAACGGCAGACCTGGCGTTTGAAAACCGACAAGAGCTCGCGCCACAGATGGCGATGCCATGGCGTCCGCTCCAGATGCGTTGGGTCAGAGATCCGAGATTTTATAATGTCAATGCAGGATAATCAATAATTGAACATGGTTAATGATGGTTAATGAATGTTAATGATGGTTAATGATGATTTAATCATGATAATTATATCGAAACACAATATATTATGAAATATTATGATCAAATTATGCTAAGTTGCCTTATAAGTGGCTGAACTAACTATTGTTTATGGTATAGATATAACTATAGTTCTATAATGGGGTTTGTAAATCAACAAACATCACTGGCACCATCCGAATAGTCTATAGAAATGCATGATTGTTTCCATGTTGTTTCCCTATGGTGATTCCCTACGTAACAAACGGTTGGAACTGGGGAATGCCAAGGATATTGATTGGATACAGACTCTTGTTTGAATCTGGAACCAAAAACATGTTTTTGGAAGATTTTATGATTTTACTATTGCATAATTGGATATACAATACTATTTTTGGGTTCGATACAAATTTTGGGTATAAACATCGACAGGCAAGAAATTGCGAGAACCCATTTGTGTGTTGCTGTTGCTGACTGGGTGGCTACTGTAATTCGGTGTTTTGTCGTGTTTAGGAGCTGTTCCAAGTTCATACAGGAATCATTATGATCTTATATCCCTCAGTCAGATATGAAAGGTGCTGCCCTCCTCGGGTATACATATCCTCCGGTAATCAAACATGGCAATGGAAAATCCATCATGGATGTTTATGATGTTTCCCAGTAAAGCACCATGTAAAAGATGGGATTTGCCAGCTAGCCAAGGCCAAGGCCAGTCCACTGGCGAAGCAAGCATCCATCATTGCTGCCAAGGGGATGGTTTGCGGCTGAGATCCAGTCGTCACCATGGCTTTCAATGCTGTCAAAAATTGGATCATTTGGGGTACCCCTATTTTAGGACACCCGATTTATGTGCTATTAACGTGTGCATGTTTGTTGGTTTCAGCAATTGTTTATCGTTTTGTTGCATGTTTGATGTTCGATGTTTGGCGCTCTTACGCCCGCACCTGCCCATTTCACAAGCATGGTCATAGTGCGCAAAATTTGCAGTAGGTGTGTTGTCCAGTGCACCTCTTTAACCGCAATGAAAGAAGTGGGTTGCCTGCGTTCTAGCAGGTATGCCTGGCGATCAATCAAACATTGCTTTGTCAAAACATTGCTTTATTCGGAGATTCATGTTTGTTTGATGGATATGTGTGATGTGTGTGTGCTTCTATGACGAAAATTTCCATACACAAATGGAAGGCAGATCCCATTAGGTCCACATTGTTTAGGGTTGAATCCAATGAAGGTCAAACAATTGGCTGGTGGCATGGTGTATCCCCCCATGTGCCATTATAAACCCATTAATATGGGAACCAACTATAAAACAAATATAAAACCGGCACTATGTCCTATTATACCTTATATCCCATTGTATCCCATCATATCACATTAGAAACCCATGAAAAGTCCCACGAACAAACCGATCAATAAACACGCTTTAAACTATACACCCATGAGAAACACCTGAGAGAAAAAAAAACAACGCAACTTTGGTGACAGAATTGGCCATGTACAAATCTCATCTCACTAAATCCAATGAATAAAGCAAACCTCACATAATTTCACTAAATCATCAAGAAATCCTCTAAATGTCAAAATTATAAAGCCATTTATAAGATTTAGATTCCTCTCTAGTAAACTAACATAGCTATGGAACATCACCATCTTCAATAGGTAAATCAACTATAAATAGGCTATTTTCAATAGCTATGTTAAATTACCAAAGGGAATACTTGAAATTCCTATTCATAGATGGATGATTTGGGGGTTACACCCATTTTAGGAAAACCCCAAATTACCAGAGGGTAGATCAGCCTGGTTTTTTGGGGCCCTTTGGGCCTCAGGCTGGCGTCTCCGCTGGCGTGCTGGGTCTCGCGCTAGGTCTGCGCGAGGCCAAACGACAGCGGGGCAGCCGATGGACGGTGGAGGAAGTGCCAGGATTTTGGGCGGGATATGCCATGGGATTAACACAGGTTAGCCATCACACATGGTGGTTATTTATGCCAAGTTATGCTTATTTATGTTTATTTACCATCCAAAGTTTGAATTCAAGCATCAAGAAGCATGATTCAACCATCAAATATGCTGACATCATCATCAAATAAGATGATCTACAACATGATTTAATCATATTTAATCATCAAAGATAGGGATCAGATGATTTAACAATCCCAAAGTTCAAATTACTCATCCAAATCTATGATTTTCCAGTCAAACTTGGGGATTCAACATGATTTATATAACCATCATTAACCATCCGAAATTTGAATTTAAGCATCAATCAAAGTGGTGACCTTCCAACAAACATAGGGACTTGACCATCCAAAATTGGGGTAAACCTTGCACGGGTACGTTTTGAGAATTTCCCTAATGTGCTATGTATGCGGATATGTCCTAGCCAACTATGTGTAGACATACAGTAGAAACATGTAGAAACATATCCCTTGTATGGCATCTGACATTGGCAATGATGTGTACGTGGTAAGCAGAGAGACTAAACGCCCAAGTGCATGGTCACAAATATGGTCATCATCGCACCGGATTGGATTGGTTTCAAGAAAAAATGCGGGAAACAATGAGTTACTGGCCCGAACTGTTATCACCCCAAGAAATTCATTCGGAAACTCACCCCTCGGGCCCCGAGGTTGCAGCATGACAAGCCCCTTGATCTCTGGAAGGAAGCATCAATCGAAGCGGTAGCCTCAAGACAATCCTGTGGCGGTGCAGTTCCCCTGGTGGCAGTTGGCATGTTGCGGCAAAATCTGTGCGTGTAGTATTCCTTGAAATCCCGGCATTCCAGCCAATAGCCTAGAAATAGGATGTGATTGGCATGTTGTTTTCAATTGAACAGTGTATACATAACAGCTGGCCGTTTGTTATAGGTCAAGCCTAGCAGACATGTGCGCAAGTTTTGCCTTTGTGACATGTTTTTCATTGCATTTCTGATCATGCAGCCCGCCCCACAACCCAATTTGGCTACGGCTACAGGGATTCTGGGTCAAAGGCATTGACAGCCTCACAAGTCTGACAGCAGCATGCACAAAAAATGGTATCAAGTCCATCAAGTCCATCAAGTCCATCAAGCTGGCTGGACACTAATGGCACAACAAGATGAATGGAATAGTATCTCCAAACCAGGCTGCAAAGATGAACACAACAGACTCCACTGACATCCAAAGTTTCGTCCTTTTTGGCAGGATTGATCTTGCCACTCATGGCGCCCAAGCAGGATGTGCCCTGGTCTGACAGGCACAAACCACGACACTTGGGTGAAGTGGTGGGGAACACCGATCAGATTCGCAAGCTGGCTGAGTGGTTGCGAGATTGGGATGACGTGGTCCTTCGGGGAAAGAAGAAGGAGATCCCCGCCCCGGACCCCAAGCAGAAGTTCCAGCCTCCTCCCGAGAACCTCAATGCCCGGGCGGTGTTGGTCAGTGGCCCACCAGGCATCGGAAAGACGACCACCTGCACTTTGGTGGCCAAATGCTCACGGTTCAAAGTCATGGAGTTTAACGCCTCGGATGCCCGAAGCAAGGCGGTGATTGATAACATGACCAACTCCCTGGCTGGCAACAAGACCTTGAGCTTTGGAACCTCCAGCGTCTTGCAGCGCAGTGCCATCATCATGGATGAGTGTGATGGCATGACAGGTGGTGACAAGGGTGGTCTTCAAGCGCTGATCAACCTCATTCAGGTGAGTGAACAGTGCAACCTCCCCATGGCTGATGTTTTATTTGTCACAAAGTGACCATTGAAAATCACTCCATTTACTGCGGGGATGGCACATATGTCAATATATTTCAATCACAATCCTTAGGTTCATCCTCATCAACCAACAGGGATCCAAGGGTGATATCAATGGATCCTTAGGTGTTTCCGAAGTGTTTTGAGGTGACGAAGAATCCAGTGATTTGCATTTGCAACGACCGCAGCGACCAGCAAGTGCGGCAGCTGGCGAGTCACTGCTTGGATCTGAGATTCCGGCGACCCGAAAACAGCTCTGTGGCCAAGCGGGTCAAGAAGATCATGGAGTCAGAGGGAAAGAAGGTGCGGATGCGGATGTTCTCATCTCCTTTGGGATGGTGTGACAAATTGAGTATAGATGATTATAGTATAATTATATATAATATAATATAATATATATATATACACATGAAATTATATGAAGATATATGATATTGATTTGCTGCATCATGTGGCTGGTGCTGATGTGTTCCATGTTCCGTCTATTTTGGTTGATGCTGCCTCATGGCTCATGTTTGTTGCATGGGTTGAACTGCAACCAGTCCTGTATGGTTATGGTTGCCTATGAGTCACGGTCGAAATGGTTGAAAACCACTGTAGATACTTTAATATTGCAGAAGCAATTTTGTCAGATGTGCACGAAACACTGTTAAGCGATAGGTCCCCTCCACAAGCGATAATGGCACAAAACACTGGAAAGTGATATGGCACCCCCAAAAGCGATAATCAATAGTAATTACTAAGATGTAAAGGATTTGACGGGAGCTCATACATTTGCACTTTTCTCCTATCTCTTTCACACAGAAGGGTAAATAGATTGAGAGATTGATTGATAGTAATATAGCTACATGTCTATCCTACATCATCTAAATGCCTAGACATTTGTGCGCCCATGGCTTGTGTTCAAGGTGGAGATCACTGCAGTGGAAGCCATTGTGGAAGCCTGCGGCCAAGACCTACGACAGGTCATCAACCACCTGCAATTCTTTGGCTCGCTGACAGGTGGCAACCAGAAGGATACGCAACTCGCCATTGAAAATTAGTATTTTTATAGGTCACCAAACATGGGTTAATTTAACCATCATAGGCCCATAGGGATTAGATGGGATTAGATTAGATTAACGTGAGTTAATGATGATTAAGATTAATTGGATGAACTGTGATGAATTTCATGACCTCGCGTCGTGACGTCACTGGAATGATGATGAATGTATACGGGAATCATTCCCAAATGGCCATATGTTAACGTTTAACAGCTATTTTCAGGTTAGTGAAGTGAATTATTGTAATTCAGCCAGAATGATTGCAAGGTGCCCTATTCCGATGTAGCTCTTAGGAAATTGCTGTTTAAGTTGGCTTAGTTGTTTTTTTTGTCTTATGTCCCGGTAGGATTACAGCCAGTTCACCACCTTTCAGTTTTGTTGTGCTTTGTGGTGGATTATATTATCTATATTTGTATAAAATATAAACATAAATATATAGAGAGAGAGAGGCATATATGCATGCATAGTTGTTTTTTTGTCTTATACAATGTTTTCTGATAAATTAGATGGGTTTGCCCAGAATGTTCAGCCAAATGTTCGGACCTATGAGTTTTCCATCATACTCCATGAGAACTGTCGAGGCAAGTGATGACTGGGACCTTTGAAGCCTGTGCCAAGCTGCTGTCCCATCATCGCGAACGTTTGTCCATCGATCAACGAATGGATTTGCACTTTGTGGATTATGATTTGGTGCCAACCATGGTGCAGGAATTCATGACTTGATGAGTTGTTTTGTTGTGTTTTAGTTCAACAAAGGCTTCATATATGTGTTTCCTGATTTCCACTCTTAATTGGGTTTACTTGGTGAGTTTTGTTGTCATTTTTGTTGGCCTGTATGCCATACCTTCTCATAAGTGTTCCTCATATTTCATCTTCATCATCATCATCACCACCACCACCATCATCATCATCATCATCAATAATATGAATCTATTATTTGCCTTACCTCCATAAGACATCATAAGACTCCATTTGTTCCGTCTTTTTTTTGGTACATCAGTGCCTCCCGCAGGAAAATTACCTCCGTCCCTTCGAGAAGCAGCGCGTGGACGATGCCCTGGAGCGCGCGGCGCAGGCCGCGCAGCTCATCGCCATGGCCGACGGCATGTCTGGCAGCTTCGAACTGGGCGGCACCATGGCGTTGCTGGGCACGGTGTATCCCACGGCCTTGATGGCCTCCAAGGATAGCTTTGCGAAGCCGGCCTTCCCGGCGTATCTGCAGCAACTTGGCCGGGCTGTTTGGGGAACAAGTGGGCGGAGATGTGTTTTCTAGAGATGTTCCTGATTTTTGGTCATGGTTAGAGATGTTCCTGATTTTTGGTCATGGTTTTCCCATGTGTTCTCACGTTTTCCCAATCCGCAAGTCATCAGATCGCTGTTTTTTTTGCCAGAAGTGTTTCTATTGTTGTTCTATTTTGCCAAGAGGCATTGACGCCGGGGGACATCCGGGGAATTTTGATCCAAGGAAAAGAGGCACCATCACCAAGAACGAGCGAATTTTACAGGAGCTGAGTGCAAAGATCCGACATGCGAGCACCTGCGGTAGCAGGGAGTTTGTGACCAGTAGCTATCATGACATCCTGCACCGAAACTGGATCTATGTTTGGGAATAGTTTCTATTTTTTATGGAGCAGAATTGGAAGCAAAAGATAGCACAAGATTTAAATCCTGGCTTTGGGGTTGAAAAATGGAGCTAGGAAAGATGGTGCAGCAGTTGCAGAAGGGCTTGACCATGGAATGCGCTCAAGCTCTGCATCGTTATGGTCTGACGCGTGACCCGGAGACTCCTCATGTGATGCATGTTGTATGGGTGTCACAACACAATAGCCCGTAGTCCGTGTATTGAAACCAAATCCATTATTTGGGGGAAAACTATTGGCATCCCGGAAATACAACAAATCATAACAAATCAATATAGATCATAAATCCACCATTTCAGACATCTGTGATCATTTGCGTGCATTTTGTGTTGGGGGGAAACACTGGTGGAGGGCCCGGCCCTTCCGGCTCCCAGATCCCCCAGGCGAGTTCTTCACGGACCAGGTGCCAGCCTTGAGACAACCGCTGCAACTGGAGGACAGCTACAAGAAGATTGATGTGCAGGTGAGAACCAGGTTGCTGCAGGACCGGGGTGCGAAAAAAGTTTCGCAAAATTCACCATGGGCAATCATGGAGAATCTATACTTGGGGAAGGCAGCACTTCTTCTTTCTTTTAGCCCATAGAATCTAAGATGAATTATGGGAATACGTTTGCTTTTGGTCAGGACCCCGCATCCATGTGCATCAGGAGTGTCAGAGTTTGCAGCAGCAGACGGTGATCCCTAAGAAGAGAAGAAAGGGGCAGGAGAGCCAGACCAGACGCCGCAGCTTTGGATCACAGGCATCTCCCACGCAGGAAGCGAGCCCTATGGAGGATGAGGAGGATGAGATTCCAGGAGTAGTGAAGAAAGGCGGAAAACAGGTGGGGTGCGTTTCAAACTGGGAGGTGAGCACCCCTAAGTTATGGCACAGTTTCGAATTTCGGGGGTTCCAGAATTTCTATATCGCAGGTGAAGAAGAAGATCATGAAGGAACAGGATCTCAGCAAATGTTCCTTGAAAAGTTGGCAGCCCAATAAGCAAGTCACCACATCTCAGATTGAGAGCAAGCCTCTGCTGGTGATGAAATACATTGAGGGCCACACCTGCTCAGTTCGCCGGAAGATCCACATGAAGGATTTTCTAGGTGCCTGGAACATGTTCTGAGCTGCAACTCTTGGAATGCTATTCTTGTAGATATGGATCCATCAAGATCCATTTTGGGTGAGCAGATGTGAGCAGGCACTGCAAAAAACAAATCTGAAAATCCCAACGCCAATCCCAACGCTCCACTGTGGTTTGGCCGGAAAACTGTTGCACCCAAAGATGGAGATTCCGGGGGCTCGGGTTGCAGCTGCGTCGAAGGGGAAGGGGCCAGCTGCATCAGAATGTTCACAGCATTCTGACCACGGCAAAAATGGTGAGGCGCGAATGGTTGAGTAAGGGTGGTGACCAATGTTCTTACCCAGAAACTCCCCCCACAAAATGGACAAACCCATTTTGAATGTTCCATCCCTACTTTGGAGGATGATTTGCAATTGACTTTTATTATAGCCCACAGTGATTACCTGAGCACACGACCAAATCTGCATCCCACCCGGTCCCGGGGCCCCTGGATTTGTGGTGGAGATATTTGCAGTTGGATGGGTGGACAGAAACCTATGACAATGATATTATTTTGTTGGACCCCTTTCTCATTACCATCAACTGGACAATTCTGCTGAAATATGATTTATTTCCCAGATTTAAATCAACTTTAATCAACTAAACTGTAATTATTTATGAAGTTATCTCAAAATATCAATGAATTGTCCATGAATACATGTATAAGTTTGTATATGTATGATCAACTATTAATAGATCCTGATATCTGAGGCATAGCCTGTTAGGTCATCTCCATTTAAACGCAAAGGTGAGAGCCTCGAGCGATGAAGCTGCGGCAAAGGCGGCGGCGGCAAATGTGCGAGACCTTTGCGTCGCCTGGCTGATGGGGATTTCACCAACATCTGGATGCGACTGAGGGTTACCCTCTGGCAAGCACAGGGAACTGAAAAATCATCATTCTTAATTTGATAGGATAATCATGTTTAATAGGTGATATATGGGCAATGTTCCATATAGCTATGTTAGTTTACTGGAGGGTAAGCACCAGAGACTTGAACATATATTATATGAATTATATGAAATTGCACAGGGAAAACTGGGTATGATGATGTATGATGGGTATTAAAAAACAATTAAGTTTAGGTAAAACCACAAGAAAAACATTGATTTTTCAGCAACATATTTTAGGGATTTAAGCACAGAAAACATCGAATTCAACCACATGAATTGGATTTAAACACCGGTGCGGTGGGATATGGGTACTGTATATCAACCAATAGGTATGGCTGTGTTCAACCTGGGATGAAACCACCATCTGCACCATGAAATCATCGCCAAACGATGATTTTCATGTTTCTCGACACATCAAAAACAGGATTCCAATATATAAAAACCATATTAAAACACCAAGCCATGAATCTCCCACGTTTGATGGTTAAGTTGTGATAATCCTCCATCTGATTTTAAAATGAGATTACATCCCTAGAATCCCCATGAACTTACCTATTTAATTCCAATTCGAATCCCAGTCTTTAGGGTGTTTCATTGATTCCTTCCATGTTTAATGATTAAATCCTTATTTTCACGGCTTACTGCCCATGTTTGATGATGAAATCCACATTCTTAAGGTTTTTCTTCGGTTTACCCGGTGCTCGGTGCCCAGGCCCGCAACCAGATCAAAGAGGAGGACTTCTGGGCGGCTGCCCAAAGGCTGCGGCCCGTAGAGCTTCAGTTGGAGGAGCTGCATGTGACTGGGAACGGAGAATGGAGCCCTTTGGGCAGAGGTTCATGAACAATATAATATTGGTAATATCGGGATCAAAATATGATATTAGAATATTAGTTCATCAACATTATATATTAGTTTATCAGAATATGTGGGACTATTTTTTGGTAATATTATTATAATAGGGATATACTGATATACTGAGCAATTTAGCACTATAAATTACACTGGATATGGGTAATTTACCGACACAAATGGGAATATAATGGAGATATAGTGGGTGACAATGGGGATAATGGGATAGAACTAACAATGATTATTGGGGATAAACCTCACATGAACTATCCAGTGAAGGGAAGGGCTAAGGAGCTGGGGGTACCTATATTCCCTATATTCATGGGGAGCCAAGGAGCTACTAGGAGTTTCCCAAGCACATGATGGTTCAATATTGGGAGAGGACATGATCAAACCAACAAAATCAGGAGCGAGTATGGGGTTCAACAGGGTTGAATGGGATGTAATGGGGATATTATTATGGGGTTTAATGCGGAATTAAACCATCATGGGCCATGGGGATATAAGTACTGTAACCATTTTTGGTATGATATTTGGGTGCGTTTGTAAATTGGGTATGCCTCCAACTGGCTATCTTAATGGTGAAAAACCATGGCAAACGGTAAACCATTAGATTTGTGGTGACCAGTTACAAGCAAGCCCATATTCGATGTAGCAAACACAATAATAAAATCATAGCATTTGGAGGCTCTTGAGTAAACCCCCACAGGGTCTGAAATCATTGGGGCCAATTTTCACTTTTGGGAGCCTTGCTTGAGATGAAACCCTAGGTGTTTGTTGCTTACCTGAATTTGCCTGATCGGCACGCCCTACAATACCCTGGAGCGATCAAAAACAAGAGTTGACATGTCGGCACATCATGACGTGTTAATTATGTGTGCGGAGTGAGACTTAATATGCATCATTATTCGCCGCAAGGTCATAATTATTAATTGCTTGTTCAGCGTTGTTGAACAATGCAACAATGCAACGGCGCTGTATGATTTTGAACCATATACTAATATTGTGTTCCATGCCCTACTTGAAAACAAATGGAAATAGTTACATAATATTGATTCATATTCTATAACCAACTATATGACCATATGTTTGGCATATGTTGGGATGGGTGGTTGCTTCCACTGAAACTGAAAGTCCCTTCACTGAGGCCTTGAAGCTTCCCAAAGCTCAGCTGAAAGAGAAGGAAGACCAACTGGCGTCAAAGTGGAAGGACGGGGCTCCCGGGCACGGGGAACTCATGGCTGCCGTTCTGATTTCCACCGAGGAGAAAGGATACTTTGACGAACAGTTCCTGGCACTTGATCGCGCCACAGTTTTTGGCAGAAGCCTCAGATTTCTTTGTTGACTACCTGAGGCCATGTTCAGCTTTGACATAGTTCCATCATCCTCTGGTTATTTAACATAGCTATGTAAATACTAAATACCCGATTTACAGATGATTTATGATGCTTTTACCATCTTCTACCGCTTTAGTTGTTTGTTGATTTTCCATGACTACGTCGAGATAAAAACCACCTGGTATCGCCGAGACAGCTGATCAGCTGGGATGCTGGGATGCTGCCAGGTCGACGTTTGACAAGTGATGCTCAAGGAGTGGACATTGGAGTACTTGTTCCACCATATCTGCCGTTGTTCAAGGGACCAGGCCTGGCATCCGGTGGATCTGGGTCATGGCCTTGGTCATGGCCTTTTTGAAAGGGAGATGGGGAAGTCAGGTGTTTTCCAAGGGTCTGGGATCTCAGGGTTCCTTCAACTGGATGTAGAGATTTGGGGAGTTGTTTCAGAGCCTGGGGTTGTCAAAACACCAACATGGACACTACTTCTCAAGCTGGAAGCCAAAGAATGACACCACGCCTCATTTCAGGTATCCCAGAAAATTCTAGCTTGGGGTTGGCTCCAACCCGCTCTAGGCAAATGATCGCCTACAGGGGCGGACTTTGTTTTAGTCCCAACTCCCTTAAATACGTATATCACTGGCTGGTGGTTTGGAACATGTTTTTCCCATATATTGGGGATAATAATCCCAACTGACGAACTCATCTTTTTCAGAGGGGTAGGCATACCACCAACCAGATTATTAACCATCATTAACCATCATTAATCACTATTAATCACCATTAACCACCCATCCATCTAGGTTCAATGCCCAGCACCTCCCCGGTGGCCTGGAGCAAAGAGATGCTGGAGACGGGCGAAAAGGCCACCCGGCCACCCCCTTGGGGGGTCCATCTGGAGATCTCTGGGATTTCTTGGGGCGTAAACAACAAAACTTGTGGGGATTTTATGGGAATCTCATGGAATACATGCACACACATGTGTATGTGTGTATATATATATATACATACACAATTATGCATATATAATTATATATATATATGTGTGTGTGTAATGTTGATCTAATTTAAAGCATTTGTTTTGATTTGAGCATGAAAGATGAAGGAAGATTGGGCTTTACCAACAACAACAAGGTGATTTAGAATTAATTTATACTGGCTAAGTTGGTTTTGGGTTTATGATCATAGCCACATTTTGGTGGGTCCATAAACCAAAGTAGAACTGGAGGACACCACCCTTTCAGGGGGGCCCAAGCAGGGGGAAACTCAGAAAGCAAACTATGAACAGGTGATTTTTTCTTGCATGTGCTTAAAGCGTAAACTTTTGCAAAGTGGTTCTTTTATTATATGATTCTGTTCACTTTGTAGGTTGCTGATATCCCATTCTTGCTGGATATTCCCTGGAAATTCGTGCTTCTGACGTTTGAGAAGACCCGTTTTTTCCAGCCGTCCAGCGGGGCTGGATCTCAATGGTGATTTCTCAAAGTGGGATAGTTGACACCCGCAAGTGCAGTCTCAACCCCAGAACCGTGGGATGGAAACCCACTAAATTGGCACTAGAACCTGAAGAAGGCATGGTTTAGTATTTTAGTTATGTATCAAAAATGATAGGTACTGAAAGGTATCAGTGCCCAAAGATATGCATGCATATAGTGTAAAATTATATATTGTGATGTGTGTGTGTGCATTTGCGTATGATATGTCTAGAAATCAATTCATCTCTCCCTCATGTATGTATATATATATAGAAACAGTTGAAGTCTCATCCCCGATCTCTGCCTTGGAGGCCTTGGAGTCATGGGGCTGTGTGCTCTTGCGTGGCTTGCTGACTGCTGATGCTCCTCAGCCATGGCTGTAGCTTTGGGGGAGAATGGAGGCTGAACACAAGATGGATGAGTGGATAGAGATGCAGAGAGACACGGAGCTGAGTACTAAAAAAGAAAAGTAGATACACAGGTAGATAGATAGATATTTGAGCAAATCATTTTGAAAAGCAAGGGAATCTTCTATTCCTCCCATGGACTTTATTTTGAAGCCATGCCAGGTCTAGACAATCCAAGCCTGCAATTCCAGGAGCTGCTCTTGGCAATCACGTCAAATCTTCAAAGAAATCAGATAGGACACGAATCCAAATCCCAAGAAAAACGAGAAACAACAGTGAGCAACCACTCCCAGAGTCCGGAAAAGTCAGGAAAATTATCCCAAAAAAGCAGGGACACATAGAAGCAAAACCCAAAAAGTCACGGAAAATTTCCCAAACAAATCCACAGGTGCTCCCCTTTGCAGCCGGTGCCGAGGACGTCAAGGCTCTTCGTCAGGCCTTAGGTCTTGGGGAACGCAGGGCTGCAGAGGTGGGACTGTGGCAGACGCTCAGCTGGAAACCGTTGGGATTTCTTGGGGCGCAAACCACGGAACATGTGGAGATTTTATGGGAACCCCATGGAATATAGTAATGTGGATAAAATGGGCAGTTTTGTTTTTTTTACCATCAAAGATGAAGGAATATCGTGATTTGGCGGATATTTGGAATTGTGGGAGTATAAATGACAAGAATTGGCGGGTACCTATATGTATATAATATGTATATAATAATAATATGTATAATATGTTTATATATATATACACATGTATGCATATATACACATATTGAATGGGAATCTTATGTAATGAAATGGAAAATGTTGGGTTTACATTCCAAAATGGAGGGCGGAAAATTGGGTAACTGATTCAAGAAACAAAACGTGCAGATCTTTCATACTAGCAAAGTTGGATGGACATATTTGGAAGGATGTTGATGTTGATCATTGCTTTTCCATGCTTTTCCCGTTTTGCGAATGATCGTTCTTCAGAGTTCTCCGTGGCCCAAAATCCGAAAACCCCCCAGGCAGCAACAGGATCCCAATGTGGCCATGGGTCGCTATACCTTTGGTCGCCTTCACCTCTTACTTCGAGGCGATGCGGTCGGGGTGGAAGGTGCGATAAAGGGATCTAAGCAGACTTTCTTAAACATTGATGAGTTGGGGGAAAACCTGTTTATGGGGAAACTTACGGTGGGTAGATTTTAGATGCTTTTGGACATGTTTAGTACTTTAACGCTTTTGCTGTCAATGGCCTTCTACAAATCCCTCGAAAAAATGCATGGTATCTAAGATAGGTTCTGTTTAGATAGGTTGAAATATGTTTGGTTCCACCCTAACCCCGAAAGAAAAAGGCAAACAAATGAATTAACATGTATGAAATTACGGGAATCATTTCAGGAAACCGACGCTCCGACACATGTTTTTATGGTGAAACCTTGAGTTTCCTGTAAACGTCCGGGCTACAGGAAGCCAGTGACGTTGCTGTGATCATGCTGCAACTGGATTATACACAGGAATGGATCATTGTCAAATATTTAAGGGATACCTGGGATACGTTCAAGAAACAGGCATGGTTAAAAGATGCTAACAGTAGTGGAATGGTGAGCGTTAGAACCGACGCTAGCCTGAAAATTGCTGAGTAATATCACAATAGTTTTTTTTTTTTTTGTGTGGGGGGTTGAAGCGTCGAAAGAAATCCCCATTTGTGCAGCTAGCTTGCTACACTCATTTCGCACATTTTTTGTTGTATCTCTGCATTTGTTTCTCATCACCCCAACCTATTTGATGTCTATTTCGCATGGTTAAATCATGTTGAAATCCAAATTTTCTGATCCAATCTGATCATCATTTGATTCTCTTTGATCCAAGGTTTATGATTTCCCCCCCGCGTTTTGGCACCGTGGTTTCCACGGTGGGTTTCCACCAGCGCCAGGATCGCCACGCTACGAGATGGATGCCGTGGCGCCGCATGCTTCGCTGGCACCGCTGGTCCACAAGCATTTCGAGATTCAGGTCGTGGCTGCGGATCATAGCGGTTTACAGAAGATTTATAAATCTCCCACCCCATGGAACAAGTAACCATACCATGTTGATTAGCATCAGCATCAGCATCATCATCATCATCATCATCATCACCAGCATCATCATCATCATCATCATCATCACCATCACCATCATCATCATGATCATGGTTTGCCCGAACGCTGGTTAGGACTCCGGGCAAACCATCGGGTTATTTAACATCTCACTGTATGGTCCCAAGTGTAAATCCCCTACATCCACCATCCATGTTTTCTGGGGAGTGTTTCACGTATTATATCCCACTGTCCCCTGGAAAAGAAAAAACTATCGATAAACCCATGATAAAACTTCATTAAAAACCATTACACTCCTGTAGATTAACATAGGCCCCACCATATTGGATGTTGGAAGATTAGTTCCCACTAAATTTCCAGGGTCAAACTACTTTTTGCGGGAGAAGGCATAACATCCAGTTGTATCCCATTAGAAACCGATTGTATACAAAACATTTATCAAACCATTGTTAACCATTAAATCCCATAATACCCCATTGTATTCCATCATATCGCATTGGAAACCCATTAAACAATCGCATGAACAAACCCAGTAATAAACCCACCATAAACCCATTAGGAACCTATCTACAAACACTATTTTTTGGTGACCCCATTGACCATTGATACATCTCACTAAATCCAAATCATGAATGAACCCATGAATTCCCCTCTATGATGGAACTGTGTCAATGTTAAACCCATTATATAATAAAGCCATGAATAAAGTCACAAAAAAAGTCCTTTAACAAACCCATCAATCATCTCTATATGTTTTCCCCCACCTGCCAGGTGAGGGTTGTTAGATTTTGTCAGAGCTGTTCTTCCGCCTCCTCCTCCTCCTCCTTCTCCTCCTCCATGTCTGCATCAACTTCCACGTCCACTTCCGCCTTGCCAACTCGTCGCCAATCTCTTCGCCAACTTCCGCGCGCAGTGGGCACTGCTGGACCTCAACTGCCGGCTTCGGCCTTGCCAACTCGTCGCCAATCTCTTCGCCACCTTCCGCGCGCAGTGGGCACTGCTGGACCTCAACTGCCGGCTTCGGCCTTGCCAACTCGTCGCCAATCTCTTCGCCAACTTCCGCGCACAGTGGGCACTGCTGGACCTCAACTGCCGGCTTCGGCCTTGCCAACTCGTCGCCACTCTCTTCGCCAACTTCCGCGCGCAGTGGGCACTGCTGGACCTCAACTGCAAGGGTCTGAGTGCACTGGGCACCGCTGGACCTCAACTTGGGACCTGCCGAGTTGAGTGAGCACCGCTGGACTTCAACCTGGGACCTTCCGAGCTCAGTGAGCACCGCTGGAACTCAACCTGGGACCCGCCGAGCAGTGAGCACCGCTGGACCTCAACCTGGGACCCGCCGAGCTCAGTGAGCACCGCTGGACCTCAACCTGGGACCTTCCGAGCTCAGTGAGCACCGCTGGACCTCAACGGCCAGATAGAATGCCAGAAGATATGCCAGATAGAACGCCAGATAGCATGTCAGATAGAATGCCGGAAGATATGCCAGATAAAATGCCAGAAGATATGCCAGATAGAATGCCAGAAGATATGCCAAATAGAATGCCAGATAGGATGTCAGAAGATATGCCAGAAGATATGCCGGATAGAATGCCAGATAGAATGCCAGAAGATATGCCAGAACATATGCCAGAAAAATCCAGAAAATATGCCAGATAGAATGCCAGAAGGTATGCCAGATAGAATGTCAGATAGAATGCCAGAAGGTATGCCAGATAAAGTGCCAGAATGTTTGCCAGATAGAATGCCAGAAGATTTGCCAGATAGGATGTCAGAAGATATGCCAGAAGATTTGCCAGTAACAAATCGATAAATGTCATGGTGGGGGTCACACGAAGTAAAGTAATTTAACTTAAAAATTGTGAAACAGTGAAACCCATTATTTTATGGACCCTTAAAAACACACACATGGACCCATCCATGGTGGGTTTGGGATTCCCCAGGACCTGGCTGGGAATCCCATTTTTTTGTCGGAAGCGCAGCTGGTGCTGGCGGATCCCTGTGCCGAGCTCCAGCAGTGGCACCTGGACTCCGCTACGGGCCGAGGACGGCCGGGGCGTGGAACGATGTAGAAATCGATGGGACAAGGTTGAAAATATGATGAAAATATGGATTTAACATGATTTAACCATGAAAAACCAGGGGTTGAACCATGACAAACTGGGATGTAGCTATGAAATAGGGATTTAGCCATGAAACATGGGGATAACCTTAATTTGCTGAAGATGATTTTTCTGTGCGGGGAATTTATCTTATTTGTGGGTGGCTCCTTGAGCAAATCCAAAATAAACATTGGGACTTGCAATGAAAAATGGGGATTCACCAGTTGTACTTCAACTATGGGGATGGATTAAATTGGCTATGACAATGGTGTTTTTACCAAGAAAAGGGTTTGGTTTATGGTAAGTTAAGGGGATTATACGCTATAACATACCATATGTTTAGATATTTTTGGTGGATGAACAACATAAACAATAATAATTGCCACGCACACACATGCTGTATATATGTGTATGAAAATGGTTTGGTGTTCCAGAAGGGTAGCAGGGTCTGACCCGTAGCCATGGGATTTGTGTCGACTTTGGAGGGCTACAGTTGTTGTTCGGTTTAAAGGAGGGTATGCAATTCAGGACTGCAGGACCACAACGGGATGTGCACTACCTAAACTTGACATGGAAATTACATGAACAATTGCGCACAAAATGCCATATTTTTTGTGGGGTTTAATGGCAAGTACTGCATATCACACATGTAGGTACAGTAATTACCTACAGGACCTACAGCATGTGTCTCAACCAAATTGAGCTTCCATTCCCGCAGGTACAGTGAATGTCAGGTGGTGCTTTCCAGGTAGTTTTTGTCAGAGGTGTATATGATTGGAGATGTTTCAGGTAATTTGCTAGATATTTAGATGAATCTGCCACACTCCGAGTGTGTTTCGGAGGACTTTCGGTCTTCATCCCTCTTGCCAATGTGGACCTTGACCGGGGGCCACAAGAAGTCTTGCCAGGGACGCACAGCCTTCATGATGCTTAGCCTTCAAGGGCAGTGAGCAGGGCAGTGCAGCATTTGCGTCTCAAATTCCCTGCATGATATTTACAACGATGACCCTCTGGTAGTCGAACACGGCAATGGACAATTATAGATCTCAGCCACGAAAGTCGAACACGACTGCTAGCAGATCACGCTATTCAAAAGGCTGTTTTATCCCCCAACATCAGATTCCCCAGTACCCCCCAATGTCAAACACCCCCTAAATGGTCTCAAATATGTGTAAATCCCCTGCAATTATACATCTACATACTGGACCGTGGTTTCTGTTTCAGCGGGGTGTTTCATATTAGGGGGAAGGGATTAACAAGTTACATTTTTCCCCACCTGCCAGGTGAGGGTTGTTAGATTTAATATGATTTAATCAGAGTTGTTCTTCTTCTCCTCCTCCTTCTCCTCCTCCTCCTTCTCCTCCACCACCTCTGCCTCCACTTCCATGTCCACTTCCGCCTTGCCAACTCTTCGCCAAGCTCTTCGCCAACTTCCGCACGCAGTGGGCCCTGCTGGACCTCAACTGCAAGGGTCTGAGCGCACTGGGCACCGCTGGACCTCAACCTGGGACCTTCCGAGCTCAGTGAGCACCGCTGGACCTCAACCTGGGACCCTCCGAGCTCAGTGAGCACCGCTGGACCTCAACCTGGGACCCTCCGAGCTCAGTGAGCACCGCTGGACCTCAACGGCCAGATAGAATGCCAGAAGATATGCCAGATAGAACGCCAAGAATGTCAGAAAGAATGCCAGAAGATATGCCAGATAAAGTGCCAGAATGTTTGCCAGATAGAATGCCAGAAAATATGCCAGATAGAATGTCAGAATGAATGCCAGAAGATATGCCAGATAAAGTGCCAGAATGTTTGCCAGATAGAATGCCAGAAGATATGCCAGATAGAATGCCAGAAGGTATGCCAGATAGAATGTCAGGTAGAATGCCAGAAGGTATGCCAGATAAAGTGCCAGAATGTTTGCCCGATAGAATGCCAGAAGATTTGCCAGATAGAATGCCAGATAGAATGTCAGAAGATATGCCAGATACAATACCAGATAGAGTGCCGGAAGATATGCCAGAACATATTGCACAAGATATGCCAGATAGAATGCCAGAAAATATGCCAGATAAAATGCCAGAAGATATTTCAGATAGAATGCCCGAAGATTTGCCAGCAAAAAACGTATAGATGTCATGGTGGGGATAACTCGAAGTAAAGTAATTTGACATTAATTCCCATTAAACCACTATAATCCCATGGTAATCCCAGTATAATCCCAATAAACCAAGACAAAACCCGGGTTCTTCCGTGAGTTTCTTCCTCTCAGGATCCTCGCCAGAACCTCCGTGAGCGATGGCGAAGATGTTTGCGAAAGCTCTGCGCCACCCATGGTGCCGTGACCACGATGACCGAAAATGTGTCTGGATGGTGGTTTCATCAGTTGGGAGCGCTGAGCTGAGATAGGGGTATCCAATGGTATCCATATTTCTTATTAAATGGGGAGCCGGTTGGAGCCACTAGGAGTTTCCCAACTATATGACTATATATGATAGTCATTTTGTGTCACTTTTTTTTTGTTTTTTTTTTTTTTGTGTGTGTGCCCAGCAAGCTACTCAAAACAGTTTCTTCCCGATGTTCCATAGCCGTTCCAGGGGATGACCATGAGTAGGGAAGGCCATGATTGCCGTGACTCGTGCCGACCCAGAGTGTTCAGCAGGGCTGACACATCTTGAATCTTGACATGACCAATAACCAACCAGCACAAGTATCCTTGTTGGTGTGTTCATTGTTTCTGTTTCACGGTTTACTGCATTCTTCCTTGACACAGTGATGCAAAACCACAAATAGTTTTTAGCGGTCCTTGCAACCAGGTCTAGAAGATTGCCACATAGGATGAACCGAGAATAAACCAGTTACAAGGTGGGCGCATTAACCAGATTATATCCCCGATAAACCTGAGTTCACCAAGTCATGTGCGTCAACTTAGCTATCTCTCGGGCCTCACCTTGTACTGTATATAATATGGGGAATAAACCAGTGAATCTCGCTTAGACTTCCACCATTTTCCAGCCATTCACCTAGGTTTGGTCTGCGGGAGATGCTTTGGTGCTGGACTCTGGCACTTTGCATCGAGGATACCGGTTGGTCCCTGAATCGTTTTTGTAGGGTTTGATGGATTATTCATGGGAATGAAACCCACCAAATATCGAATAAATGGTGACTAAAAGTCTCAGAATTAGATGTATAATGATACTGATGCTCTTGTTCAACTTGTTGTTCAGTTTTGAGTTGATTTCGACTTGGTTCAACTCCAGTTGAGGGTCTCATCGATTGTCCAAGAACAGTCCATAGTTGAGGATTTCGTTCCCACTGGAAAAGCTGGCACCCTGATTTTCATATCACAACCCCTCCCCCCCAAAAGCATTATAGGTGTCATGACACGAAAATTTCCACTATATACAGCGTCTTTTCTTTACCCGTCCCATCATAGTACAGTTGTCAGTTGGGGGCACCCTCCTGAAAACACACGGGGAATCGGGAATCCTCAGAAATGGCTTTGTAAGACTGTCCTTCTAGTGGAAAGCGACATCTTTGCGATTCCATTTCAATGGTGGAATTAAACTATCCGGTTCGATTTGCAGGGAGTGGTCAACAGCTATGGTTGCATCATGTTGCATCCATATTCCCAATCAAAAACATTTCACAAGCATATTCACAAGCATATTCATCATTTCATCCATATTCCTACATTGAAAAACTTCAACATGCTTTTCTATGCGCTTTCCAAACAGATGAACCACTCCAGGCCTAGCGAACGACAGCCTCGGGGCACCGGTGCCAATCCTCATCCTGCGCTATGATCCCAAGGATAGGCCACCGCCAGGCGCAAGGGAGATGGGGGTTCAAAATCCCTGGTTGATGATTGCAAGGGATTATACCGCAGAAATATGCAAACATGATATATATATAATATAATAGTATATATATATATATATTAATATCTATGTATTTATATTCTGGAGAATCATTATACATGAACTGGGAGCCACTTTTTATGAAAAAAAAAACAACCAGTGCAATGGAATGACACATATGTTTTGAACGACACTCATTTAGGGAGGTCCCAAGCATTGCGGGGCCTCAAGTTTATCCATTCAGGTCGTTTGACAATGTAGTACTGTACCCCTTATATAACTCCAACACTTCGGAACATTATTTTGCCAACTGAAGTGCAATTTGGTTTTGAACTTCAACTTCCATACAAACAAATGATTGGGGCTGCGGAAAGCACTACGTATTGCTGGTGTTTGGTTCTAGGCGCCCGCAAAGGAAGCTGGTGCCCAAATGACTTGCAACAAACTTCGGGGCCATGAAAATGCACGTTGCAACCCCAAAACTGCCAGCTACTTGCATCTACTTGCAGGTTTCATGAAGAAAGCTAGAATCTTGTTTGAGAGGCCGGATAACGACCCCGCACAGAGGAGTTAATGCACCTAGTCAATGTATGTATATATATATATATACATAGATATATATATATATATATATATCAATGCAGGTATCTGGAAAGTCACCTTTCTCCCAGCGAACCCCGCAGGGTTCGACATGGCAGGCTGTCGGCGGTCTTGGCTGCTTGCCATGACCCGTCTTGGCCAAGTTCTCTCGAACGTGTTCAAGCTCTACGCGTGGGTGTGAGCGGTCAAAACATGCGCATACCCCCAGTGTTTGCTGATGTTTGTTGGTTCATATTGGTTCAATGATGCTGAACACGTTTTCTTTAACATCAAAGATTCTAAGATCGCCCCAAAGAAATTTTACATCGGCCAGTCATCCAATGGGGTTGTGGACCCCTCCCTTTTGACACAGTCAGTGAAGGTAGCTCCTTCCATAGTCCCGGTAATTCCAGCCGTGAGTGGCTCGATGTGGGTTAGGGAGTCCGGAAGGGGAGCATGAACCAGTCCACCAAGGACCGCGGCAGATGGGTCGAAAAATTATTGGACTCCCAAGTGGATGGTTTATATCAGCAACAAATAAAAAGAAAGATATAACATCAATATCCTGACAGTGGTAAATTATGGTTCTACCTTTTTTATCCTTTTTTGGGGTTACTTTACAATTTACTACTGAAATGAGCAAATTTTGCGGGTCCGTATGCGCATTGAGAGAGAGAGGGGGGGAGGGCGGGCACGGGGCACAGGGTGGTTGTGGTGAAGGGAATTCATCGCTGAGGGGTTCCTTCATTGCTCAACTAGGGTCGATGGGTCCAGAAAATAGATTTTTGAGAAGTATGAGGTTGTCAATGGAACCCCTTCAGGTTTTTTCAGGAAACTGGTTGAATTATGCCTAATTATGCTATTTGTCAGAACCCCTGTAGGGTCACCAAACAGGGACCCGGTCAAGATTCTAGATCCAGAAAAAAAATGACAAAATGGTGGGTGATTTCAACAGACACTCATTCCATCTATTGGTTCAAAATCACTTGATGCATGTGTTCAAAATGTTTACGGACTAATTATAAATTTATAATTGAGAATTGTTTAGGTATATTTGGAAATAACTAGGACTTATTATTTTATAAATGGTAGTTTGTCTTTTCCATCCCACCTTTGATTTGAACTCACTAGTCGTCATAGCTTGGACCAGGAGACGCCGCAGTACCAAACTTTGAAGCGGATCCAAAAGACCTTCCTGGTCCGCTGCAACGTGGCTATCTCAGAAAGGGCCTGGAAAAGCCCCAAAGAATCCCAAAAAAATGGTTTGAACAAACAACATACTGGGTAAATTATAACGACCTCACTGCGACCTCACTGGAATCATGGTTAATAAGAGGAATCATCCCCAAATGGCCTTATTTCAGGTTAGTGAAATATTATAATTTACCCAGATAGGAGAAACTGACCTATCAGAAATACCTGAAAGATCCGAGAGAGCCAAGTTGTTGTGTTCAATTGACCTGCATAGATAGGACAACTCCACAGACAACTCGGAGTTATGATTCCAGTGGGGCTATCTAGCCCCTGGGAAGGAATCCTTGACGAAGATCATTCCTGGCAATGGAGTACGCCCTGCAAGCCAGATCAGGCCAGTACCCTGCGAGCCAATGGGAGGTTAAAAAAACTGGGAAAATCATCGAAATCAATGGGGTTTGGGGTCAGTCTGGCATTGAGATTGACCACAGGTCCAAGGGCTATGTTGTGATAATACCATATTATATATATATATTACCCCCCCTTGGAGGTTTGAAACTTGTCTTTATGTTCAGTCACATTTGGGAGCATGATCATAGCGATTATTTTTCATCAGGGGGTCAAAACCACCAAGCTGTTCCAGCGTAGCCCTGGCATGTTCAGGCGTTTGCTGTGTCAAACTGTTTCGCCAGGTGTTTTTATGTTTATGAATGTTTATGATTTATGAGCATTTCCACGCCCAATATCCAGCAGTGCTTGACAAATTTCGATTTTACTCCATTTGAGGGATTTCAGTGAATTTCAAAGACTGCGGCTATAGAATAATCCTTCAGGCAGAAATGGCATGAATGTGGGTGGACTATATGCCATCCCGAAGAGATTTCCATAGATTTCCTATTTTGTACACTTTGGTTGGCAAGATTGCTCCAATAACAAAGAAAGGCGTAGAAATGGAACTCCCCCAGGAGGGAACACATGCTTCCAGTCGGTCTGTGTTGCAGTGTTTCCATGTTCGTACTTGTTTCAGCATTTCCATTCAGTGTTTGGATGACTCAAATTCCAATGCATGGTCAATTCCAATGCGTAATTTGCCAATCAACCACCGGACCAACCAACCAACCACCCACCCTTTGCATCCACAGTGCCTAGATTTCTGGAGATTTCCAGGTGCCCCTGTTGCAGGCGCCTCGAAAAGCAATTGAAGGAGAAACGGGAAGAGCTTGGCAAGCTGGCGGAGCAGGAGTTGCATGAAGCTCAGACCTATAATGTCAACCCCGGATTAATAAACATTGGTTTAATAATTAGGGGGGTACTCCTCCAATAGTCATAATCTGATACTTAAATTGTACCCTCCCAATTAAACAGCCTAGGGGTTTATTAATCCAGGGTTGACATTAAATGCCATAAAGCATCATAAACCTCCAATCTGGAAGGGTTTCAATGCCACATAATGCCACCCATTTCTATCCATGTCTAGTGTTTATCATTGGGGTGTTCATCCATTTTAAATTTAGCTGGCCAGTTCAACGAAGAATCACCTCGCCATGGATGTGGTCCGTTTATGGCTAGGTCATTAATTTGGGGATTTCACAGCTCGCCATATTCAATCCACTATTCCATGGGTATTCTACTCATATTACCCTCTGGTTATGACTAACAGTTTGCCATGGAAAGATCCACCATGTTTAAGAACGGTAAACCATCTATTTCGATTAGGGCCATCGAAAAACCATGGCTATGTTAGTCATAACCGGAGGGTATATATCCCAGTTCCGCATTCCATATTCCCAGCGCCATCGCTGCTTGAGCGCTTGAGACAAGTCGCCACGCTGCCCAAGGCTGAGTCATATGGCCATGGCTGGAGCCAGGAGTCACTGCTGAGAGATGGCTGACATATGAGGATCACTGTCTATTTTACTGGGAACTACTATAACCCATGACGGATCCATGGTGCTGCTATATATGGTAACATGAATACCATCAATATACCCCAAATGTTAGCATATATACCATACATGGATCCTATGGGTACTGGGAACTACTATAATTAAACTCATAACCGTTATCTAACGATTTTACTGTTATTTTCTAGTTTAATTTGGTTGTGTCATATGAGGATACCATAATTAAATCATAACCAAACTGAAGATCTAAAACCAGTAGGACGTTTGGGCAGATAAAGCAATGAAACCTGCTTGGTGGTTTCAGAGATGTGATTATCTCCGTGACTAATGCTTTAATGGATTGAAGCCACCAATCAGCTTGCTAGAGTTTTTTTTGTGTTGGAGGATTTCCCACGAGTTGGTTGTTAAATTTTAGAGGAAGCTTATGGAAGCCATTGGAAGCCTCAAGCTTTGATAGGAAAACCAGGTTAAATCTATATGCTTTCCTCATGTTTCCTCTAGGTTTCCCCTTGAATCAATCCCAAGTTTAGAGGCTTAGATCCGATCTGTGGATATCCTGCAGCGAAGTGGCAGGAAGAAGGCCGCTGAACAACAAGAAGTTGCCAATAAGCGGGTCCGGACCGTTGGCATCCGTCGGCCGCAGGTCAAACCACTGCAATGATGTTTGTGTGTTTTGGGGGGTTTGTAGCGATATTAATTCATTGAAATCTTATGAAATCACTATTCTTTTGTTTTAGTTTGTTTTATCTTGTTGATACGATTCATAAGATTTCATAAGTTGTCATTGAACTTTCATTTGTAAGTTTTGGAAAGCAGCCCTTTTTGTTATCAATTTCGGAGATTTTTCGGATTCATCCACAGATGGTCAAGATCCCAAGCGGGATGCGGGCAGCAATTTGCACAACAAATCGGCCAGTCATTCTGTGTGTTTCTGTCTTTTTGGAGGCAGATATCATGCACTGGTGGATGCACAAATCTTCTAGTTGGATGTTGGAGTATCACTGGCACCGCTCGAGGCGAAGATGGCCGAAGAGATAAAAGAAATGGAAAGGCACAGCATCTCTCATGCAGAACGTCACGCGGAAACTTGATGTGTATTGCAATTTTAGGACGTGCATGTCATGTTGATATACACTGGCGGTTTTGGCAATAGTCCATTGTCAGCAAGATGAACAACAACACCGAGGCCAACGTCACTATCATCATGACTGCAGTACCCTCTGGTATCTTACTGTAACATAATTATGGGGAGTCACCATATCAGATAGGTAAATCATCCATATTATTGTAAATAGGTCATGTTCCATGGGTCTGTCAAATTACCGGATAGTATCACTATCGTCATTTTGCTGTTGGTGACCGGGGAATGCAGGCAGCTGAACGAGCTGGAACTGCGGTGAGTAGCGCCCTCAATGGGGTGCAACATGGGGTTCAACTGTTTGGTGAAACTGGGGGTTTCGGGTGCCATTGAACAGACCTTGTGATGATTATTGGAATGGAACATTATTCTGGGTAAATTATACAGAAAGGGACGCTCTCAGTCCCCACGTTTCTCAGTCCCCACTTTGTTAGGAAAAATGTTACGTCTACGGAATTCATGCTTATGAATCTGTAGTGTCACTAACAAGCAGACTTGAGGAACACCTGACTCTGATTATATTTCTAATTCACAGGAAAGAAAGAGCCACACAGAAAACAAACGAAAAAAAAAATAAAAAATTGGGCTGACCCCCCCCTCCCCTAGATGGGCTATCTTGGCTATCTTGGTGGCTCTAGGTGGCTCTCTGGGCCATCTTGTCTGCTACAGCCTCATATGGTATTCTTATGGGACTTCCACTGGGTTCTTATGGGATTTCTATGGTATGTCTATGATATTTCTATGGAATTCCTATGAGATGTCTGAGGGAAATCTATGGTATTCTTATGGGATTTCTTTGTGGTTCCTATGCTATTTCCATGTTATATCTATGATATTTCTATGGGGATTTCTGTGGGATTTTCCATGATATGTCTATGATATTTCTATGGGGTTCCTATGGGATTTAAACAGGATTTCTATGGTACTTCTATGATATGTTCAGAGGATTTCTTTGGGAATTCTATGGGATTTCCATGAGGTGTCTTGAGAATGTCTATGGTAGTTCTATGATATTTTCTATGGGACTTCTATTGGATTCCTGTGGGGTTCCATGGTAGTTCTATGATATTTCTTTGGGACTACTATTGGATTTCTATGGGATGCCGATTGTATTTCTATGGGATTCCTATGGGGATTCAAAAGGATGTCTGTGGGATTTACATTGGAATCCTATGGGATTTCCATGATGTTTCTATGATATTTCTAGGGGATTTCTATGGGATTTCTGAAGGGATGCTATGAGAATTCTATGGTATTCTCATGGGAGTCCCATTGGATTACTATGGGGGTTCTAAGGTGTCTTTGTGATGTTTCTATGGGATTTCTTTGGGATTACTATGGGGTTCCTATGGCATTCCTATGGGAGTTCCATGATGTTTCTATACTTCTATGGGATTACTATGGGATTCCTGAGGGAATTCTATGGGATTCTTTAGGGAATTCTATGGGATTCTTTTAGGATTTCTTTGTGGGATTCCTGTGCTATTCCATGTTAATTCTTTGATCTTTATATGGGATTTCTGTGAGATTCCTAAAGGATTTCTATGATATTTCCATGGGATTACTATGGGGTGCCAATTGAAAGGAAGTTGAAACCATTTCAAAATAAATTCAAACTAAAGTGAAAAAACAACATCCAAACATTTTTTTCAAGGGGGTAGTCCATGAGCAAGAGATGAATCAAGACCAAAGGTTTCCCAAAAAAGATGAACTTCAGCCAGCCAACAAAATCCATGAATGACAATGATCTTCAATAGTATGTTTGTTGTGGTGGTCCTCTATTGTGTCCAGCTTTTTTTTTGGCAGTAAACATTTTCCAAAATCATGTTCTCCTTCCCTTTTCCTTTGCTAATACGTTTCTCTTTTTTACTTTCTTAGCTCATTCTTTTGGAATTCTCAAAATGTCTAAATGAAAAGTTTTTTCCTAAGGGTGAGCTTCAGCCAGCCAAGGGATTTCCATGGGATGTCTGTGAAATTTATTTTGGATTTCTTTCATATTTCTATGGTATGCCTATTGGATTTCTATGGTATTCCTATGGAATTTCCATGATGTTTCTATGATATTTCTGGAGCATTTCTATGGGAGTTCTGAAGGAATACTATGGAAATTCTATGGTATTCTTATGGGACTTCCAATGGATTCCTATGGGATTTCTATGGTGTTTCTATGATGTTTCTATGATATCTCTATGGAATTTCTATGGGATGCCTGAGGGAAATCTATGGTATTCTTATGGGATTTCTTTGTGGTTCCTATGCTATTTCCATGTTATATCTATGATATTTCTATGGGGATTTCTGTGGGATTTTCCATGATATGTCTATGATATTTCTATGGGGTTCCTATGGGATTTAAACAGGATTTCTATGGTACTTCTATGATATGTTCAGAGGATTTCTTTGGGAATTCTATGGGATTTCCATGAGGTGTCTTGAGAATGTCTATGGTAGTTCTATGATATTTTCTATGGGACTTCTATTGGTTCCTGTGGGATTCCATTGGTATTGTTTAATATGATGTTTCTTTGAGACTAGGACTAGAAACTTAATCAGTGATAAATAACTAGAAAAAAATAGTAAAAAGCAGCTAAAAATCACGTAAAAACTGGGGACCCACAGCGTCCCACACTCAAATTATAACGACCTCACTGCGACCTCACTGGAATCATGGTTAGTAAGGGGAATCATCCCCAAATGGCCTTAATTCAGGTTAGTGAAATATTATCACGGGTTTCAGACTATGACCGAGACCCTTCCCGGAGGTCCCCACCAAGAGGCAGATGCAAGTGCACCTTTTCACTCCAGATTGGGCTCGGTGCTTGAGCCAGTCAGTTGATTGGCCCTTGAGCCAAGTTGCAACAGTCGGAGGACGTCTCAACGACTGTGAAAACTTTAAAAAGACCTTAGTGGGGGTGCAGTGGTACTCTGTGCATGTTTCCCAAACCGCACTCCCCCTTCCTGCTTGCAGGAATCCAGGTTCCCCAACACCAAAAACAAAAGCTTCAGGGGTGGCCACGTTTCCTCTGGGAACTCGCCCTTCCCCCAGCCAGAAGGGCGAAGACCCTCGTGTGCCATAGTCCCAGGCTGGTGTTGGTTCCCCCTTCATCCAAGGGTCGCGTGGAGTTCCACTTCGGGTTGACTCCAAAAATTGAAAAACTACAGCCCTAACTTCGTAGGTTTTGAATTCCCTCTCTCACCAGCGCTGTCCTCGAAGAGCGCCCAACGGTGTTCTTTGGGTCCAGCAGCTGATGAGCTTTTCCCTGTATTGGTCTTTTCCACCGGCAGCTAATGATCTTTTCCTTGGGTCTTGTTGATCTTTTTCTCCAGCCACCGATGTACTTTTCCGTGTGACCTATTTCCTTTTGGGTGAGCTTTTCACCACATCTCTTGGGTCTTGTTTGACAAGGAAAACGGTGTATCCCACCCACTTGTCTTCGACCCACTTGGTCTCCCAGTCAAAATCCAAGATTATTTTTCGCTCGTTGCTGTCCAGGGTATTCCACAAAAATGTGACCCGGTAAGGATCCAACTGGTCGACCTTTTTCGGTAAAGTGGGGTGATCTGGATGAAATGAATTCTGTCTCCATTTGTAATGGATTCTTGTGATGATTCGTCCATAGTCCCCAGGGGCTGGAACATGCCACATGTCAATGGCCTGACCCTGTTCTTCAAAGCCTGTTACGGCCGGCGGCTTTGTCATCCATGCTGTGCCCTCTCCAGAGATGATATATTCCACCTCACGCATGACCACCTCAGGCATGTAGACTGTCCAGCTGGCTGGGTCTTCAGGACGTCGAATTAAATCTTGTCCCGGACGAATCCTTGGTCTTTGGGCCGGTGGCGGAGTCTCCGGTTCTGCTGGCCTTCTTGGTGTCTGGGAAGACTCAGTGTCCTCCTCCGGATGCTCCTTGTACCACTGTTCCCATTCAGCCTCGGTGTATTTGTTCTTCTTCTTCTTTTTCTTTTTCGGTTCCCATTTGTCACCCCATGCACCATCCCACCAATACCATTCTCCTCCATCCACTTCATAGTAAGCCGCTGCCTTAGGAGCTGCCTTAGAGGAGGAGGCTCGGGTCGTTTCTGCAGGTTTTTCCTTTGGCTCTGCAGGTATTGCCTTTCCATAGACTGATCTCATCCTTGCAAGGTAATCAGCCATTTTTTCTCCTTCTCTCTGTTCCTTCCATTTTCCCCACTCTTCATCATCGGTGGGTACTTTTTCTTCTTCCTTGGGAGTTGGCATCGACGGTTTTTTCGGTGGCGGTCTCCCAGGGGCTTTCATACCCTCTGGCAGCGGAGCTATCGGTCCCTTTGGGACCCTTCCCGAACCTCGCGATTCGGCTGTAGAAGGGCCAGGGCTTTTTTCACTCTCCGATCGCCTTGTTGTCGATTCATTTTCCCTGTGTGGCGACCTAGATCGCCCTGTTTCACCCCGTCTCCGACGGTCTCTTCCTCTTTCCCTTTTGTCATGGGCGCGATCAGCATCCCTCTCTTCGGTTTTTCTTCTTTTTTCCTTTCGATGATCTTCTCCCGGACGTGGTTCTTCTTCCTGATGTTCATCATTTTCTACAGTTGGCGCCGCCGTGGAATGACCTTCTCCCCCACGTACATCTTTTTCTCGATCTTTCAGGGCCAACTTCACCATCAGTTCAGCTTGTTCCACCATTTGTCGATTGAACTGAGGAACCACCAGGAGTGTCAAATGGCCCATAAGCCATCGGAAAACTTCCCACACCAGGATGACCATCATGGCATAAAGTATGCCAAAAAACTGACCAAAGACGCCTTGCGAAACATCTTCACCGTCCATAGCTGTTACTGGTGCAGCTAGGCAGACGAGGACGCTTTTGAGCCCAAAACTTTTGGAAAAATAAATTGCTGCGGATAACCCCAATTCCCTAACGGAAAAACACTTAAATCCCGTTGGTTGCGGAGCTATCCCCTTTAAGGTTTCAGGATGGTTTTTCCCCTTACCAACCACATTAGAATTCCCCAAAAACCCAATTCCCCAAGTTGCAATCAGATCCCACGGTTCTGTGGAACCCGACCTTGGTACCACTTCGGCAGCTCGATGTTCTTTTCGATCGGACCTGGCACAATCCAAGTCCCAATGTTTCTCTTGTCCATCACCCAGGATGGTCTTAGGGATGGGTTCTTCTTTTTCATAACTGTGCAATTGGGCAACATGACCGTGGTGATCTTGTACCCGCAAAACTTTCAAAACTGGTGGATTTTCATCCCAAAAATAAACCCGTTTAGGTTTTG